CTCTACTCTAATTAAGTTAACTTTTAAACAAATTTTCATTTGAAGACGGTTCCTTACTCCTTTGATTCGAATTAATGACTATCGTTTTAATTTTCTTCTAAAAATGCATTAGTATGTGTAAAATACTTTGGAAAGAAGCTTAGGTCACTTCCCACCTAAAATTCTACTATTACTAAAAAATTAAAACCATACAAGCCTGCAAACATTTGAAATGAATATAAATATATTTTCAATCTGTTAAGAACTAAACCGACAATGACGGAGATCCTAAACCCTTGTATTAGCACGTGGCGGACAGGTAGAGCACACCCTAACGCAAAATGCATAACAAGACATGTGATAAATAAGTTCAGTTACACAGTGCATTTGTTTCCAGTATACAGTAAGAGTCCCGCTATTCCGAACATCTATCTATTCCGAAATAAAGTTTGGGAATAATTTTATTTTTTTAATACAAAGCTAACAAAAAATTGAGAACATTTTCAATGACAGTTGCGAAATTTTCAATCGTGCATTTTCGCGGACTCTTTCTGGTAATGCAAAACAAACGCTAGGCGTAGTTACAGCGAAATCGTAAAAATCTTTTGATGTTAAGGCAAAATCATGAACTTCTTCTACAGTCACAACAAAATCAAGAACATCTTATGCACCCACGCTGAAATAAAAATCTTTTTAAGGCGTGTCAAAATCGTGAACATTTTCTGTGGTTGCAGACCCCCACGGTCACGGCAAAATCGTTAATTTCATCAACCACGATCATCAGTTGCAGGAATCAGCTGATTACAATTTCTGTTAATCCGAACAGGGTTTGGTCCCAGTTAGTCCAGAATAGCAGAACTGTACAGTAAGTGTTTGGGGGGAAATTGAGTATGTGTATTGTAACGGTAATAAAGTTTTATGTTTTTTTTTCAATAGTGATTAGTGTCGACAGATAATTACTCCTAAAAAGGATTAGTTTATTTTAAGAGGCTGCTACTACATTTACAGGCTCTAAGACTCCCGATCTGCCTCAAACTTCATCCATGTACAACTTTCGCTGAGCAACGCCAACCCACCAAAGAAGCCTTCTGTGTTACTACTAGCCTAGCTGTTCTCTTTTGCCAACTAACTTAGCATCTATTGGTCATTATGTTTAAATATTTAAATATTTTAGAGGTAAACGCTTGTTTCGAGTCAGATTAGAAAAGAAAATGTTTTTGGCAGTTAAAAACTACCTTGTTGATGAGACTTTAGCTTCTTAAATTGTAGCACAAATTGTGAAAGGCCAAAGTAAATATTATGGTATGTGAAATGGCAAAGCCATGAAGATGTAATGTTGTACCAAAAAATGCAGAAGCTAGAGGTTTAGTTTGATACAAAATGTATATTAGTATATATATATATATAAGTATAACTGAGTAGCTGAAAGGTTGTAGCTATCGTCTAGTATTCAGAAAGGAGCTGATTAGATCTTGAAAAAAGGACAGTTTAGCTTTTTGATGGTTCAAAATAGGAACCCAGCCACCCAGCTGTCCTTGATTATCAAACTTTTAAATAGTCAAGCAAATAAACAGCTGATCTTAGTGGGAGCTGTCACTTCATTCATTCAATACTCATCTTTGAATTTAAAAAAAAAACATGTGTGTTCATGCCATATAGATCTATTTAAATTAAATATTGTGGAAATGTTCAAAAAGTAATCAAAATATTAAATACTTTCAACAATTTAAGTCAGATAAAATTATAAATGTTTTTAAATTATTACATTAAGGTTATGTTTTTAGGAAAAAGCATTTAGCTTGGATTAAATAAATAAATATAGGATGGAGAGGACACAGCTAACTCACCTGATGAAAGGTTGCAGATGAGTCAAAGAACACATAAAATCACACACATAATTTACTTAATATTTCGCCTCTTTCAGAGGCTTCTTCAGAAGTAGGCCTAGATGGTAGTTACAAAACAACAGTTTAAATAGGATGACACAGTTTTTTGACTAATACTGTAAATTATTACAGTATTAGATAAAATTTAAACACCCCACCAAAAACGGTTTGACTGACGGTTTAAATTGTTACTGTAGCTTTATTTGAAATGAAATGAAATGAAATGAAAAATCCTTTATTTTTTCAGGCAAAGTTATTTGACGTGGGTTTCGATAAAATGAATACATGATTCCGTTGTAGTTTGAATTTAGAGTGTTAAGTAAAAGTTTTTAGAATGTGATAGTTTTGATACGCACGTGGTGGTTTTGTATAAAAATGTGTGTTGATTTGTTGTATTATCGCTGTTGTATGTTATATTAATTGGATATTTTAGTTAGGCTCCAAGCCTTTATAATTACCGTATATTTAAGTTTTTAACGGATTGCTTGGAAATAACTCTATTCCATCTATACTAACACAGTATACTGATATAAATTTATATTATTAGCTGATACTGTATTTAGAGCTTCGAACATGCATACATATCGTCCAAGGTTTATAAATAAATGTACCTAAAATTTGTATTACGAAGCGTGAGGTTTCACTGTAAAGCGACTTAGTGGTGGCAAGGTTTGTCCACTTACTGACAAGTTTGAAGTTAGAACCTTTGTAAACATGAGAAGTAGACAACAAATTGTCAGCAATTATTTCTGTTGCAACTTATATTTCTCACCAAAGCTCATCAAGTTGTTTCAATGGAAAACGCAAGGTAGGCATAAAATAGTTGGCGGTTATTTCTATCTGAAAGCTTCTCAAATTGTTTCGAAATTGTTGCTCTTTCGGTCGGGTAATTTTTATGAACTTGGAGTTTTTTTGTAGTATAATGTCACAAACCATGATTAACTGTCACTCTCAAGGCTTGTGGAAGGTTAACTTGTACTTGAGCCTTTCAAACTTTGTCAAGATGTGAAGCTAGTAGACACTATCCAAATTAAGTCCAAACAATTGTATTTTTACACACAATTTATAGTGACATGGAATTTGTGAAAAAAGTTGGAATAGTTTTTGTCTTCCTATTCCATATGATCTTCAATGTAATTGGGGAGACTTCTTTTCTTTGCCAACCTTAACTGATCCTAAGTATATTTTATCAGAGACACAATTAATTAGATACAGTGAACTTCTTTGTTTGGTTTTAAAACAGAGTGACAGTTAATCAGGTCTATCATCCGTCTTAATTTCCTACAAAAACAGTTTAAAAAACTATACTGTAATTGTTTCCTGAAAGACTTAAACCTTGATTTTTTTTTCAAAATAACTTGTACTGTACAGTGTCTAAAAAGAAATAAGTGTAATTCCAAATATCAATGTAAACCTAAATGAATTCGCTAATCCAAAATATGATTAGAAGCTTGCAGTGGGACCGTAGTTCCGTACCATGCTTACTAGAGCCTGCCTCGTTTACGCTTTACAGCACAAAGTTACGATATTGCACAATATACCAAACATTTCGAGTCCATAGTATATAGAGAAAATTTATTAGAAACGAGATATCCGCATTATATTTTCATTATTGATGTTTGTGTGTTTCTATATTCAAGTTAAATGAGGAAGTGATACTGTATATATTTTCGCTTAGGTTCCGTAATTAAAATTTGGAGTTTATGGAGAATAGACATAGTACAATCCTAATGGTACCTAAAGTTAGATAAAATGTTTTGAACTCTGAGCTTGTAAGGTACTTTTAAAAGACTTAAATAGACAAAATAACCTCGGCATTTAGTTGCAATACAGTTGAGTCAATTATTGATATTTGATCACATTGACATTTGTGATATCGTGTTATCATCTACTTTTACATGTTGTTTTAATGTATTTTGTTATTGTTTTCTCTATCATTTGTATTAGTAGTTTTATCTATTGTTATTGTTTATTTTAACTTTGTTAATTCTTTAACTAGTATTTTTATTCCTTCCTAATGTTTGTTTACTTAGTGCAATACTGTCTTAATGTAATAAAACTTTGTTTTCTAAACTCCTGTGCCTAATATTACCTTAATGTCTTTAGTTATTTGTGTAACTAGTGAGCAAAGTAAGAGAAATGTTTACGCACGAGCCTGAGTGCAGCTAAGGCCATTTGCGCTCGTGTTACACATTATATTTTTCCTAGTCACTATAAAGCATATAAATAATTAGTCTTTCAAACACTATACAACACGTTTTTAGGTTAGGTTAAGCCTAAGCGTTGAACGGAATGGAAAATACTGCACCAGATGATTGTAGTCGTAGTATCTTTAAGTGTTACTTATTTTCAAGAGTACACGTATAAACAGAATAAACAAGTAGATTGTTCTGCAAAATATCCTAACAAAACATTTTCTAACAATTCTGTAACTTTCTTACTTACACACCAAGAGGAAAACAGTTTGTATGCTTGTTCATACTTCTTTCTTGATTTTTCAGGTAACAGGTTTAATGAAACATGTTTGGCAGCTTCTGCTATTTCTTCTGGTACACATATATTCACAATCACTTTCACCGAGTTCATTATTTTTTAACATGTTGGGCCCACTTTATAATTAATCTTTCAAATACCACACTTTAGGTTATGTTCAAACCAAGCGTTGAACAAAAATAGAACATAAACTATGAACACAAAATGACAGGTTAAATCGTAGTTATAATAGTCAATAGTTTTTTTTAAGCTGTACAAAATGGTTTGGAAAGAAATTGCTAAATTTTATATTTTTTGGTTCAAAAATGGGAAAAACCAAATTATAAATACTTACCCCATAAAACCCCCCTTAAATCCCCATTCCCATAGTCCGATCATGCTGGTTCGCGAACTCGTTCAAATAAATGTAGGTTTACAAGTTTATACCAAATTTAATCACAATCGGATCATTTTTGCTTGAGTTATCGTGCTAACGGACTAGCACGTATATATATGTGTGAATTTGAACGGATGGTGTTTTTGGCCTCTAGGGACCTCAAAACAGAAAAGTAAATCGGTCCCGGTCCAGGTCTTACCATAAGTACTACGGTAATAGCTTATTCCCTATATGGGAAATTCGCTAAAAGATCGGAACTAGACATATAAAATAGATAACAAATTAAACAAATGTTTTATTTATACCTAAAACAAGCGAGTCGACAATGTAAAATTATACATTTCTGAATAAGTAAACCCTCTTAGCTGGATTACAAAGTTTCGGATACAAAGTTGTAATTCAACTAAGATATTTGTGGTTAAGTTGTAGCAGTTGTTTCTGGAACATCTTTAACTTCTGTCTCTTCACTGTTTTCATCTCCCAGAAATATTTTCATCCCCTCCTCCTTGAATTCATTTTTTTCTTCAACTTCTGAGTCTTTGCTACCTTCATCGTTTTCATTTCCTAGAAATATTTTCATCTCCTCTTCTTTCTTGAATTTATTTTTTTCTGGAAAAGAAATGAGCCATTAGAAAAGATATCGCTTAAGCCCCCAGAAGAAAACTGTACTAGTTGCTTAATACTTTTACATAACCAAAGTAGTGTTTACCAAACATTGACGTGTCTCCGCCGAGAAGTCTCAGGTAGTGGACACAGTCGGCTTGGTTGGCGTAGGCTCTCAATGAACACTTCCCCTTCCAACCCACCAGGTCTAGGTTGAGACCGTCTTCTCCTCGGTACTCCAACACACAGCTACCACCTCCTGCTACAATAAAGAAACATAAAACTATCAAAAGCTTGACTTCACTAGCAACTTCAGTAGACTCGCCAATCTGACACATTCTGGACTTTGGCAGTGGAGGATTATTGAAAATGTTGGACTAGCGAATTTATCGCCATTTTTCATAGCAGCAGAAAAAGAAATTAAAATAAAGCATACCCGAGTTTTATATTCATGAATCACGCCTGTAGAAAGGTCTACACTCGAGTCCTACATGTGACAAAGTATTGTGTTCCCTATGTTTACTATAGCATACTTGGATATTTAATAGGGTAAGCTAGCTGGTATACGTATGATCAATCCATAAGTGCAATGTTTAAAAAAAAACCTGACAGACAAAGTAAAATATGAACATACCAATCCCCTTGAGCCTCTCTTGTGTGTCTGGATGTAGTGTGTCAGTCTCTGGGGGATGTGTAGGATCTGTACACATGAGCAGCTTGATCAGGTCATCCTTGGTAACCAATACTCTGCGGCATTGACCCAGGTAAGGCTCTATACTGGCCAGTCCCTACAACAAACCAAAGTCTTTGAGCCTCTCTTGTGTGTCTGGATGTAGTGTGTCAGTCTCTGGGGGATGTGTAGGATCTGTACACATGAGCAGCTTGATCAGGTCATCCTTGGTAACCAATACTCTGCGGCATTGACCCAGGTAAGGCTCTATACTGGCCAGTCCCTACAACAAACCAAAGTCTTTGAGCCTCTCTTGTGTGTCTGGATGTAGTGTGTCAGTCTCTGGGGGATGTGTAGGATCTGTACACATGAGCAGCTTGATCAGGTCATCCTTGGTAACCAATACTCTGCGGCATTGACCCAGGTAAGGCTCTATACTGGCCAGTCCCTACAACAAACCAAAGTCTTTGAGCCTCTCTTGTGTGTCTGGATGTAGTGTGTCAGTCTCTGGGGGATGTGTAGGATCTGTACACATGAGCAGCTTGATCAGGTCATCCTTGGTAACCAATACTCTGCGGCATTGACCCAGGTAAGGCTCTATACTGGCCAGTCCCTACAACAAACCAAAGTCTTTGAGCCTCTCTTGTGTGTCTGGATGTAGTGTGACAGTCTCTGGGGGATGTGTAGGATCTGTACACATGAGCAGCTTGATCAGGTCATCCTTGGTCACCAATACTCTGCGGCATTGACCCAGGTACAGCTCTATACTGGCCAGTCCCTACAACAAACCAAAGTCTTTGAGCCTCTCTTGTGTGTCTGGATGTAGTGTGTCAGTCTCTGGGGGATGTGTAGGATCTGTAAACATGAGCAGCTTGATCAGGTCATCCTTGGTCACCAATACTCTGCGGCATTGACCCAGGTAAGGTTCTATACTGGCCAGTCCCTACAACAAACCAAAGTCTTTGAGCCTCTCTTGTGAGTCTGGATGTAGTGTGTCAGTCTCTGGGGGATGTGTAGGATCTGTACACATGAGCAGCTTGATCAGGTCATCCTTGGTCACCAATACTCTGCGGCATTGACCCAGGTAAGGTTCTATACTGGCCAGTCCCTACAACAAACCAAAGTCTTTGAGCCTCTCTTGTGTGTCTGGATGTAGTGTGTCAGTCTCTGGGGGATGTGTAGGATCTGTAAACATGAGCAGCTTGATCAGGTCATCCTTGGTCACCAATACTCTGCGGCATTGACCCAGGTACGGTTCTATACTGGCCAGTCCCTACAACAAACCAAAGTCTTTGAGCCTCTCTTGTGTGTCTGGATGTAGTGTGTCAGTCTCTGGGGGATGTGTAGGATCTGTACACATGAGCAGCTTGATCAGGTCATCCTTGGTAACCAATACTCTGCGGCATTGACCCAGGTAAGGTTCTATACTGGCCAGTCCCTACAACAAACCAAAGTCTTTGAGCCTCTCTTGTGTGTCTGGATGTAGTGTGTCAGTCTCTGGGGGATGTGTAGGATCTGTAAACATGAGCAGCTTGATCAGGTCATCCTTGGTCACCAATACTCTGCGGCATTGACCCAGGTAGGCTCTATACTGGCCAGTCCCTACAACAAACCAAAGTCTTTGAGCCTCTCTTGTGTGTCTGGATGTAGTGTGTCAGTCTCTGGGGGATGTGTAGGATCTGTACACATGACCAGCTTGATCAGATCATCCTTGGTAACCAATACTCTGCGGCATTGACCCATGTAGGGCTCTATACTGGCCAGTCCCTACAACAAACCAAAGTCTTTGAGCCTCTCTTATGTGTTTGGATGAAGTGTGTCAGTCTCTGGGGGATGTGTAGGATCTGTACACATGAGCAGCTTGATCAGGTCATCCTTGGTAACCAATACTATGCGGCATTGACCCAGGTACGGCTCTATACTGGCCAGTCCCTAAAACAAACCACAAAGTCTTTGAGCCTCTCTTGTGTGTCTGGATGTAGTGTCAGTCTCTGGGGAATGTGTAGGATCTGTACACATGAGCAGCTTGATCAGGTCATCCTTGGTAACCAATACTCTGCGGCATAGACCCAGGTACGGCTCTATACTGGCCAGTCCCTACAACAAACCAAAGTCTTTGAGCCTCTCTTGTGTGTCTGGATGTAGTGTGTCAGTCTCTGGGGGATGTGTAGGGTCTGTACACATGAGCAGCTTGATCAGGTCATCCTTGGTAACCAATACTCTGCGGCATTGACCCAGGTACGGCTCTATACTGGCCAGTCCCTACAACAAACCAAGGATTATTTTGAGTACTAATTATTGAAGTGAAATTGACACAACAGAGTCGTCACTCGATAATTTGACTCTTGATCCGTCAGGTAATCCGAGGCAGCGCTTGTGCAAAATGTTGATGTCTGTGTAGTGGATCTTGCTTTTTGATGAGCCCGGAGTCATTGTCTCAGTTTTCAGTCCAGTTCTGCAGTCCTAACCAATAGGGAAACAGTCCAACAAGTCACTTCTAACGTCAAGGACGACATTATCATGGAGGCTGTAGTAACGAGACATACAAGTCAGCTGCAAATACACTCAGTAGCTGTTGCGAAGGGCAGGAGCTTGTCTACAATGGAATAATAATATATGCAGTAAAAAAAAACTGTTACAAGCTGATAGAACTAAAAAGAGCTAAGACAATGGTCTTGTTAAGTTTAAACCAGTGGATTGTACGTCTAGAAATGGCTGCTACTCCGCCCTTTTTATAGTGTTAAAGAGTATAAAGACTGGAAAAACAATATTTTGTGAAGCAATATCACATCAAAAATGTTTAAACTGTGTATTTAATACGACCCCATTTTCAATCTTGACGATTGCAAAATAAAGAATCTCTCTCTCTCTCTCTCTAGTTGAATTTTGCTTATATTATAAGTTGTTTATATATACTTCTTGGTAGATAATTTAATTTTACTATTATTTTCAGTAGCCTAATCCAACAACCTAATGGCCCCATAAATGTCTGAGTTAACTGTAAATCTTTTCAGAAGTTCTTTACCAAACATTGATAAGAAGTACTAGGCCTATATAAAATTGACTAGATAAACCATTTAAAATTGAAGGTCACATTTACTTGTAAACTAAAGTGTTCATAATTAATTGTTAGATATATCTTTGACACAAAAAATTAAATATGTAAGCATTTTCTTATATTAAATTACCTCTTGAGCCAGACGAAAGCAGTATTCACTGTTTTTGTTGTCACATCTAGCAAATGCCTTAACACCAGCGTTGATGATCTAAAAAAGAAAATCAGAAATTGACTGCAAGAACATGCAAAGTAGGCCTATAATTAACCGAATTATACTACCTACATGTATTGCTTACTTAAAAATAGGGATGGTCAAGTCTCGAAATTTCGGGAAATTTTTGGGAAATTTTCAATCTCGTTACACGAGACAAGATTACTTTTTGGCCGAGATTTTTATCGAGACGAGAATAAAAAAAAAATTAAAAACGCCTGCAGAAAGTCAATGCAATACCGCAATACAGGAGCGTGTTGTAGTTGCGTTTCCTTTTCGAAGGCATTCTTATTTAATTAATTCTTTTAATGTAAATATTACTTTAATTCTTTTAATGTAAATATTACTTTCATTATTTTAATAATATTACTTTAATAACATTTGAGAAGTTTTGTTAAGTGTAAGCAGTGTGAGGAATGTTTTATTACTATAAAAAAAGTCTAAACTATTTTATAAAAATTAATATTGCTTTTATTTTATGATTTATTTTATTTTAGGATAAGTTGAACTCTATCCTAACTGATATCACCATGTTTCCTAATCGTAGGAATTTTTAATAAGTTAGGCGTGATTAATAAAAAAATGTTATGCTGATGTTATTTAATGAAAGATTGTAAATATTCTTGCCTATTATCATTATTTTAGTATTTAAACAGTCATCTAACAATGTTACAAAATCAGGTAAAAATTTCAAACGTGCATTTCCCGTTGTGTATGAGAAGAGAAATCTCGTCTCGATCTCGTCTCGAAATTTTATGAGAAATAAAAAATCTCGTCTCGTCTCGTCTCGAACTAAAAATCCAATCTCGTCCATCCCTACTTAAAAATGACATTGAAAGTTACATGTCTGTCCATGCAAATAGTGATATAAAAATGGAATTTTTAATACTCCAGCGATGTCATTTATTGAACAAATAATTTGACTTCCAATAAGCAATTACTTTCAGCATAATTATTATTGTTATTTTAAAATATTTGTAGACTCGGAAGATAGGAAAGAGACAACTAATAAACAAGGGATGTAACATTTATTTGTGAGTGGTCAATTAAATTTGTTTAGGAAAAGGAAGAAAAACCTAACAACTGAAAGCAACAAAATCTGTTTAGCACTGGTTGAAATGTTAAACCTATGTAGTATGAGTTACAAAACTTGCCTTTACTTTTTCCTGGTTTTTGTTCAGAATGTCTCGGATAATCGGGGAGACAAAGTAAATATTCTTCCTCTTTCCACTGGCACACCTTGTGAGCATACAGTCCAACGGCAGATCTGGTTTTATGTCGTAAAAATCCCTGCAGTAAACAATCTTTATTAAACACTGAGACTTTACAAAGGTTTCCTCACTTAACCTTCCCGACTAGGACAAAAAAATTGGAAACTTTTACTACCTGAACGGTTAAATGTGTATCAACTGGGACGGTGGCGTCGTCCTGTAATCCAGCTACTAGGAGGTCACGAATTGTGGATATTTATAGGCATGCACTGTTGACGCGATTCTCCCTAGTGTGGATTAACGTCCGCACTAGTGAGTACTACGACTATCCGCAGTACTATCCTGATAATTAGACCAATTTGTTAATACCAAGGCAAAAATGTGGTTCGGATTCCACTATAAACTGTAGGTCCCTTAGTTGCCATTAGATGTATTGGCTATTAATTAACAGCTGTGTCTAAGCAATATGTCGGCCTTAGTCACTAACAAGACTACAAGATCGCGCCACACATCCTACACTCATATTTTGGGTTAAAATACGCACATAGTAAAATACGCCCCATCTGAAATAATTGATTTAGCTGATATAAGAATTCCCCTGAATGGAATAGGTCACAACGTGATTCTTTGCTTCAATCCAGGGGTGTTTAAGTTTGATGGGGGGAGGGTCTGCAATGTTTTTGAACATTATTTGATTATTATTACTTCCCTACTAATATTTAAATTATAATAATTAAATTCATGATATGTATTATTATTACTACAAGTGGGTTGCAAAAGAAAATTCAGGATGTATATGGGTCCACAGACAAAAAGGTTAGCGAACCGCTGAAGTATAGCCAAAACAGTTAGCAAAAACTAACCACCAATTGAGAGTGAAGGTGCAATTGGACAAGTTACATGAGCACTCATGAGAGTTGCCTTAATAAAGCCCTCGATTTGTTGTCTGGATTCTTGACTTAAAGAAGAGAAAAAGGTTAAAAACCGGAAACTCAAACAACCTCAATCTTATCTTCAAGAATAACTGGTAATATTGGAATGAATATAAATTTGAAATAAAAACTTTGCCAATATTTTCAGAATTTTAAATTTTGACTTAGTGTAGAGTAATGCTTGAAAAATGTACAAATTGATTACTGTTGGAATTGTTAATTCTGTGAAAATAGGTTTACAATGAGCTAGGGAACTAGAATTATCAATATCATGTAGGTAATGCCTTTTTTGAATCGACAAAATATGAGCTACATGAGGGGAATGTACCCAAACTAGAATACCATCGAGTATGTGGGCTGAAACAGACCAAAATACCATGGTCTCAAATGTTCTTGGTTCTTGGTTAACAATTTATTTTTTTAATTTCCATAATAAGCAATCTACTCTTGATAACTTTTTGCAAACCGTCTCAATTTGAGTTGACCAACTTAATTTTGAATCAATATGAAATCCTAAAATCTTGACAGAGTCTATTCTAATTTCCTGCTTGAGACTCAATGTTAAATATTGTGTCTTTTCAAGATTAGAGTGCTCTCATTTGAAGACAACATGGCCAGAATACACAAGTTACCTTATGATAGGCCAGACAGGTTCTTCTTCTTTAAAGAGCACAAACGGGTCCTCACGATAGCCTTGTATTCTCCGTCGCTTCTGAGGAGGGCCGTTAGTTTTGACGCTCTCTTTCTCAACAACGTCTCCGTTACCAGCTTCTGCGGACTTGGATGACTCCCACGGTAGCGGTGACAGCTTTACGAGAACTGCGATGAAGAATCCACCGGTGTCTTGGTGATGGGGTAGAACCCTCATGCTGTGCAAAACCACAATACATTAGTGGTAATAGATGTATTTTTAAGAAGGATTTTACTTCACGAAAGAATGGTATTCAATTTATTAGAGGACACAAGCCCACTTATATTAATGGGCCTTGAATAGTTCAAACTTTATATGGGTCTTAGAAAAGTGGATGAAATAACCATTTTAGTATATTGGACAGCCTTGTTGTTTGACATATTTCATAATTTTAACCCTTCCGAGGAATAGATTATGAACCCAATAAATTAGTAACTATCAAATAATTAAACTGCAATAATTAAAGTATTAGTCAACGACAACGCCTACAAAAATTAGGCTTCCTGCGACTGCGAAAATAAAAACTCAATACAACCCTAGCTTGGCCCAAACATTATTTCCAGCCCGAACTAACCCTTGGGCCAACTGTTTGCCTGGCCCGACTCATACTTGTATCGAACACCCGCAGACTACTAGTCATAATTAAAAGGATTATATACAAGTTTTGCTTATGGTCAACCGATTCACACTTGCCCTCACCATCTGTCCAGATGGTACTTGTCAGCATCCTCTGCTTTGGGAGGAAACATCGCCGGACGTATCATGTTGTGTAGAGACTCTGGTACTTCCTCAAAGGTCTTGTAGATCTCTGTCTCCTTGGACGCCAGGACCCAATGTGACACTCCAGGGCTGTGCCTCAGTCCTGGCAGACTCTGAGAGACATCCTGCAATTCCACAGCTCCTGTAGTCGTAACAAAAGGATTTGTCACAACAGGTTGTTTATTGTATGTCTATCGATTGAAACAACTATTGAATCACATGCCCTTGGCTTCTGTCCGTTTGGTCAACTTCTAAGAAACACAAGGCACCACAAAATAAGAAGTATTATAGCAAATGCCTTACAAAAAAGGTATAATACATGGGAAGTGCATGAAGAAGTACATTGTCTTTCTTCTAACGGAAGCACTAGAATAGTAGATATTTTATTGATCGAAAGAGAAACAAACAAAGGGATAATTCTCGATCCAACGATTTGATTTGAAATAAACCTAATCAAATTAAATAAATGAGGAAAGGAAAAAAAATATGAATCTATCTTTGAATATTTCAAGCAAAATTTCAAAGTTTCAAAAATGGAGGTGATTGGATTGTTTATTGGTTCTACAGGAACATTATCAAAATTTTTGTGAACTTTTGGAAACAATATGATTTGGACAGATCCTTTTTGAAAATTATTATCCACGAAACATCAAGAGGTTCATTGACTATAATGAGAAATCATTTATATGGCAAACATAAAAATTGATCAGTCTTATAGGTGTTAATAATCCTATAATCCTTCAATATTTTGAGTGTATATTTTTTTCTGTGTCATTGGCAACCTTATTTTTTTAAGGCAGATGTGTTTATTTTTATAAATAAATTCTTTTCTCTCACATTTACTACCAAGTGTCAGTAAACTGCACAGAGTAGTTTGACGGCTGATAGTGAATTTGATAACAGGCTAATATTGAACAATTAATTAATCGTTGGCTCTGTTGGTAGAGAAATCAAATCAAGCAGCGAGGTTGTATAGTTAAGTTAACATTTTATTCATCCTGTTACTGTATCAACTCACCCTTGCTTTGTTTTAAACAATGTGTTCCATGCAAACACCTGAGGCCCATGGTGGGAAAATCCGAGGACAAACGAAGTTACCAACCTTTTGAACAAAAATTACTTTACGGCTTTCCATGAAGAATAAGTGGTGTTGTGAAAAGAAAATTTTGTGAAATGGTGAATTTATGAATAAATAAATTAAATTAAGGTCTCAATAGACAGTTCATTTTGACTAAGAGACATTACTTTGAAGGAGATGTAACTGAAGATGGACTAACAATACTGTGTCGCAATTTCAATAATAAATTGTCATTGTCATTTGTCTGGTGGTATTTCAACCCGTTCTATCGACCAAAGTACTGCACTCTAACAATGGGCCAAAATCCGTAAGAAATGTTTCACAGCGCTCATTGAAAACGAAATTTCTTCCATTTCCCCACCCTCCCGTATGTCAGAAAGACCAACGTTGTTTACCTTTGGCCTCGACTAAAGTTCTGTGAATGACTGCCTCGTCTTCTAGTGGGTTGAGGGAACACGTTGAGTAGACCAATCTTCCACCCACTGCTAGCAGTTCTAAGGCTCTTTTCACTATCCGCATTTGTACACTACAAAACCAAACAAAAATCTGGTGTTAGTAGGTAAATAGGTAAATTAAAACCCAACACATAATGTATTACTCTTTAGGTTGAAACTGTAAAATATTTTTTAAGTAGAAACGTAAGTTATTAGAGATGTAGGATGTAGTGGTTATTTATTGCACCTGGAATAATACAGTTCATAAACCATTGAGTTTGAGCCAAATATGTTAACTACTTCAAAGGTTTTATTAATACTTTGTATAGCTTTATCTATGGTAACACTTGTTCAGTTGCACACTAACATACACCTTAATAATGATTTGTTCAGGGAAAAATCAAACGTCTACCAAATAGTTCAGGGAAAAAATCAACCTTCTACCAATGTATAACAAATCTTTACCACCCAGTCATTGTCAAAGCACATGTATATTTTCTCATCCTCTGATTATTAAATTCAATAAATGGTTTTAAGTTACCTTTGTCAGTAGGTCAAATGGTCGTTAAAACTCTACAACCAGGTTTCCATGCTGAGTTGCACCATGATCACCTAAGTCAGGAGGATAACTTCTTGCTCACATATGTCGGTCAAGTTGACGTCGTTAAAAAGTTTATAAAAACAATATTAAATTCAATTGACTCACCCATGCAAATTATTCGAGTTAGCAGGGTTCCACTTTGTCCAGATGTCGGGATTCTTACGCATGGTGCCATCTCCGGTGCATGGAACGTCACAGAGAATACGATCGTACCTCATAATCTCAGAGCTTCCGTCTGCAATGTTGATAAAATATTTTAGATTCAACTCTAGGCCTGACATCCATCATCCATAAACATTGTTATTTGATATTCTGTTACAAAATTAATCAAGAAAACAAAAAGATAATAACAAATGCCAAAAGACATTGAAACTGATAAGAACAGGGATTTAAACGGTGTATCTAGCATTTTTGACAGATTTGCCATGTAGATTATAATTGTATCCTAATTAAAAACTGCAAAAAGTTATAGGTCGTTCTAAAATATGTTAGACATAGCACAGTAGGTAAATCATAAATTTACTGTGCAATGTAAATGTTGTAGGTATCATGTTTTTTAACAAAGAAATAAACTTTCAAAAGAGCTTTGAAGTTCATTAAAGTTATAAGAAAATACAAACCACACTGGTCGACACTGGTACAATTCTTTTGCCAGTATATCCGTATTGACATTTGGTATTGAAAAAGCCAAAAGCTTTTAAGCAAATTTGGAAATGCTGGGAATCAAACCTACTATTTCTGCACCGCAGACGCTGACCACTAGGCTAAGTAGAGAGTTCCAGGCAGCAGACATCACCAAATTTTATGACTCAATTAATTTAATATTCCACCCAACAAAGGAACTTCTTCGTAAGGAAGTAGTTGAATTTTGTTATCCAATGAGAATTCTATTATTTTTTTCAGAAGTAGCCCCCGTTTGACAAATAAAAATATCAAATCATATGAACTTTTTGTGTACTGTCAACTACTTGAAACTTATTTCTTGGGTAAAGTAAATGTGTATCCTTAGTGTATTCCTACACCAAGTACTCCTTCCAAAAACTAGAGTAACAACACACCTCCTTACTCAAAGTATAAATATTTTGAAAACGAGTCCAACCACAAAATATCTCACCCTCTTTCTCCAGGTAGATGTTCGGCATGATGCTAGCGTCGTGGTTGGTCACCAACGTACAAGGACTGTTGAGCCGCTTGGCCTGATGTACCAACATGTAACATCTGGTGTTGTCAACGTCATTGGCAATCACAACACCACTGGGTACACTGGCGCCAGTGTGCATCATCTCTATCAGCTGGGCCGTCTTGGAGCCTGGCGCTGCGCACATGTCGAGTACCTAGTCAAACATCAATTACAGCATTGAACTGGTGGAAACTACCAATGATTTGGTAAATACTTAGTAGCTAAAACTGTTGATTGTGTAAACAAAAGTTGGGTAGGGTTCATAATTTCAAACGAGGAGATTCACAATAGTAGGCAGTAAGTAATAATATAGGCATAGTAACAAATTAATTCTTATTGATCATATTTTTAGCCACACCAAAGCTTCACTTTCCCAAATGATCAATTTATGATAACAAAATGTTTCAAATTGCTAGCATTTCTGAGAAGCATGACTAGAGCTAGATTTATATTTTTCATCTGCTAAAATCGATTATTTGACTTCCGCAGGCCAGCCAAAGTGGGCAGCTGACAGATATAATCTGCCTACACTTTTGGCGCAGAAGATATCTCTCTGAAATGTGACAACTTAAGAAAGTACTTTGGAATCATGGGATGATCTCACAACAGTTTTCATAAACTAACAATTGGCGGAGTTTCAAGAGGGGCTTGAAGAGGAAGCCACCAATTTTTAACACTCAATGTAAAACTAACAGTTGAATGAGTCTCGGTTTTTTTCCAAATTAAGGTCACTAGCCCCATCCAGTGCTATGCTTAAGAAAAACACTAATTTTTTATATTCCTCTAGTAAAATAGTCTTACTTATAACAAAATCAATACGTGATGAGGTAAAGCAACATGTAGCCAATGATTCCATACCTTATGATGAGGCTGCACGTCAAGCACCAAAGGAGGTATCATGCTAACCACTTCTTGTCTGCTGATGTTGCCCGAGTCTGTCTCGGACATAAGAAAGTTGTGAAGTTTGAAGTACGTCTCTGAACGACGGATATCCTTGCGGGATATCGGTACTTGCCATCCCAGCCGTTTCGGGTACCTAGAGGAATGTTTGTCAATTTGACTAGTGATGTTTTGGTAACTAACTTAGCCTAAATACAATTCTCAGTACCAGGACTTATCAAAATGTTGGTACGTAGTTCAGTCTTATTAGAGCACAGGACCTTGGCAACACATTCTTTAGATCACCAACCTTAATTCCCTGAATATAACTTACTTTTGAAATAACCTGCTATAACAAACAAATCACCTAATGCACTGAGTAATATTTGATTTTGTTTTGTAATGACTGAATTATTAATATTAAGCCTATAGTGATACAATTTGTTTTTAATTATAGGCCTACTTAATACAAATTATTATAAGTCTAAAATCATGGTTTGATTACCTATCTTTAACCTGTTTACTGTCAATATTATGATCTAAACGAAAATGTTTATGCAATATCCTATAGGCTAACTTAGTTAGAACTTAAAACATTTCATACATGTTAATTTGATCGTTCAATAGCAGATTTTTCATTCTTATCTATTCAAAACACAAAAAAGGTAATCTAAAATCTACCAGGATATATCTGAGGGTTAATTACCATGGCAAGCAAAATGGTTTCTTCTTTTCTTCTTCAGGATCGTCAGTATTGATCAGTCCTTTGAAAAAACTCCCTTCCACAATATCTAATAGGATTGCTGCTTCTTTCTCATTGCAAGCACTAATACGGAAAGCAGCGGGCAAGTCTTGTCTAAGAGCGTTGAGGAAACTTTCCCACTCTGACTCAGGGACGATGTTTTGGGCCTAAAAATGCATTTAACTTAAATACTAGAAGTTCTTAAAAAGTCTTAACCTTAACATAAAATTAAGTTGATTTTTAATTGGGTTTTAAAAAGTAGCATAGGGTAGCCTCTAAATTAATTTCAATATAACAAGCCAACAATTTCATTGCTTAGTGTTAGTAAAACATTCTTAATTTTTATATCAACTTCCACATGTCCGTAAAGAGAAAGGACAAATCTCAGTTGACAATTTAATTAACTTAGGCCAACATTTTATTGAGTAAGTTAACTCAAAATAATTGCAGCCTATTATAGTGTAGCTTAAGCTGTGTTGACTATTAAATTTCCTGAAGGGACAAAGCTTGGTTAGGCCTAGGTAGTTTCTTGTAGCTTACCTTGTAATATTTTTCGAACCCTGCACTTTCTCTCACCAATTCTGAATAAGGCCCACGTACTCTTTTTGGTTTGCTTTCCCTATTCTGAAAAAAATCAGATGATGTAAAAGAGTTTTGTTGCTATTTCAACTCAACATAGGCTAGAGGCCTAGGCATAGAGTGAAAAAGGTAGTCGGTCTAGGACTAAGTCATTAGGCCAACCGTAGCCTAGAGCTAGGGCCTAGGCATAGCGTGAAAAAGGTAGTGTGTCTAGGCCTAAGTCATTAGCCTAGAACTAGAGCGTGCCTTTATACATTTCAACGTTTAACACGTTCACTACGGCCCACCAATGGCAGGCATAGCCCTGGTGCGGCACAGCGTCGAGCGAACCTGTTTGGCTTTCAAATATTTGGTCCTGAAGAATGACAAATGACGTGCGATGATGTGCTGCGTTACGACGACAGTCGATGTAGTTTGCTGGAACACTCACAGAAAGCAGCACTGGCTGGAACTAGCCAGTCCCATTGTAAGTTATTGCCAGGGAATAGTGCGACCGCTGTGGGTTAGTACTGACCCAGGCACAAGAGCGCTGCACCCCCAGCGAACGTGTTAATGGATTCAGATTCAATATATAGCCAAAATCATTAAACACATAGTGCAATATATCTTGTATATATGTGTAACACTCTCTGATATAACATGCAATACTAATACCCCAGACAACTTGATGAAATATGATTATAACAATGCTAAAAATCTCAGTAAGTAAAGCACTTATTTAACATCTCTATCAAAGGTTAGGTTATAATTTAAGCTGGCCTAACCTATAAATGGAAACGTGAGATTTAAAAAAAAATTACCTGATTCCTCTCTTGTCTTCTAGTCTTTCTATTCTTAAACTTCCTAATACCTCCCATGGTTTAAGGATCTAAGTTTTTACTTTAACAGTATATATTAGATTTACAGCCGGTTTGTTTATAATAAGGGCATAAAATAAATACAAAACAATACTTCGCCTTCACTTGACTTGACAGCACGGACGGTGAGAGGAGGAGGAGTGAGGAGAGGAGAGTGACAGAGACAGATAGACAGACAGGGCTTTTTTCGCAGGCTTGTTATTTTAACATGCAGTTTCGTAGTTCTGCAGGCTTAGGCTATAGGAATAGTCCAATAGGAATAGGAGACCTGATTACTATGATCGATATTGAATCACTTTAAATGACAGACAAGTAACATCAGCTCATTAATTCGCGTATTCATTTAAATTTATATTTATGAACATAATGTAATAAAAGATTGAAAATTAAACATATAAAAATGAAAACCAAAACAATATAAATTGAGAAAATAATTCTGTACATTTAAATTGGAGTCAATATTTTCATAACCCAGTAACCATGCTTTCGTAATCTTAAAAAATACCATTAGCTACGTCTAAGCAAAACAGCTGTTATATCACTACTTGCGACGTTGCCACTTCGAAGGCCGGGGCCTGTAGTTGAAGGTGGCCGTGAATATACTCAACATTAATCACGCCCACCTATCTGGTATTCAAATATGAATTAACTTCAAATTAATAATGGGTGTTCAACACATTACAAATGTCCAAAATTGTTGAAATTTTGAGTTTCCCAGCATAAATTGTTTAAGTCTTTGCCCTCAGATAGGTTCTCAAGAAAATTGTTCCTTGTCCCTTGGGGTCGTCTGTCCATTGTCAGTAGCCCCGGAAATTTTTTCGCCAGCTAGAATTTTTTCTGCCACACCAATGCTCAGTACTGGCAACGGCATGTCCACTCAATAACTCGTTTATTGGACCAATTATAGACATTAATTACCGTACTTACTCTCTACGACCAGAGTTAAGATGGTGCATGTGATCACGAACTACGATGCACTGTGAGTACTGAGTGGACAGGGGAGATTAATTTAAGATGCCATATACAAAAATTACATATACATATACAAATTATTTTACATTCCTTAAATTCTAGAATAATCATTCACTAAAAATCATTTAAACAGGGAAGGACAAAGTAGCTATGGAGGTAATTAATACATGAGCCACTCAACAACTCACAAGGTCTAAAGTAATTGAAGCTTTAAAAAACCATTGAAAAGGAAGGCCTTTGACCTTAGAAAAATTCCTTTTAAGTACCTTTCTTGAATGGACGAAGGTAAGGATAAAGAGGACATAATCTCTTATATAAAAACAAATAAAAACACTCTCAACCATAACAGATCAAGCAGTAAAAAGGTGGAGGTGAAATAGACAACATTTAATCTAAAATTTGTTTATTTTCGTACAATCATGCTAATAAATGACTTACAAAAATATGTGTAAAAACAATAGCGAAATATTTGGCACAATTAAAAATATAAAAGTGACAATAGTTACCATAGAGAGCACAACCATCAGGTAGTAGAAGCATTTTCATATGCGACCATGACGTACAAATAGTTGTCTTGAACCTAGCATTTAGAAAATAGATCGAGATCACCATAGAGAAAACATAAATAAGCTCTGAATATTGATATAGAAGAAAAAAAGTGTCAAACTTAAAAAAAAATAAGAAGGAGATAGTTTAGGGTCAAAGCCGTTAATCTATTTGCTAGATGCCCCAGACTGCTAGATAAAACAAATACTTGTACAATCATTTACACGCTGCCTTGGACACTGTTCTTTTTAGCACTGAATAGGATATTTTAGGACGAAATCGGATTCTTACTTCTTAACTATAAAAGTGTAAATTACAATTTAAACTTTATACAAATCATTTAGTTGAGTTACTTAAACTAAACCTGCTTAAGTGATACATATTTACAATAGCTGATTGCTTTTAAAGTAGTTGGCTACTTTTTATCAGATATAAACAACAAAAACGTAAATTAATTTTTTACCCTGTGATGAATTAGATCTAAACATAACCGGTTACATGGCACCAAACATAACGTGATGTACATAAAATCAATAAAAGAGATTCTCTAAGTAAAGATCATTATTGTACAATGTATTTCTTATGATTAAAATGTTACAATTCAAGGGAGCTGTACTCATAAAATAGGAAAAGGGTAAGGTTTGATTTTCTTGTGCAATAAACCTTCAACTTTATTGACAGTTTTATTTTATTTGTGGTATTTCGGCATAAACAAAATTAAATTCATTGTAAAAGTGCTCATAAATATATTTTAGTATAAAAATAACAATAACAAAATATAAAACAATATAAAAACAATTCATTAAAAGCTGCCTGCAGTTTTTATACAACCCTGGATACATGAAAACCATGTAAATAAAACATATAAATTGAAAACAGAGGTTTGTGCAAAATAAATCATAAATTCAATGTCATGAGGTCAAAACTTAACTAGACTACACTAAAATGTAAAGTAGATAGTTAGAACAGTCTTTTAACTAATTTGGCTTATTTATATTTACAGCCAAATTATGGTTTTCCGTTTGTAAAAACAAAAGGACAAAAAATACAGTTGTTGTAGGAGTTAAACAGTTCACAAATAGTTGTTAGTGACAAAAAGTTACACCTTCAAATACAGTATGTTTTGCCTAGAGGTTTGATTAGTTGGCGAGGAAAATATAATTTTTGCTCTCAATATAAAAAACTAAGTTTTATAGCAATTAGTTTTACATCTTTAAAACACTTTTCAAAAGGTAAAATATTTCAAAGTATTCTAACATGGTTTTGACCGTAGAAACATAACCTTACATATACTTACATCTAACACAGTTTAAACGACTATACATCACAAAAGTGTAAAATAAATGACACGTAACTATAAAATCTACATAATCGATAACATTAGTTTATCACATATAAATGAAGGACAGTTCTTGGACTGTTGGTGCTTGCGTTCGAATAGTTAACCTTACACGTTGCGTTTGTACAGCAATATATAATAAAATACTTAACTCTCTTTGAAATAACTAAATAAAATCTCATTTCGATATTTTCTAAAACTTCGACGAGGACTAAAATTTCTCATTGACCAGAGGATGGTGTTTTTCCATAACGGTTTCTCCTTGTAGAAGTCCCTTTTTCTCTTCGCTTCCATTGGCCGTGTTGTAAAGGGACTCGTACACAGGGTTGCCAAAGTTTGCAGCCTAAGTAAAAGGCAACCAGGTTAAAAAAACATCTGTGTGGAATATTTACACAAGACCTAACTATTTTTTTACCATTCGTGATGGAAAATGTGTGTAACTAAACATCACCAAAAATGAAAAATAGACTTCTAACGATTAACGTAACATAAACCTTTAAGATATATGTCAGATGACAATTATTAAAAATGCAGTAGCATCAGGAACAAACATGCAACCCTATTTACACATTTCCACTATTCATCTTACTCAAATACTTCAAGAATATTTTAGTACTTTAAATTGTATCCAATAAAATCTTAAGGTTCACTTCTAAAACTATAGATTCCAATAACAATAACATCTGGACACTCCTTTGCTGAAGGCCAAAAACACTATAGACATTTCTTACTATTGGTAAACGTGTAACACCTGACACATTAGGTCCAGGGAAAACTTCAAAGGTTAATTATAGTTATACGAATCACAGCTGACCTGGTGTATATGTTGACTTACCCGATCAGATTCAATAGTAAAATCTCTCTCAACTTCATCATCCAGCTCCTGGCTCTGATACATGGGGTTGCTGATCTCTACATTATCTTGCATTCGAACATGACTGAACCCTTTTCCACTGTAAATGCAACATCAATATGAATTTGACCAAGCTCAAGAACCATCCTATATATTAATAAACAATTTGCAGCACATTTTAATTTAGATACCAGTGACACCAACTATTACATTACATCAGGAATTGCCAAAACAGCACCTGTGTCCATGAGATTCTGTAAAAGCACTGGTATTACCAGGGGTTATTCGGATAGCACAGGTGGCACAGTGAATATCTTATAGAGCACATATGTAACGTAATTGTCAATATCTCAAGAGGTTAGTATACAGTCTAGTATACATTTGAGAAACAGAGGGATTGAAATAACACATTTTCCTAGACACTAAAGATATACAAACCTGCGCTTGAACTTGATGATGTAGTAGGTGATTCCCAGTCCTGCCACAACCAGGAGTACGAGGGACATCAGTATAAACAGTGTGGTGATGGCTATATTGTCCTCCTCCCAGTCCAACACAGGTGCCGAGGCCCCAGCACCTACCCTGGTCTGACATCTCACGCCTACAAACTGCGGTGGACACCTGCGTAACAAGAGGAATCACGTGAAGTTGCTTTAAAACCAGAAAAGATGTACTCATATTGTTCGTATGTGAATCGATCAACCAGTAGCGAGTCAGACTATGGACCCACGCATCCAGGTGCCGCCACTAAAATTTAATACAGTTTATTCTTGTATTGATCATGTCAATTAGAATGACAAGCGGGATACACAAGTGTACAAGAACCCTTCACCCACCATCGTCATTTTTGTTATTTTGACCAATAATCTCAAATATCAATTTCCGTTGGATCAATTCAATACCACTAGTGGTGTGATTCTCAGTGAAGTTAGGAGTTTCCTCTCACACGCCTTATTAATTGACACTATCTTTACCAGCTCCCCATTTGCTTTGAATCAGGACTGGCAAATGAAAGGTTTAAACTGTTTCAGAAAATAAATTATGCTGAGGTTTACTCACGTGCACACTGGGCCAAGATCTCGGTCAGGACTCTCTTTGCAAGTTCCACCGTTGAAGCAGTACTTGTTGTCACAGACGGCTCTAGTCTCACAGCGGGGGCCTGTCCAGGAGTCCAGACAATGACAGCGGGGCAGTCCGTCCTCCACACTGCAGACCCCGCCGTGCATGCAATAGTCTTCACAGCTGACTGACTCGGAACCCCGCCTCACTGAACACACTTCTCCTTCCCATTCGTCAGGACATCTACAAAACATCAGTAGTTGTATTAGATGTTTTGCTTACAAGAGTAGCATACATTTGACTCGTACCTTTTTGTTGTGCTATAGCTATAGCAATATTATCCGAGAGAGTGATGAAATGGAAATGGTTGAGAATAGAGAGAAAAGTAAAAGTCCCATAAAGTTTTAGCTCTGATAAGAACCAACCACCAAATTAATTCAAGATTTTCAAGCTTTTAGAAAATGTTCCTAAATTTAACTGTCACCAAATCTAATCTTAAAAAATAGTAAAATTTAAAAATGCACACCAAAGCACTCACCACAGACCAAAAAACTTCCCAAACCAAACAAATGTGCTAGTATATTTTTAAAAACTTCTCGCTAAAGTAATACCTGCAAACTCGGTTGCCGCCGCTGATGAAGCAGGTGCCTCCGTTGTGGCAGTGTTGAGCGCACTCAGGCGTGTGTTGTGTACAGTTGGCGGGGGGAATGGGGGGACAGAGACAGGTGGGGTCGCCAGGCGCACACGAGCAGTTACACGTATCTACTTGACACCTGCGACCCACGTAGCCTGGGCGGCACCAGCACACCAGCTTCTTGGATGTTACGTTGCACGTGCCTGTCACAACACATTGTGTAGCACATAGAAATGTACTTAAACTATATTTCTCGTTAGGATGGAACATAGGGTACAATAGTCCTGGAATTTTTGTTAGGGTAGCAGGTTTTCTGAATGGGGAAGAATCTTTTTTTGGCACAAAAACAAAAATTTAACATTGTACACAGATGTTAGAAAATTTCACTAAAAAATAGAAATGTACAAGTTGCAACTCTATTGGTTGAAAACGCTGTCAGTGACAGTGAGGTGAAACATTCTAACTGTTGAATATTTAGTCAATTTTTGTGTTTCTTTTCCACTTTATTTAGTTAAACTGTAAATTTTGAGGATACTACAGGAATTAAAAATCTGAAATCTACCTTATGCGTGTTTCATGTTCAATTACGTTTTTAAGTGCGGACTAAATCATTTTCTGTTATTTTAGGGTCAATTACAAAGTGTACATGTTACTCTTTGACTCAAATACAAGAAAAGTGTTATCTCCCAAATGTATAATTCTACCTAGTTGAAAAAGTTGAGTAAGCAAGAGAGTAAGAACAAATAAAAATCAAAACTCCACAAATACAACAATTACTAGATGGAAAAAACACAATTTTCTTTTAGGACAAACATCCAAACGGTTTAGTCTAAGGTCAAATTATGTGAGTGTACGCGACAAACAAAATGAGACGTTGTAATATCAGTTCTAAAGCTACGGCAGTTGAATGTAAAACGACTTTACCTCCGTTTAGACAGAAGTTGGCACATCCGTCCTTCTCACACTTCTTGCCACTGTACCCCGGCTGACATTGACACACAGGTCCGTCTGGGCTCAGGTTGCACGTTCCCTGCACAAACAACATTGTTAGCAAATGTTATAGGTACACTTGGAGTGGGAGCACAACTTGGCTAATGTTTAGAGTGTGACACTTTTGTTATGGAGGATAAGGTTTAAATTCTGTCAATTACAGCTTTTAGCCAAGTGATAACACCCCGCACTGGTATCCCTGTACTGGTCCCTGTACAGGAGCCATGGGCAGAAAAATAATATAAAATATCAATAGCTTAGTATAAGATAAATAAATTTGCTAGTTTTGATCAAAATATATCCATAAACAAGCAAACTACAACAGATTACTTATTCTCCATAAGAATAACAAGGTAATTTAATTTAATTTTTAAAATTTTCCCCGTGGCTAATAACTGTATGAAATACATTAATATTATAGTTTATTTGTTTTTTAAGATCTACAAAATATTTTAGAGAAAACATTCTGTCTTGAGGCTCAAAAATGAGTAAATCAAATTTTACCCTTTCCCGTAGTCCGATTTTGAAGTAATGCAGGTTTGTACGTTTTCAAATTTAATTAAAATCATATTGATTTACTCAAATTATCATGCTAATGAACATATATATATGGAATTGAACAAATGGTATTTTAGGCATCGAGGAAGATATAAACAAAAAAGTAAATAGGTCCCAGGTCTTACTGTGAGACCTACGGTAATCGCTTATTCCCTATAATGGGAAATTCACTGAACTCCTACAATAATCTAGATTTCTATCTAGAAATTGAGGTGCACGGTCATTTCCGCCCTACAATCGGTAGTGAGCTGTAAGTCACCCTGGCACATTAACATTGAGAGACAGAGAGTGATCACACCTTGTTTTGACAGTAGTTCTCGCAGTGAGAAGTCTCACAGCGTGTGCCGTTGTAGCCACTAGGACATGAGCAGTGCAGACTACCTGTAGAGTTGCTGCGTTGACATACACCACCGTTCTGACACACCAAGTCCGTGCACTTCTCACACCTAGAGCCTGAAATAAACACTCGAATAAAATATAATGAAATCACTAATATCATAATGCTATTGCACAACAAACAGTATATTAAGACAAAGCTGCTAACCTTTATCTACTCATCAAAACAGCTTTACAGTATCATTAACTACTGAGCATACATAGAAGCCAAGAACTACTACTTTTAATTTGCATGCAAGACTTTTTTTACAATGGGTCGGACTAAATAAAATGTTGGCCTTCCGGTCTTGTACAGTACCAAAATTGGATTGCTTTTGAAAATATTGATTTTCAAACATGATCTTCCCTAAATTGCAGTGTGATTGTGAACATCGACAACAGTTACAGCGAAATCAAGAAAAGTCTTTCAAGTTTGTGTTGCATTCATTCTCAATAACAAAATTTTCTGATCTGCATTTCAAAGTTAACACAAATGGATAACAAATCACAAACTTAACCATATTAATGGTTTAATAGAATTTACTGTAATGTATATTCAATCTTCAATATTGATTGGAGAGTATTGAAAAGCAGTCGTTTGAAATGGAAATGCATTTTAAATGAGCCACAGGCAACAACTGATGTTAATTAATTGATTTCTGTCGAGTACCCACAATTATCGACAAAACCTAATCGGCAAGATAACTTACTCTAAACTGTGGCATCTCTTACTTTAGATAAATTATAATTCAAAGAGTAAAGGAGGAAATCAAATTTCAGCAACCTACTCTGTAAGTGGCTCATTCAATTACAGCTAGTACCTAAAGGCTATGTCACACACGGTGAGTTTACTCGCTGCTATTAGTCACCACTACTTTAGTCGCCACTCGTACTCGCAGGCTTGAAAAACACTTCCAGTCACATATGGCGAGTTGTAGCGGCTACTTCAGTCTGGTTGTGTAGAATAAATTGCTGTGCTGAGAAAAATGTTATCATTGGTATTAAGGAGGGAGGCTTTAAGACGTCTGTTGCGGATTTGCGTAGTGATCTGTGCAAAAATCAAGAAGAAAAAACGCAAGTAGGTTCGGGAGTGGATAGGGAGACGAGAGGGTGCTTAATCAATACTAATGAAAGAATTAGCAAATGAAGGCCCCCAATCATATTTTGAGGATAACCGTTCCAAAATGAATTTTGACTCGCCAGCAAGTGCTAGTCACTGCTACTTACTATGTCACACACAGCAATTAGTAGCTAATACTCTAGTCGCAGCGAGTAAACTCGCCATGTGTGACAGGGCCTTAAATGGGATGTCTACTTCAGTATCCAAAACTGAATGGTTCAACACAAACAACTCACCAGTAAAACCAGCGGGACAGTTGCACTGAGCCAGACCTGGTCGTGGGGTCAGACACGTGCCTCCGTTGAGACAACGACCGTCACACAACAACACCGGGACCTCACACCTCTCACCAGTCCATTGAGGCGGACAGTAGCACTGGAACAAATGTTTAATATTCAAGCAACGACATAACAACTTCTCAAAAATTAAAATTAGTAAAATTTCAGTTTAGAGATTCAATTGGAGAGTTTCAACACACTAGCTTTGAAGTACCAGAATTTTTCTTCTTTTTTTTCTGCAGTAAATCTGCCAGTGTACATTTTTATTTTTAAATACTCAGATCAACAGTATTCTGTCTAGAGACAAATGTTTCCACAAGGTACACTTTATAGACATTTTAAATTTGTTATCCCCAGAAAATTTTTAACCTGGTTAGTATTGTATGCAAAAAAGACATACCATTCACATTATCACATCCTAAAGTAAATCTAAATCACTTAGAAGCATACTTGAACATTCTGTAAGAAATTAAAACAAAAAAAATATGTAAGTAAGCTTGCAACAGTGCATTTAATTTTTTCAACAAAAACCAGTAACATTTAAAGGTCCAATTTGAAAAGTTGTTGTTTAAGTTTTAAGATTCATCAATTTTACCAACATATTGCAATTGTTTATTGAGATAGCCATAGTACAAAGTAAGTCGATTTCACAGATCAAAATAATAAGTTGTTAGTCTCAGTGTGATTTAGTCGACATTACCAACACGAATCACGCAAATAAACAGGGTATTATGATTGCAAAAAGGATGAGTCTTCCATAATATTCAGAGTCAATGCAACCACTGACATGTTTCAAACTGATTTCTTATACAACTGGTGTAAATTACCTTTTGTCAATTTATTCCTAGCTCCTTTGGAATGAAAACGATTACACTCTTCCAAATAATCTGAGACAACCATCTATTAAAATGCAAATTAAAATTATCACCTTGAGAGGCGGTGGCTGAGTACTATCCGTCCCTGAGTGTAGCAAGTCAGGGAAACACATTCCGTTGTTCTTGCAGTGTTGTGAGCACAAGTAGTGCTGACACTGGTCACCGTCGTACAGTGGTGGGCACTTGCACTGCGGCCCAGTCTCCGTCACAACACACTGACCAAGGTGACAATGTAGAGGACACTCTGCCCCCGCCACACACTCCATCTACAACATCATACTTTATGCATACAAAGGTGGACATATGGTTTGGGAATATCGTAACTATCCCAACTTAAATTTTCTTTAAACAATCCAGGCCGTAATTCCTAAAGACATAGCAAGTAGCAATCAAGGCGATGCCATAGAAAGAAATGCCTGAGGACTTACCGTACTGTTGGTTTCCTGTACCAGTCTGGGTTCAAGACCGTCGGGACAAAGACACTTGTGCGCACCGCCTCCCTTGGCAATGACACACAACTCTGTCTTGTGACAAGGTGAACTTGCACACGGATCCGTCACTGAAACATCACATGTCAAATATTAGATGTGAAGCAGACATAATGCACTACTACATTTCTGGATAAATTAAGGCTACGACCGTGAAAATTTAAGAAGCTGTCAGAAAGATGGTATATTGGTGATAAGTAATCACCAATATCATTACTATTTTTTTACATGAAACCTTCCAGGCTACTTAGAAAAAGTGGACAACTAAAGAATGTACACTGCATAAATTTTCAAAAATACCAGGGTTCCCATTTAGTTGTGAAAATAAAACTCTTGGATTATCACAGCTTAATCTGCACGTGTTTAAATTATTCAAGTGTCAAAACTATTGAGATATTAAAGAAATTACTCAATGCAATGTTTGTGCAATTAAAAATTTATATTGTCACCATGATCATGGGGAAATATTATGATGCTACCAGGAATCAGTGAGATGATCATTTCAATACCATTATCATAAGTTAAGGAATTGAGAATCAGAATCGGCCCATCTCTATTTGAATTAATCACAAGGTTCACACTTCACAGATGAATCCAGATTTTCACAATTATAAACATTTACGTTACATTCACAACTTTAAGGCTTTCAGGCTTTCGTGGTTGAATGGATAACCTGTTTGCCCAGTGTCAGACAAAATTCTCAGCCCATCTTTAGCGGAGTAAATATACTCTAGACAATAGGGGTTCCTCCATGAGAGGCAGAGCACTCACGGTTCTGCTGCTTGTGCTCGTGTACAATGACAATGTCCGAGGCTCTCGTCAATCCTTGCGAGATGTACGTCGTGTTTCCTCGACCAAACTTGTTGATCCTCAAAATATCGTTGCTCTGGTACATACTGATGAACGCAAAGTCCTCGAATATCTCCACCTTGTATGGTTTTTGGCCTGTAAATTGAACACATGATTAGGGATTCATACAAAGTACTAGGTAGAAGAATACATTTCTAATGAATACTGGAAAATATTTATAATGGATATACTTGTTAAACATTTTTAGGAATATAATTTTCACTTTAATTAACGTACAAGAATATTTTGTAGTGTCAGATAATGTTAGATATATTACAACAAAAAATTAAATATACAAAAATATAAATTAATCATTGGATTCATAACTAGGACCCTTTAGCAATTCAAGCACTTTTATAATCTTCTTGAGTTTCCCCTTCTATTTCCAATTTAAAATTTTTCATTAGAGAGATGTTTATCTAACAAATTGATAAATATGTTGTACAAAAACCCCATCTTGATAAATAAAACATGCTATTAAATAAAACAAAATCATGTACAAGCAGTTATGGGATTCCATAGAAGGGTGGTAAACACCATTTAACACTAAACTCATGAGGACTACTAAAAGCTCTTTCTGCAGAAAATACTGCTATGTAAAAAATATAATATTTAACAGAAGGTTTAAAACCTTTTTAACACTTAAGCACTACTACAGCAGAACTCCAAAATCTGAAACAGTTGGGATCATCCATCTAGATAGCCAATTATTTTTCTTTCCAAATTGATTTACTTTTTCCTCCTTGATCTGGATAATATACAATCTGGAATGAGTTCACTTCATTGGTGTTCTAATATATGAAATAACTACTATAGTTCGGCCGCTTAGAAAGAGACCTCCTCCAGCATTGGTTTAGCATTGGCGCGCAAGTCGTTTTCTAAGCGGCCGAACTATAACAACTCTAGTACCTTGGGCAAACTTGTGCACCAGCTGTCGGCCCCGTCCGTCCAGCAAGATACTGTCGATGGTCAGAGCCTTGGGGTCGGCCCAGTAGAGGCGTCTGGCGGGGTAGTCCACGGCCAGTCCTGTCGGCCAGTTGACAGCGTCCACCAGCACGCGGCGTCCCTCCCCGTCCATACCACAAGTCTCAATCTTGGACACCACGCCCCAGTCCGACCAGATCATCATACTAGTGAAAGAAATCAAATGACATCATAGTGACAAACAATATCTTGTTCACTTCTGTGTCTGGAATCCATGATTAAATTAATGTTTATGTTCTTTTGACCAAATTTAACAAAACATAAATAGTACAAATAGGGCTAGTATTTTAGGGGCGGGTCAGTTTGCCCCAGGAACCGGTTTGGGCCAAAAATATTATCAGGCAATGCTCGAGTAAGGTCCAGCCAAGCTGAACATTTATCTCTAAGATAGGGGAAAGCGTGTGCTAAGATGCATGATTAAAAATCATAGTAGGTTATGTTAACGTTATTGCCAGGAAAAATTCACGATTTTACCGTTATTGCAGAATATGTTTGCGATTTCACCATCACTTTAGAAAGTCTTCATGATTATGCTGTGAACACGGAAGATGTCTTTGATTTTGTCATGACTGTAGAAGATAGTCTCGATTTCACCGTAAGCATGGAAGGTGTTCTTGATTTTACCGTTACTACAGAATTTTTTCTAAATTTTGCTGTGAAATTGGGGAGATAAAATACATTATTGTATAAACAAATTGTAGTATTCCTATTATACATAATCCAAAACTCAATATCAAAGAAACCAGATTTTGGCTTCAGAAAAGAGAATTAAAATTGTTTACCCGACTCGACTCAAAAGTCTGGGCCTTGAGACCCCTAATGTACATAATCTTTGTGATTTTAAATATTACCAAGAACTCTACATTTAAGTGCAATCATTTACTGGCCAAGACAAAATATCACAACCAAACCCTGTCTACTCACCCAGACTTGGGATCGACCACAATGTCGTGCGGCTGGTCCAACGCCAGCTTGATCAGTGTCCGGCGCATCCTACCGTCCAGAGTGGCCACAGAGATCGTGTCTGCTCCAGCGTCCACCCAATACAGCCTCTTGGCAACCCAATCCACAGCCAGCCCTCGGGGCTCCACTAGGTTGTTGATCTGCACAACACATAATACAGTACTACTTGTGAGGTTAGATTCAACTTTGTTTTAGAATATTTAGTAAAAGGTAATGTTGGGTACGGATGAGATGTTATAATGGCAAACAGCTTTGACCAGTCACGTCAGTCATCATCAGTGTCAATCAAAGACAAGATCAAGAAGTTCTATTGTAATGTTAGGGACGTAAAATATATTTTTGTAGAACCTCGATAATTCACCACTGGACAGTTGGACACTCCCTTTAGTTCGACACGGGCTGTGATGACAAGACATGTCGGCTAAAAATTGGCGTTAAGGATTGAGTGAGATTTTAGGTTTAGCTAGTCCTTAAAAATATGGCTATCATGATGTCCTACAACAATAGGCAGGAGTAATTTGAGCTTTGTAGTACAACTGATAACGGAGGATGGATGGAGATAGATAATTCCAGCCAGTTTGACTCCGTCTGTGCCGAGACTGGTTGATATTGTGCCTAATGTTTCGTATGTGTTTATCAATTAGATAATCCTTCGAAAGGAAATCACTTTGCCTGAGTAGGCAAAAATGTTGTGAGTTTGACTACTACTTTGCTGAGCTGTTTAAGTGAAAGTATGTACCTTAAAATTGTCTAATCTAAATAGTTCAGGGGGTAAAATGAGTTTTAATATTTGACTTAAACGTGAGCATAATATATTATAGAAGAAGTTAAAGGTATTTCAAAGAAACAACATTATTTCTATGTACACAACTCACCAGCACTCTAGGTTCCCTGGGCTGAGCGTCTCTGTCGACTCGCGTGTGAGACGACATTGTGATGAGCAAACTGCTTATCTTCTTCTCTTGATGATCCGCCCAAAACACCTAACAGCAAAATTCTATTTAGATTCTTTGATATACACACTAACACTTGATTTTATTCCACTAGTTAAAAGGGAGTAACTGAAAAGTGCTAAGACAATAATAGGTTTTTTACATACATCAGTCAAATAGTCCAAAAATGATATTGCTCAACAGCTTACATGTTTCGTTGCGAAGACAACATTATCAAAGCTTGCAACTCGTCAAAAACACATTTAAAACACGAACACGAACGCAGAAAACATTAATACGGTACGAATACACAATTGACTCACCTACCATCCCCGCCATCTGCTACCAGCCCCGCGCCGCGCCAAACCAAATCAGTATTATGATAGCGCTATCTAAATGTCAATTGTGTATTCGTTACGCCTGAATTTATGATGGTATGGAACTAGGGATGGTCAAGTCTCGAAATTTCGGGAAATTTTAAATCTCGTTACACGAGACGAGATTTTTACCGAGACGGGAATAAAAAATAAAAAAAATGAAAAACTCCTGCAGAAAGTCAATGCAATACCCGCAATACAGGAGCGTGTTGTAGTTGCGTTTTCTTTGTGAAGGCGTTCTTATTTAATTAATTCTTTAAATGTAAATATTACTTTAATTATTTTAATAATATTACTTAACTTTAATAACATTTGAGAAGTTTTGTAAAGTGTAAGCAGTGTGAGGAATGTTTTATTACTATAAAAAGTCAAAACAAGTAACTATTTTATAAAAATTAATATTGCTTTTATTTTATGATTTATTTTATTTTAGGATAAGTTGAACTCTATCCTAACTGATATCACTATGTTTCCTAATCGTAGGCATTTTTAATAAGTTAGGCGTGATTAATAAAAGAATGTTATGCTGATGTTTTTTAATAAAAGATTGTAAATATTCTTGCCTATTATCATTATTTTTGAATTTAAACAGTCATCTAACAATGTTACAAAATCAGGTAAAAATTTTGAACGTGCATTTCCCGTTGTGTATGAGAAGGGAAATCCCGTCTCGATCTCGTCTCGAAATTTTATGAGAAATAAAAAATCTTGTCTCGTCTCGTCTCGAACTAAAAATCCAATCTCGTCCATCCCTATATGGAACCTTTAATAATGTGTTGAAAAAGTTCATGGTACCTATATTTTTATTTTCGCTTTTTCGGTAGAACTCGGATAATTTAGAGATATTCCAGAAACCTTGTGATATTATTGTGATCACAGGAAATGATCATTTTGTTGCCATGATGTCAGATCGTGGATGAAGAACTTGTTTTAAATATTTTTTTTACAGTTTAAATCAGTTAAAAGCTTCATAAATGTTCAAAAGGAAGTGACAGTAAATTTTCACCAATTCTATTTAGTTATAGAGATTATATTTGGATTCAAGATTCAGAATTTTCTTTGTTTTACTATATTTCTAGATTTAACCGTGATAGCTGGTGTACCTTAGTGGCTTGTCTGGCCCACAACACGTCCATGGCGTCCATCTTGTGATGGGGGGAGGCCGACACTTGGTTGACGGAACTCTCGTGAGACTTGTACGGGTTCAAGAACTGAAGGTCGCTGTCACTGGCGACCATGAGCACTGCAGGCTCACCTGTCGACATACAACTCACGACTTTACAAAGGGAAAGTTAGGCGTTTTTATAGTTTCTGAGACTACAGAATAACATTGATAAGTGTAATGTTTGCTGCAAATAAAAATAAAAATCATAAAACATCTTTTTTCCTCTACAAGTAATAAATAAAATAATTAACAATATTCATTAGCAGGATCTAAAATACAAATTATTTTCAATATTCAAAGTACATAAAGACTTAATGAAATTGTTTAAATTCACGAATTTCATTTGCTTTTAAGCCTGCAAAGAAATATATAAATAAAACACTTTAAAAAAGGGTACAGTGTGTTTAGGTAAATACAATTATTATGGGAAGTGTCCGGTTGAATAGATGTGAATTAGTTATGTATATTGATGTTCATGATGTTGATAAGTATTAAGTATGGCCAGGTCTTGATCCCCAGTTTTGAGATTTTTCCGAGACAGAACTTTTTCCACCCTTCAGCAAATTTGCTCTGTTGTGAGTAACAATCATGACGTCTCCATGATTACGGGAGATGTTGCCGGTATGGAGTGGGCCGATGGTTCACGATTTTTCCGTTACCATGGGAGCTGTTCACGATTACACAGTGATCTCTGGAGATAATTACGACTATGCCGTAATCACGAAAAATGTTTACAATGGCGCAGTGATCGTGGAAAATGTTTCACAACAGCGCTACAAGGCAGAAAACAATGGTATAGTTTACCTAGAGCTATGCACGTATTGTTGACTCTGTTGTACTGGTAGCCCTCCGCACACACACACTTGAACGTCTTCTTGTACTCTTGACATGTGTGAGGACAAGCACCGAACACACAGGGCGGTTTGAGACAGCCGACCTCGTCCGAGTTGTCTCCGCAGTCGTTGTTGCCGTCGCAACGCAGCTTGCTGCTGATACAGTGACCTCTGGCACAGTGGAAGTCTCCTGCCCCACATAGGTTGGCGTGCTGACCTGAACAACAATGAGGACAGTTAGTTGTTGCATGATTACAACTAAAATTTATATTCATAATAATTATCTTAGATGAATCAGTTTTACATATCCCTTTACCCTTAATGTATTCATTAACAAGAATTTTATTCAGAAATAATTATAACATCACAGTCAACTAAAAAGTAGCGTAGAATATCATGATCACCATTGAACATGGAGCCCTCAAAAACAATGTAGAGTAAGTGGTAAAATCTGCAATACTTCCAAACATTAATTTCATAGTGAACACTACACTTTATACAATTAATGCTTCAAAGAACTACAATTCAAACTACTGCTTTCCAACCCCCAATGCAAAGGATACCATGAAACTGCAAACCTATTAATATCATGTAAAATAAAGACAATAACTTACAAGCCACAGGTTCCTCATCAGAGCCGTCTCCGCAATGATTGACTCCATCACAAACGTTAGCCTTGGGTACACATTTGTGGTTCCTGCACCTGCAGTAGGAAAATAAATCTGTTTATTTATACATTTCAAGGCACCATAGTCTACCATCCTGTTCCTTTATAAAACACTTAAAATAAGGACATTCCATCATCCATCCTTATGTTAAAGTTGACGCCAGTTTTTTTTTGTCAAAATCGTAGTACTTGATGTAAGCCACCAACAGATTGTTTTGATCTAAACTAATAAAAAACTTTTTTGCCAGGCCAAACTAGCTATAGCAACTGTTATGACCATCAACTTGGTCAGTAAAAAAGGTAGGAAATATTGTGGACACTAGCGCATTCTGTGACTCGCACACAGCTAAATTCTTTTTTAATAAAAATTTGCAACAACTGGTCCATATAGATGGGAAGTCCACTTCAGTACCCAATAGTCAATGGATATAATAATACAGTGTCTCCACTCAAACTTAAAGAAATTTACAGTTATATTTGCTTTTTTGTGATGTTAATAAAAGAGTTGGGCGGCTCTGGTCAAGTACAGATCGCATCAGGGCATCTCGTAAAAGACCAAGACCGCAGAGAGAAACCGAGCAGTATTAATAGGCAAGCAACAGCAGCGACACCACATGTTATCATGTTCCATTTGTAAAAAATTGGCAACAGCTGATGTCTAATTAAATGGTTTAGATTACCTGTCTCTCGGTAGTCCTACTGTCTCCATTGTGACCGGTTTGGAGATTAAACTCTCATTATCAGGCTTCCTTAAGTGCCATATCACTCAAGTTGAGATTTTAGGTGAACACAAAAATAAGCACATAAAACACAAAAACACGGAAGGCCGTTGTACAAATATTTACGACACTATGATGCAGCATGGGTAGAGGTGTGGTCATGACATAGTAGGATATAATATGCGTAGCAATAGACGACAGTAGGATCATCGACGGATAGGTAACTTAAACCATTTAATTCCACAGGTGATCCTGGGCCACTAACCACCATGAGAGATGTGTCTACTTCAGTATCCTTAAATCAATGGTAGAGCTGAAATTTACACCGAAGCTATTTCTCAACACCTAGTCACTCCATTACCTGAACCTTCCGGGCATGCAGGGCAAACTGGCGCACAAGCTCTTCGCCTCGTCACTGCCGTCGGCACAGTCGTTGTCTCCGTCGCAGCGCCACAAGTAGCTGATACACTGTTGCTTGTCCGCACACATGAACTCCTTCAGCGGATCGCAGTGACTCTTGTGGCAGTCCATCTCATCTGACCCGTCGGAACAATCCACGTCACCGTCACATTGCCACTCTCTACAAAACACAAGTTTAGTATTGCTTAGTATTATCACTGTCTCTAAACACAGTGTGGGAGGGGGAATAAATAGAATTCAATAGTTGCTTCTTAAATGTGATTGTTCCGTGCTTTCTCAAAGGATGCGGATGAGGAAGAAAATAATGTGGATCTTTAAATTTACCGTAACAAACAGTCACCGTTTTTAAAAGAAACACTAAATTGTGCCTCTTTGTTTTATTTTCTATTTGGTTCAACCCAATCAGCTGTCTGGAAACCAAAAATTAATGACTAAATCAAACTATACGCCTATATTGATACCTACTGATATGTATTTATTGGCCTCTATTGCAACAAAAAGACACTGCAGAGTAGACATTTACACTCCAATGAAGACACCACATTATTTACTCTGTTAACAAATTAAAAAAGTTAGCAATTCTATTTTTAGAGAAAGCTTTGGAAATTTAACCTTTAAACCCTCATGTTGGACAATCCACTCAACTTACATGAATATGCAGTGTTTGGGACTGCGGCACTGGAACTCTTTGCTAGAACACGTAGTGTTGCAGTCGTTCTCATCGCTGTGGTCCGGACAGTTGTATTGTCCGTCACAACGCAGCAGATCTCTGATACAGCGACCATCCTTGCATCTGTACAACACAGCTGTTAGCCTAAGTATACGTAAGACCTGCACAGCTGTTTCAATCAGTATAAATTGTTATAGCAGGCATTCCCTAATTGGGATGGTAATAACGTACTGCGGATTTCTTTTTAAAATAATGCCTAAACTAATGTAATTGAACCCTCATTATCCAGCCAATACATAATAAGGCCTTCCAAGTTGACTCTTCCTTCTTCAGAGGCTAATTCTTTCAACCCTCTAAAAAATATTTGACCTCAAAGGGTTAAGAGTTTGACGGCTAGTTAATTTTTATATTGTAATAGAATTCTGACGTTTTTGGTGACAAAACACCCTCCCAGTCAAATAAGTTTCCCTGATCTGATTTCTTTTTAAAATAATGCCTAAATTAATGTAATTGAACCCTCATTTTCCAACCAATACATAATAAGGCCTTCCAAGTTTACTTTTTTTCTTCAGAGGTTGATTTTTAAAGAGGTTGACGGCCAGTTAATTTTTATATTGTTTTAGAATTCTGACGTTTTTGGGGACAAAACACCATCCCAGTCAAATAAGTTTTTCTGATCTGATAACCCAAATAATCTTGATTGTACAGCTGGTTAACCGGCTTAAAAAAGGTTTCTTTTATTATATCTTTGGCGATTTATAAGACAAATTTTGCCATTGCAATTACATTACGACATAACAATCCTGTTTGGGTTATCTTGAGAATTTATTGCTAAATTACTGCTCGGTTAGAGCAGTTAGAACTCAATTACTCAAACTTAGTTTAGGCTCAGTTGAAAATTCTAGTGGCTCGCCCACCGTAATTTGGAATACAAAAGTTGTTTGATAGAATACATTACCACTGCCTGAGACCACTCAATTCTACTAGACCAATCTGTGGACCGCCAGAATAAGATAGTTCTGAACCACTGTCAAAGCAGATGATTGGCAGGATTCAATCCTGTGACTTAGGACTGAAGTCCTGTGCTCATATCAGATGATTACTTACTGGAACTCAGCCTCAGAACAAGGTCTAGGTTCGCAGTTCTCTTCGTCAGAACCGTCCCCGCAGTCGTTGTCGTAGTCGCAGTGCCAGCGGCCTGGGATACATCTACAACCCAACAGTGGAATCAATAAGTTGTTGAAGTGCTTGTAAAATATTGTACAAATAATACTTTTTATTTATTTTGACTAGAAACTTATGACAAATCAAAGGAATTTATTGTATTGAACGAATGCAAAAATTGTAGTATTGCAGGGAAACAACAGATGTTACTTGTACAAAAAATTAGATTTAAGATTTATTTTACAAATCCATCACAAGATTCACAAATCTCAAATTTACATTTGGCTTTTACACATAACTTATTTAAACTTAGAGGTTAGAGTTTAAGCTAACCTCTGTCGGTTTTAACGTCTTTAGACAAAATTCTGATCCTAGGCTGTCCAAACCAAAGAGGAATTTTCACTGTTCAAAAAAAATAAGATAAAATTTACACCCACAACAAACAAATCAAGGAAATCACCTGTTATTATTACACTTGAAGTAGGTCGGGTCGCAAGTGTGGACGGTTGGGTCGGAGCAGGTGGGAGGCTCGTCTTCTCCCCCGGGACAGTCCGTAGTCCCGTCACACCTCCAGGACTCCGGGATACACCGTCCGGACTCACACAACATGAGCCCCGGATGGGGACAAGTGCGGTTGACACACAGAATTCCTTCGTCACTGTTGTCGCCACAGTCGTTGTCGCCGTCACACACCCAAACAGATGGTATACACTTCTTGGTTTCACAATGGAACTGTAAAATAGGGGTTTATGTTGTTAACCTACAAATCACTTGTAGTAAATGTAATAGTTTTTATCACAGCGCTTGTCATGTAGTGTTTAGGTAAAACTTCCAAGACCCTGGTGAATCTGACTGGAGGTACAATCTATAATAATGGCTTTAATAAATTTTACTGGTTCTTGTCAAAGAACTACAAGAATCACCTGGGCAGTAAATTGTATTTAAACTACTCACATGGGGAATCAGAGCTTAGATATCACATACAGAATAAGACAACTGAGGTGTATTTATGTTTTAATTTACTAACTGAATTTCTAATCTAACCAAAATTATAGTTCCAGACAATTGAACACAAATAAACAAGTTCACAAAACAATTAATTTGATATTTTGCCCTTACAAAAAAGGGCTTCTTTAGAAGGAAGAGAAGGAAGTAGTTGAAGGTGAAGGGACTGAAATATCAATATTAGTGAAATCTTTATCCTGTTAACTACTTGGAACTTTTTAGTATATCCATTCCTTCTTCTACATATACTAAAGCCAACGTGTGTTCTCTTCCAAAAGCCAATCTAATCTAAACTTACTGATGTTTACAGAACCTACCTTATCCACAGGGCAGGTTTGGTCCAGACAGTTCTGCTCATCTTCTCCTGCCGGACAGTCTTTGAAGCCGTCACATCGTTTGGTGGAGGCTATACAGAAGCCTGGCGTAGTAGCATTACCTTGGCACTTGAACTGTGTGTCCATACATGTGTACTGGAACATAGAAAACCATTATGGTTTTAGGGTTTGTTGTTTGAAGAGGTTGGTGGCCTATAAACCTTGTATTTACATTTGTGTGGAATGTATCCTAAAGGTTTGGCAAGTTGATGAAGCACAAGGGTGAACTGTACTGATAAAATGTTGTGAACACCAAGACATGAACTCATGACAGCGATTGACGACGCTTCCATGAATCCGTAGTCCTTGCACTACAAATTGAGCCACTGACTCACCAATAGTAAATTTTTCTTCTTCACAGTAAATTTAAATTGTCATGACACAAAAGTATGTGTCAATGACTAGTTTCACACCTAAAGGTACATTTTCAAGCTACATACCGAGCTATTTTCTAACCTTAACTACCCAAAGTTTCTCGTCAATCAGCTATATTCCAGTTATAATATAGGACATATTAGTACTGTGCTATGAGATTATTTACTATAACTATACTCTTGAATTAAAAAGCGCTCTATATGTTTTAGCAACAAGATACAATTTTGACTCCAAAGTTTATCATATGAGATCCAGTTTTAACTGGTCACACTATTTGTACATATGACCGGTTTTATTCCAAAGATTACAATTTTTGTATTCTTAATTGTGTAGAGAAAATAAATTAATAAATTAAATTTTCCCACGTATAGGGCTAACACGACTCAAGAGAAACCAAACTGTTAATCGGACAGCAACCACAGGACAGACTAACCGTCATGTACTGATGTATCAAGCTACTTACATTGTCACAGTCGAGTTCGTCAGACTTGTCGGGACACTCGTATTCGCCGTTGCACAGCTGTGATGGATGTATACAGTGATGGTTGTGACACTGGAACTGTCCTGGCAGACACTCAAACGGAGGACAATCAGCCGGCTCATCTGACCCGTCCCCACAGTCATCCTGTGAGACAATATCACACATTTAGTCAAATTGTATGAAAAAAGATGCTTAAATTAAGCACAAGGATAATGGTTTTAATGACTTTGTGTGAGGATATATCCCTTGCACTCACCTGTGTGTCGCACTTCCACCAGAACGGAATGCACTTGTAGGTAGACTCGCACTTGATCTGTGAGCTGCTACAGTTAGCGTCACACGTTCGTCCGTCGTTGGCCAGGGCGTAGTTCTCCGGACACATACACGAGTGTGAGCCGCCCGGCGCCACCAGGCAGAGAGTGGCGCAGCCACCGTTGTTCTCACAAGGGTTGGGTGACACTGTGAACATGTGGTTAAAATAATCCGATAGGGTCGCTAGTTGTATTGAAGTAACAAGAGTTTCTTAGGGGCGTTTTCGGAAAGAGGTGGAGTTCAGTAAATTTATATGAGAAATTTAGAGCCCACAGGCTAATAGACACCTAATGTAGCCAAAAAACAAACCATTGATGTTTCGTCCTCTAGGACTTCTTCATAGCGTAGGTTGAAGATAAAAAATTTTCTCAAAAGATCCGACCCAACCAACTTGGGTTTGCTTTAAAACATAAGAGTTTCTTACTTAAGGTTGTTTTAGCCTATAGAAGATTCAAAATTGGACTAACCTATAGGAGTAAAGGATTTTTTAGGATAGATGGCTTCCCTAGATATGAAACAATCCACTTTGGCACAAGAAACGCAACATTACACTATACCGATACACAAAAATTAGAATTTCTCACTCACCGACAGCCAAGGAAGATTTTAGTTGGGAATAGAGAAGTTCAGTTGGCTCACCCCAACTCGAACCTTCTTTGGTTGAAAATATTGCTAGTGAAAAGTTGACATTTTTGTGGGTCTGTATAGTTTGATGTTCTTTTTCTTGTACAAAAGTTGACTACGTCCTGAAAATGTAAGACTACTATTCTAAAAAAAATCCTTATGTAAAGGCTAGTCCTGAATTTACATTTCACAGCCTCTATTCTAAAAATCTCAATACAAAAAATCAATCAAATTCGTACCAGGTTGTTGTCTGTATGGATGATATATGTGAATGTCCATGGGTCGATGCACAGTCGTAGTAAGTGTGCTGCAGTTGGTAGCACTGTACTTGGGACATCTCTCTACGGACTTTGTCTCCCAGTCAGTCCAGTAGATGTGGTCTTCAAACACGGCGATGGCAAACACATGATGTAGTCGTAGATCTGGCGTTTCTGCCACAGAAACTCAGATAAGTCACGGGCAACAGGGGTTAACACAGAATACCTTAGCCTACAAACATCTTCACTAAATGGGTCAACATTAACCTATAAGCATCTTTACTGAAAGTGTCCATCTTAACCTATGAGCACCTTCATTAAAGGTATTGGATAAAAAAATTAACATTATCACTTATCAGCAATCTGACACATACTTTCTCCCGTTAGCTTGTCAATAACCCTTTTAATAGGTAAGCGGTGAGCGTAACTATGATATTTTATGGGTAAAACAAAAATAATTGCAATAACTTCTAAACAATAATGTTTAGAGCACTGGGGGTTGTACAATTTGTTTAGAGTTAAAAGGACAATAACAAGCTTAATTTGAATCAAAATTAGCCGTTTTGGTAAAAGTCAGATTCGTCTGTTATTTGAAGGATTTTTATGGGAAAATTACCATTAAAAAAAAATTGAATTTCGCAAAAAATTAACCCCTGGAGATGCCATGGAATAGTGCCTAGATAACTAATTTCATCAAAGTCGGAGCTCAGGTGTAGTCTGTAGCTCTGTATACATGCACACACACATTCAGAGAAACTAAAAGATATCCCTTCAAAAGCCTATTTTGGATTCAAGGGACCCAAAATGGATACTGTATTTCCACCCAAAACGGAAACTGAAATTTTTTTACAAAAACAATACTTTCTCCCTATATCCTATGGAGAACAAATCAGTTAGTACTAGAAAGTAAAACTCAGTGGAGCCATAAAGAGATACGGCACAAATTACAATAGAGAGGAGTGAGCTTGTCTAGTGTCAGAACGCACTTTGGTCCCAAGGTCCAGAGTTAAAATCCAACCAATAACCAAAGGATTTTATCTATGTGATAAGGCAACCTCTAGGCCTAGCCTGAAGTCATGTGCAAACGGCTTTGAGATTTTAAAGCGTCTTAGAACGAAGAAGGGACGTAAAAAAAATACTCACTTTATTACTTTTAAATCTTGTGTTATTAACACGGCCACAATAATAGTTTACTGTTGAAGTAATTAAGATAATTTACCTCCTCTGCTCATGAGTTTTCGTATGGAATTGCCGTCTAAGTCCGAAGACGCTATGTAGTCTTCTCTAGCGTCCGCCCAGAACAGTTCGTTGGTCTCGTATGAGATGGTGAGTGCGTTGGGCCAGCCCAGACCCTTGTCTACGATGACATGAGGATTGCTGCCGTCCATTCCTGCCTTGCCTATGTGAGGACGGTCTCCCCAGTCAGTCCAGTACAGGTACCTAAAAGGTATAGAGGATTCTGGGTTACTGGAGGTAACATTATAAAAATTGATAACCTCTTGTAAAAGGGTAAAATTGGGTAACTTTTTAAATGTATTTCAAACAACGAACTTCCTTCACACAAATAATGTTACTCATGAGTGATATTGGCGTTGTTGGATAATAGAACATTTTTGACCATTGAATGACAGACCATTGAGAGTCTACTGTAACCATAAAAACGACGGATGTAACTTTCCAGTGATATCAGTAAATCTTTTAATAATCTTGAAAATTAACTTATAAACATTTTTCTTACTGTTTGTACAACTCACCCTAGCCTCGGATCCAGAGCGATGGCACGAGGCTCCTGCAGACCCTCGCGTATGATGACTCTGCGGTATCGACCGTCCAGCTTAGACACCTCCACAGTGTCCAGTCCCTTGTCACACCAGTAGAGGTTCCGACCGACCCAGTCAACTGCCAGACCATCGGGGTTCTGCAGCGTCGCTGAGTGTAGCGTCTGTCAAGACAAACACAAACGTAAACATTAATGATGTATCAGGACCAACATTGATCGATTCACAATACCGATACCTGAAAAATCAATTCTAGATTGTCGATACCAAGACCATTTTTTTATAGTTTTACAAAATTTTCTGAATGGATTGGTTACACTAATGCCTTTAGGTGGTTCCATCAAGTATTTTTGAGAAAATGAGGAATTTTTAAAGTATAAAAAAAATTAATGCAGCAATGAAATATTCTAAACACCCATTTAAAGTTTAATCCCTTCTACACACATTAAATAACAACATATCAAACGTAAATGCAGATCTAATAACAAATAACAAAAAATTGTACTTTAACTAAAAGGAGTTGTGACGCAAGCGCCACAGCTTCATGGCGTTACGCGCTAGCATGCCGTCCAACCGGTTTTTTTTCTTGGACCAATCTTTTTCTAAGCTCGGCCGGCTCGCCTCTTCTCTCGCCCCTGTCTGCCCGCTGCCGTGATTTGATAAACTTCGAGTCTTCAAACTTCGTACAGAAATGAACAATCATCAAGCTAAGTTAACTTATTAGTTTTAAGCAAAATATAAAAATATGTTAGGCTAGAAGTAAATTTCAGGGGGGGAAGCCACTGGCTTCGCAGGTACGCTGGAAAATGTAATAAATAACTATCAAGTTTGATTCCGCCTAACGGAATCAAACAATCTTTTTCATGTTTCGAAGTCACATGTTCCAAGAGATTAAGTTGCCGGTAAAAGGGATTGCTTAGTTCATCTACCAGTTACAATTCAACCAATTCTTGCTTCAATCAGGTTTTTTCATCATATACATATTTATATATTAGTTTGGAAGGTGTCAATCAAATTAGGGTATTTAAGTGTGTTAGTTAAATAAGTGTAATCAAAGCTGGCTTGGGCTGTCTTCCTGGTCTGGGTAAAAGGTCCAATTCTCTGGGCCCCATCACACATTTCCCGTAATCCAAAGAAGTACTGACATCCAGAATAGCTAAAAACCATATAACAAGATTACCTCCACCACAGAGTGCCAGCCTAAATTTCTTCAGTCAAGCCAAACTCGAAGTAATATTGTGATCATCTCCTGTGGTTGTGTGGACATCATCATCGTCTCCCGCGATCGCGGTAAAATCATGAACATCTCTGACAGTTATATGTGGACGTTGTCATCATTTCCCACTGCCGTGTGGACATCATTGTTGTCTTCTGCTATCCCTGAACCCTTCACACAAGGGAACGCCCCGCTCTATACACACATTAATCTCTCACCTGATACGAAGTGTCGTTGTGACAGAAACGCTTGATGGAGCTAGAAAGCGCAGTGACGTCAGACCAGTAGATACACTGCTCCTGCCAGTCAAAGTCCACGGCCACTGCGTTGGTTAGGTTGTTTGCCAAGAGAGTCGTGTGTCCGTTCATCTCCAACTCTCGGATGTAGTACTTGTTGGAGAAGATCAGCTTTGGCTGCACAGCTGCATAGAGAATAAGATATAAGTAGAAATAAATATAGTTCTGTGGTTGATTGAGATAAATAGTGTCAGTTAGGATTTTACTTGAGCAAAATGTGATCTCTAGGTGTAAAGGATGTTCCTATAGGCTGTTCTTAATCTTACAATTTTGGGTTATTTGGACCAAAATTAGTAAAAGAGTTTCTAAAACTATTTATCAAGACCAGTAGGAATTTTAAATTTTGTAACTGGTTAAAAAGTAAAAACATTTTTTCAAAACAATTTGACAAAACTATGAACAAGAGATATAATTGAAAAAAAAAAAAACTAAAAATACTCATAAAGTATATAAAAATCCTGATTATTGGAACCTCTCTTAATCAGAACTTGGATTAATACTGGATTAATCAGAACCGGCAGCAAAAAGTAAAAAATTATAACACTTTCAGCGACACATGTGAACAGAATTGTAGACTTTAATCCCAGATTTTACCTACAATGCACAACTGACTTTAGAGGGGAAGTTCAAGAATGCAATAGGCTTGGGTATACAATTACACTACTTTTGCCTAGAATTAACAAGACCAACCATCAACCACTGATCTTGAAGACTCTTCCATAAAAAACAGTAATGTTTTTAATTTTCCAAAGCATTACCCTTTTTCCTAAATCAGGTAAAAGGTGTAAAATAGAGCACAAGGGCCTAGGATTTTAGGAAGTTTTTTGTGAGGATAGCAGGCTTATTGGAATGGGAAAAAGTCCAAACTTGTACACAAACATATAATTTTAACTATACACAAAACATTGCTTGTTATCTCCCGTATGTAATGGCATTATTGTACAATGGCTTCTGCCATGAATAAACAAATTGAATTGAATTGAAAACATTTGAATATTTTAGTGTCACTGACAGCATGTTTACCTAAGGAAGGTGAACTAGCTCTTCAACTCATACCTTGTTCAGTCGAAATACTGTCAGTCACTGTGAAATATCCTGATGTTTTAGTGTAAAGTTTTGTGTTTCTTGTACCAGTTTTGACTCTTTCCCATTCAAGTATGCCTGCTATCCTCGCAACCAAATACACTCTACTCACCAGAGTCAGCTTTGCAGGAGTGTCCGTTGGCCTGCAGAAGGTATCCTTCCACACAAGAACAGCTGTAGCTGCCGTACGTGTTGCGACATATCTGAGAGCACTTGTGTTCCTCACACTCGTCCACGTCCACACACAGGTTCAGGTTGCCCGGGTGTATCTTGAACCCTGGACGACACACACACTCGTAGCCGACTTTCAGGTCCTTGCAGATGTGAGCGCAGGGGTTGGTAGTCTCACACTCGTTGACGTCTGCAACAAAACACGTGTTGGATACAGTAGCGAGAGCGCATGGTGAAATAGCAGTTTGTGTTATTTTCAGATACTGGTACTTAGTTGTGGCAAAAGGTTTTGTTTTAAATACAGATCTGATTATGATTTAGTGATATAAACTTGCTTGAATTCGAGCAACGGGTGCACTAGTATGATATAATTCTGTAGAAATATTTTTTTCAAATTTTACTTGCAACATTCCAAACCGTGAATTGGATAAGTTAACAAACTCTTCTGTCCTTACACAACAAACACGGACGACTCATTCAACGCCCATGTGACTTACAATGAACAATTGTAACTGAAACAATACTTCACTGTGTCTAGATTACCACACAGACCAGTTGTTCTACAGTTACAAACAGTTTAGGTTACAAAAATAAAAAAAGTAGTGACCAAAATTCTACTGAAAGCCATTATGTATAGATAGACATATACTTATCTATCTATCTACTTATCTACGGGAACATACTTATCACACCAGACTAATGTAGCAAGATCAGTTTTTTTTTCTAGATTAACAAACATTAAACAACAACTCACTGCATTTTTCCTCATCACTATAATCTCCGCAGTTATTCTCTCGATCACACAACAACGTTGCGTTGATACACAAGCCGTTGGCACATTGGAACACATCGTCGCCCACACAGTTCATGTTGTCTGTAAACAAAAACACACATGTTGGTGAACCGAACTAGTATCATAACTAGTTATAGAATATTATGTATATTTTGCTTCATTGAGGCCAACTCAAAAACAGGTCCACACTCTGTGTTGTACATAAATCCTTGTTAAAATAGATTTAAAAATGTAGTGGTGTATTTCTGTTTAAATAGCCATTGTTTAAATACTTTTGAGCACTCAATTTAATATCGCATACCCTCAAGTGTTTTTTTATAAAATGTTTGACCACGTTAAAGCTTATGATTACAGCACAGTTTCAGTTTTCAGAAGATTTTTCACTCACAACATTCGTGATTGTCGACATCTTCGTCAGAACTATCTCCGCAGTCGTCGACTCCATTGCATATCAGAGCAGAGTTGATACACTTGCCGTTACGACAGGCAAACTCCTTGCTGGAACACTTGACGTTGTGGCCGCAAGTTATCGGCTCATCGCTGCCGTCTCCACAGTCGTCATCTCCGTCACAGAAGTATTCCTACGATCAAATAGAAATATGTAACCTTGAGGAAAACTTTCAACTTTTTCAACTTTTTTTTTTTTTTTTATGCTTAGGATAAAAAAGAATGGTGGTGGTGAGTAAAGAAGATATGAAGTAGTACCTATTGTCAGAACATAATAATAATATGCTAATATACTTGTAGCTCTCAGAGCTAAGATTGTAAAATTAGTGTCAAAATTAAACTTGTTACTGTTAATTAATTTTTTGAAAACACCAACCACAACGGTAAGTAGACCAACCTTCGTAATACACTTGCGGTTGCTGCACATAAACTGTGTGTCCATGCAAGGTGAAGGGTCGTAGGAGAGACAGTCCTGGCGGAGATTCTCATCAGAATTGTCTCCGCAGTCATCCTCTGTGTCACACACCCAAGCCCAGGGAATACAGCGGCCTGTAGCGTTACATCTGAACTCTGACTGCGGGCAAGTCCTAGTGGCTGGGAACAAGCATTCACTCATCATGTATACAGGAAATACAATTAAATGATAAGAGCAACTAAATTTTGTATAAGAATGCAAAACGGATTTCTGAGCACTGCAGATTAAGAGGAAAATGAAAATTAATGAAAATCTTTATTGTTCAAGAGAATGTAGCTTCTGCCAATAATGAGTACACATCCCAAAGCATATGTTGGCATATTGCAAAGCAGTTAATGATTAGGAATGTTCCCTTTTAGAACCCCGTAAGATACTTGATTTCCTCAAGGAATTAGGGCTACAGAGGTGCTTTCACCAGTACTCAAATTTGGTTACACAGATCTTTTAGGTCGCAGTGCAACCACAACATATCAATCAAATTCAGTTTAATATCTAATCTATAGACTCACCGCAATGTTCGGTTTCATCAGAGCCGTCAGTACAGTCCTCTGTGCCGTCACACTGCCAAGTCACTGGGATACACTCACTGTTGTGACAACGGAACTGATCTGACCTGCAGTGGTAGGCTACACCGATCACAACGGAATTAGATATTGTATTTACACACTGGGAAGCAAGAGGTGTAATTTACATCATAAGGTTATTGACCTTGGATACTGAAGTACACATCCCATTTATATGGACCAGCTGTAGCCATTTAAAAAAAGGAATGGCATCGTTGAATGAGCAACCTACAGAGTATGTAACAGTCTAAAATTATATTTTCTCCCTTAATTTGAGTTAATCTTATACTAGGATATAACAAGTCCTATATTCAGTTTTGCCTGGTTTAAAAGTTGCCATATTCAACAGAAATCAGTAATTCAAATCAGCACACTATGTCAGTGGTAATTTTTATCCTTAAACTAGCGACAAGTTAAACATATGAATGAAATGTCTAGTCCTGTTTATGGTCAAAGGTATTCAAGAAGGCATCTAAAAAATCTTAAATATATTATTACATTAATATAATATAATATATTATTACATTAATATTTGTGTGTTACTAACAAATTCAGTATGGTTTCCGTCAGAAGATCAGTTCTCAGTTCTGATGTTTCAGTTAATTTGTCTTATTAATGAAAATTGTTGGCCAAGAGATTTTATAGGCTACTATCAATTTTAATATTATTGGCTGAACTCTCCTTTCATCACTAATTGATTAGCTCTGCAGAAGAACATTGCAAGTGCCAAAAGTGGATATTTTCAGAAACACAAAACGTTCTGGCCACCCTGATGCCAAAACATCCAGGTTCCCATGCATTCAATCACTTGTAAATGCTGCCGACTTGTGTGTTTAAAAAAATGGTAGGCCTATATCCCACACAGTTGAGGATGTCATTTGCATTGTTCTTTCAAATTTCAATTTTACAAAATAACGTTTTTCAACGTTGTTTGATGAAGATAATCAATTATATTTTATCTCAACAATTGTTACACAATTCAACATTGTCAACTTTATACCTAGTGTAAGAAACGGGATTAACCCCCCCCCCCCCCCCCCCCCCCCGATACAATAGATCCCCCCGCCACTTCCCGATATTCATAGGGAGTATAAATACAAATACTTACTACAGTTGCGCTCGTCTGAGCTGGTCAGGCCGTCGTGGCTGTCGTTGCAGTCGTCGTCTCCGTCACATTTCCACGCCAGCGTGATACACAGACCAGTGTCGCAGCGGAACTTGTTTGCGGGGCAATGGGGCATCAGCGCTGCGGAACATAAACAGCGACTTAGTTCTACACTTTTTTAGTTAGATGCTTTCATGTGAGGAATATTCACGAGTGTGTTTTCATCATGTCTGACAAGTCCTGGATATCACCAGTAAAAGTAACGATGAGTGAAGCCTATAATTCACAAATAAATTAGGTCTATACATTTACGAATATTTCCAATAAAAAAAAATCCTTATAGGTTACTTAATTCCTTAGGTTAAGGATCTTACGTTTGCTATCTTCACAAAAAATACTCACAACGTAGGCTTTGTTGAAGTTATTTTAGCTGGTTGTAAAAACAAAATCGTTTATTTTCTAAACCATTGTTGTAGTGTTCCAACTTACTGCTAGAGGTGTGATGGTCACAGTCCTGCTCGTCGCTGTTGTCCCAACAATCGTTCTGTCCGTCACAAATCCACGAGGGATGAATACACGCAGTTGTGTGGTTGCAGTTGATCACGTCGTGGTCAGGCATGTCATTGGTGCAGTTACGTAGCGCTGCGGAACAAAGAAACCGCATCAGAACATTGACAACAGTGAGTCTGTGTCATAAAACTTACAAGAAGGAAACTGTATCAGAGAACCTTCAAAAACTACTTTTAGTTTTGATGCTTACATATAAAGAGGAAGTGGGTGGCAACAGCAATCCAAGGGCAACATTACTTGGTATGCTGAAGAGTTATTTATCATCAATAAATAGTTTTCAAATACCAAGGTGATTGTAATTAAAATATCTAGGGCACTGTGGGATTGAAAATTTTCTTTGTGGTTTTGTAATTGTTTTCCGAGAGAGTCCTTGGAGGCTAACGGCCATCTTGGATTTGCCTGCCATAAGAGCATTGTTAATTTCAAACAGCCACTGAAGAGTTATTTACATTTGCCAGTTGCCAGTGATTGCAATTCAAATATCTAGGGCACTATGAGATTAGACATCGTCTTTGTATTTTGGAATAATTGTTTTATGAGTTAGCAAATCTAGGCTCTAAGGACTATTAATAGATTTGTTGTAATAAATAAGACCAAATCTAATGTTGCTTTAACGTATACAATGACAAGGACCAATTTCAAAATTTGAGTTATAACTTAAGTGCATTTGAAATACATTGCTCTGTAAAAAAATTACTAAATCGTAAAATCCTTAAACACGTTTACCCAAACATAGCTAACTATATCAACAACAAAAAAACTCGTTTGGAGAATGCTGTATTTCTATAATTTACACACTGAAACTCATAGTTGTACTCACGGCAGTCGATCTCATCAGTTGCGTCGGGACAGTCGGGATCAGCGTCGCAGCGGAACTTGACCAGTATACACGGCCCAGCAGCGCACTGGAAGTGAGTGGTCGAATCACAGGAGCAGTCCAGCTCGTCGGACCCGTCACCACAGTCGTTGACATCGTCACACCGCCGAGTACGCTGGATACACCGGTTGTTCTGACATTTGAAATAGCCACTGCGACACGTCCGCATACCTGTTGTTGGGGTGAAGTTAAAATAACATACAAACTTTTTAAGGACGAATGCGCTGTTTTTATTTTGATGTAACCAAGCGCTGGAAACTAACAAATATGGACAGTTTTTTAAAACTTTGTATTTATAACGTTAGACAAAGACACTACTCACTGCAGTAAGTCTCGTCCTCATCACTCGAGTCCATACACTGAGGCAGACTGTCGCAAGTCAGGTGGTACGGGATACATCCACGGTCCGAACATTGGAACTCTTCCTCTGTACAGTTGGGTGTGTTGACAGTCGCGCATCTCTTCCCGTCAGGCAGCAGCGCTCTGTTATCATTGCAGCCGCAATACATCGTACCGTTGGCCCACAAGTGGCATTGGTCCTCGCAACCGCCGTTTTTCAATCGGCAAGGATCTTTGAAACCTGAGGTAAGAGTATGAGATACAATACTGTGTGGGATAGGTTAGGTTATTTTCTACATAGCTACAATGCTTAGTGAACATCTAGACTTTTAAAATACTAAATATGAAGGCAGGTTAAAACATTTTTTAATGGTTGGTTTAGCTAGTATAATTGAGAAAATAATTAATAATATTTACAATCATTCCAATATGGTCAGAGCAAGTGATGCCTTTTATTTCTGTTGAGTTAATTTGCCACAGTTGTCATTTCCAAAAACTATCACTAGATTGGGCAGCAGATATTTTAAGTAGCTGTCATAATTTTTAGGCTCAATAAACCAGATCAATACAGATAAAATAAAGTACAAATTTCTCTGCTCATAGTTGAATGTTAACCGTTTTGGCAAAAAAAATTGATTAAGGCGATGCTTTGCTATCAAGCAGCGTGTTAAGGGCAAGTAGCATTTTTCAATTGTTTATTTTACCTAGTGATCTTACACTTGGTAGAAAAAACTTGACCTCAAGGTTAAAGCATCAGCTGTTTGAAAGATTTTTATTTAAAGCATGCACCCTAAACAAACGACAAACTTATAAAATAGCAAAGCACCCGTATATCTAAAGTTAAACATCTAACAGACTCCAATAAAGTTAACTTACAATCCATGGAGTTGTTGGATATGGCCACAATGCCCATTGGTCTAGGCACGTCCTTTCTAAGCCACACCACGTCGGCCCCTGTGTACTTGTTGGCTCGTATCACAGCATGTTGCACCCAGTCCGTCCAGAACAGCAAGTCTCCGTACACGGCCATGTCAAACGGATGCTGAGGCGTCACTCGGGCCAGTACCTGTGTGAGATCATCAATACTCAGTTAACTATACTAATCATTAATCCATTTTTACTACCATCTTTAATATTTTTGTTATACTCTTGACTCGATAGTGTTACATAGATTAAGCAAAGTGTGGATTGCTGGGACATTTTTTAGCAATAGAACAAAACTATGGTCAGTCAATTAAAACATATAAAGCAATTCAGGTAATTTTTCTAAAATTAAAATGAAAATATTGAGAGAGCTGCAGATATCAGCCAAAGCTGCAGAAAGCCGTCACTATCAAACAATGAAATGCTTTTACTTATTTCTGTGATAAATAATTTGTGTTTAACAGATCTCAGTAAGGCTTACTTTTACCGTTAAAATGGGAAACCAAGCTAAGACTAAATAATGCTACCTCACCACACATCCTGATAAAAACTAAATTAATCAATTTGTACCCCGCCAAATTTAAACAGAACATCACTGACCACTCTGTTAGTGCCGTCGTACTCGCACCGCTCTATCTTGTCGAGCCGAGCGTCGCCCCAGTACAGTTTCTTGGCCGAGTGGTCGAGTGTGAGAGCGTTAGGCATGCGTATGTCCGTAGTGATGATGGACTGCTGTCCGTATCCGGTGAGGAACGCTCTCTGGATGCAAGGGTGGTGGGAGTTCCAGTTCGTCCAGTACATTCTCCTGGAAACATAAAGCCGGGAATGAAAGAAAGCTTCTATGAAAACTGACTTAGGTATTGTAAGGGTTCATAAAATTCGTGAATATTTATAATAAAACTGAACCCTTACTAGCAGAATCGCCTCGCCAATTCGCCGAAGTTCCAAAATGTAACAAAACAACTTAGCAGATGACACAAGTTCAGCAACAGCTGATCTTGTGGTTCACCGCCGTACCACCGGGCCGCGCATCAGTCGCCCGCGCCTGCGCAGGAACCCCAGCCACTGCGCTGGATGTGCGCGGCGCTCGCAGAGACAGAGTGAGTCGGGGTCGGCGAGAGTCGACAGTCAGCAGGAAGCAGGAGGAGTGGCCTGAGCAATTAGGCAGAAGAAGGACGCCCGACCCTACACTCTCGCTCACGCCAAGTAAGTGGACGACATTCGCCATTCGCCGTTGTTAATATCCTAGGGCGCCTAGGATAACTCGACCTCACTCGCAATCGCTTTTATTACGCCAACCGTTTATTCACTGTTAATTAATTACGCTATTTAAGTCAAACGTCCGCGGGAAGTTTCGTCTTAAATTTAATTGAATTATTAACAGAGATCGATTTATTTAAACCGGTGAATATCTTTATCGTTTTACTATAACATAGAGTGTTACCTGTTTTGTTAAAATAACTCTGTAAATATATAACGATCAGCTTTGATTTGTGGAATATCTTAATTTCGTTTGATACATAATTTATAGACCGTGAGTTCAAAGAAGTAACGGTCAGAACGAGATCCGCCCGGTTATAATTCCTTTCTGTTTTAATTGTGTTGTTTTATTTGTATTGTTTAAATCTATTCAAGTTTGATCGGTTTCGGTCACGCAAGGTGGCTTTTTCATATTCGTGTGTTTTTGTTTGTTTTGTTTATCGCGTAGGTCCGTGAGAACACGGTGTTACCTAAATATAATGTGTGGTGTTTAGTTTGTAGTCAATGTTGTTCGTAATTACTGTAGCAGCACTTCAGCTGTGAGATATTTTATCTATGGGAATAAGAGTTAATTAATAGTGGATTTATTAGAGTGATTTTAATACTTTGTTGGCTTCTTTACTAACTAACACGCTTTAATTTGCTTGTACAGATTTCAGAACTATACTAACCATTGTAGCTATTCATTATCTTTTATACTAGAACCAGTGCACAGTAGTTATGTTCTATGTCGTTGTTTAGCCGCTATTAAGTGTTAATGTTCTATGTAGTTGCTTTACTATATTTACCACTTCATTATTAATTATTCATTTAGCCTTCCACTAATTATTGATGTGTTGAACAATATGCATTTAAATATTCTAACTCATGATACGACTCCGCTACTAACACACTAACCTTAGAAATTGCTTCAAATCTTAGCATAACGCTTAACCTTGCTTAACCTTTGACTATCAATGCTTAACTAAGGCTTTGGGAAAACTGATTGGTTTTGGGAACTTTAATTCGCCGTGACGTTAGACAGTTAAGCCCCAACTTCTCAATCCATTCTTTACCATTTCCTTGATTCCTGGACTGTTGCTAATTGAGTGATCTGTGTATCGTATGTGTTGTGTGTGTGCAGCTGACTGCTTTGGTTAGCTGTAGTTTGCTAAGTAGCTTTTCTTCTTTCTCTATTACTTCGGGCACACCGGAAATAAGTTAGATTTAATTAGCACTAAAGCTCTTAGCTATAAGTCTTCTACTCTGTCACTTTATGACTATGAATGTTTGTTGCTTGCCACAAGCTTTTCTTCTTTCTCTATTACTTCCGGAAACACCGGAAATAAGTTAGTTATTAGCTAGATTTAATCTATTCCGGAAAACCCGGAAATAAGGTATTTATAAGTTAGCTTTAATTACTTCGGGCACACCGGAAATAAGTTATTTATAAGTTAGACCTAAGCTATCCCGGAAAATCTGGGAATAAGTTAGTTTTTAGTTAGGCTTAATCTATTTGAAATAAGTCTTTGTGTGCTCAACCTGTCTCTGTGTGTGTGTGTGTCTCGTATCTTACTCTTTCTGTTAACGATCCTTCTCCACCCTACTCTGTATGTTCGTTTGCACCTTTTCATATTCCTACTCTCTCACGGGGCTTTGAACTAGTCCACTCGCCCGAAACGCATTGTATCATTTTAAATAATAAAGACGCATCTAAACTAATTCTGCTCGGTCCGTGGCGCATGGACGTAGGGTATTAAATTAAATAAATAATTAACACTCCACCGAGGAGGTTGTGAACAGAGTCGCGCACGAAGCTATAACTTCGAAACAAAATCTCGCCCTCCCTCTTTTATTCACTCGTTTCCTGGCAATGATGAGGCACGAATAAAGCCAAGAGGCAAAATATTCCCGCCTGAGCCAGGAAAACGACTTTAGGAGACAAAAGCGGGAAAACCCGACCAAAATTGACCCCCGGAATAACCCAGCTCGGCTAGGCTATCAGGGACGCGTAACGCCCCGACCCGACAAATTAGCGAAACACACCCGGAAGCGGGTTACAGTATTCTTTGATATTTGTCAAAAAGATGGAAGTACTTTTGAACAGTTTGAATATCTCATACATAATATAGCATCAGTTAGGTTGGGCTAGTTAGATTGTGACGTAATTTTGTAGTTTGATTGTTAAAAAAAATGTGGTTGAATTAGCCACTCACAGTGTTTGCTAAAGAGAAAATTCTATAATCTTCCTTAGTTTTGTTATCGTGGAGGCTAATGTGATATAACGTAATATTGAAGTTTACAATAATTTGTTTTATCAGTTTCGCTTGGTTGAAGAGCGGACACATTCACCAGAAATTTGTCATATTCCCCAGAAATGAGTTATTTAAATCAGGACTGTCTTTCAGTAGCTCACGTCAACTACGTTTATATCAATTCTTAACTGTCTGAAATTTCAACCCAATGGAATGTCTTCTTCCACCCATAGTAAAAGTTCTAAGCACATCTCTTGAGGAAACATTAATTTAGCTTGGAGTGAATTGAAAAGTTTTCACTCACCAGTCGCAGCTGTCCACGGCGATGCCCCTCGGCTTGTCACTCGGGCCCAGCTTGATGATTGTCTCGGGTTTGAGGCTGCCCCAGTTCTCACTCAGATTCACCTTGTTGATGGTTGCGTCGTTGTTGCATGTCCAGTACAGCATGTTGTCGATCGCCTCGTACGCCAAACCTTCCACCGAGCCCAGACCTGCAATGCCGTACTTAGAAAAGTTGTCTCTTTTGAAATTACTAATCACTTATTAAATTTCCATACTAAAATAGGAAAGTCAAGTTACACCCTTTAAGGAAAAGTCAAAGGTGTCAATAGTTCTGTAGACTAAAGATTACAATCAACCTGTTAAACCTAGGAATAAGAAGTTACCTCTGAACAACTTGCACTACTCAAATAGCGTACCTATATAGAAATATTTTTGAACTCAATTTAGAATATTTCACTATTACTGACGGCATTTTCAAGCAAAATAGGCTTGGGGACAATACATTTCCAGGTCCTATATTAAAAAAAAAAAAAACGATGCTTACCCTTATTATTTATTTGGGAGGGTTTAGAACAAATTAACAGTATTCACAAATACACTCGCAAACAAAAACAATTAGCTGGCCAGATATGAAATAAACAATCCAAAATCTTACGCTCAACGATCTGGCGATGGTTGCTGCCGTTGAACATAACCGCATTGATAGATCCTTGCTGAATGTCGGAGTAGAAAAGCGTGGATCTCTCGTAGTCGTAGGTGAGACCGATAGCATTCCTCATCAGCTCCTTGGACTGGATGCTGGGGTAAGGTGCGTTGAGGTTGTGTTCATCAGAGATGTGTACACTGTCTATCCGTACCACTCTGGAGTACATCAGGAAACTGTCGTATTCTGTAACAAACAATCATTTAGCTTTGTTTCTACAGAACGGTATAAAAGTGAAACACTGCTAGTAACGAATTGTAAAGTAAACATTAAGCCATACAAGAATTAGGTACTTTTTAACACTTAAAAAGTTCTTGAACTATTTTTTCAAGAAAATGAGTTGGAGTTTTGTGACTGATATAAAATGAGGTACAGCATATTATGTCTGTGAGGTGTAACATAAAAATGATCAAGTATATGCTGGAAGTAGGAGGAATCTTGTACGATGGAAGACAAATTCATTTTGCACCATGTTTATTTTATTTTTAATTCCGAATGAATAAAACTGAATTAAAAATTTGTATAAAAAACACAGAGTTCAGCTAGTTTACTTGAGAAAATTAGACCCCAGGGGGTAAAAATCATTTAAAATCTACTCTCTGATTAAGTTGTATATTAAGATGAAATGTCAGTATCACATCATATGATTTTATTGGGTACATAAAGAACTCCTCTGAACTCAAATTTTCTCAGGTAGCTAGCAGAACTAAATCCCTATCCAAAAACTCCTCTTTCATCTTTACAGATTTCCTTTCTAATATGAAACTCAATTCATTATTTATTGAACAATTTACACCTAAAAACAAAAATGTGTCTATGAAGAACTATTTATACTGAATCGTATCAATTATCTTACCCGTGCAGTTCTTGCCGTCGGCCGCCACCAGTCCGTGAGCGCAGGCACATATAGCACTCGTGCCATTGTAAAGACACAACTCAGCGCAACCTCCGTTGTTAACAGCGCACGGGTTGGTACCTGTTAAAACAGAACCCGTAACAATATAATCACATTTTGCTTACAGATTACTTCAATGTTTTGGCAGAACAATATGGGAATAAGATTTGGTATTGTTTGATAAAGAATCTTGATTTTACTGGGTTACACATTGCTATTAGTGATTGAATGCTAAACAACACCTCATAGAAACCTACTAGGAAACTTTTTCATATTCTTTTAAGCGCATTTAAATCATATACTTTATCTAAGGACAGTTTAGTTATGTTAATTCTTTTCATTCTTACAAAAATCTCAAAACTAATTACATTAAGTAGATTCTACTCAATAGAAGTTGAATAGAGTGGTGTTTAAAATTCATTGGTGATATAGTTTATGTCATTTGAAGGATTATTGCGGACATTTTGTATCACAATAAATTCAAAACATTTTCAAGAAATTGTTTGAATCTGAAAGGACAGAAAGTGCTTAAAACCTAAGATTAGAAACCCAGCCAAAGCTGAAAAAACTCACAAAAATTACAGTCATAGATTGTATTGTACAGTCAACACAATAAGATTACAAGTTAAAAGATCACAAAAAAACTGCTGAAATATAATAATACCCCCCCGCTGCAGCAAACCTGCCGACTAAGCGAATTTCCATTTGTCTGAATTGATTTTCAGTTAAATATATTTTAATAACATTAGGTTTAACGAGTACCTAGGTTTGCTGCTACAAGGAAACTAATAAAGTGTGTTTTTGAGTAAAATATTGATAGCTTAGTACAAAATAAATAAATTTGCCAAGTTTGATCAAAATATATTCATAAACAAGCAAACTACAACATTTGATAATATTCTCCATAAGAATAACATGGGAATTTAAAATTTACAATTTTTTTAATGTTCTCCGTTACTAATAATCGAACAAAAATACTTTTATATACTAAATTATTTGTTTTTTTAAGCTCTTTAAAAAGGTCTAAAGAGAAATTGGGAAATTTTGTGTTTTGAGGGTCAAAAGTGAGAAAAACCAATTTTTACCCCATAAAACCCCCCGTAAAGCCCCGTTCCCATGGTCCGATCGTGCTGGTTCGCGAACTCATTCAAGTTTATCCCGCTTTACACCTTTAAACCAAATTTCATCAAAATCAGACAAAAATTACTCAAGTTATCGCGTTCACGGACGTATATATATATATATATATAAGTCTATATATATATATATACATATATAAAAATTTGAACGAATAGTGTTTTTGGCCTCTGGGGACATCAAAATGAAAAAGTAAATCGGTCCCGGGTCTAGGTCTTACCGTGCCACCTACGGTAATAGCTACTTCCCTATAGGGAAATTCGCTAATACTTCCCTATAGGGAAATTCGCTAAAAACAGAAACAATTACTCCTGAAAGAATACAAAAATTAGTATAAAGAAGGTAGGGAAAGAAAATGTACAAGACTTTTTTAGAAGATTTTTGGACAAGATAGTTGCTAAAGCAAGACTTCATCTTCAGCTGAATCATCTTTCTTACCTAAGACAAGAGCAGATTGAATCCCAGAACGTATGGAAAGCTTTGTATTTTGTGATTGTGATGTATAATGATTGCAATACTCCCTTCACAGTTAACAACCATAATACAGTGATATCTCGTAGATATTTACCAGTCTGGCGGCGAGGGCTGAAGATGACCAGATCCTTGAGTGAGTCGCCGACGCCGCGCAGCAACACCGTGAAGTCCGACAAGTTGGTGTCCGGCGCAACCTTGATACTGCCTCTCTCATGTGTGCTGCAGACAGTCAGTTGAGTTAAATAATCTGCCAGACTTGAGTATTGAACCATAAGGTATGTATGTGTAGTTGACTGTACTGTTTAGTGATAAAATCACAGCTAAACATCTAATACATTAAGAATAAGTGTTTACCAGACGAGTGTGGTCATTCCCGTGCGAGACGAAGTCGAGTCTAAATGACTAAAAATCACTGGTCGTAATCTCTAAGAGAGGTTATGTTTTTGTTTATAAACACTCATTGCCAAGCAAATACAGTATAATCAGCTGATTGGTGTCCGGTAAAACTCATTACAGTACAGTAGTACGCAATGAAACCCCATTTGATTAAGCTGGCGGCAAACAGCTGTTTTCTGGACTAAATCCTTGCGTGGGAAGATCATCAAAATAGTGTAGTGTGGTGTAAAAAGAGTTTCAAGCAGTTACACATAAAAGGTTCACATCACAATTTATTTACTTTTTAATTAAATTTGTTAACAAAATTGTGTTGTGAACTTTTTGTGTGTTCAACTACTTGAAACTATTTACTTGTAAAGCCATTCCTTTTCCCTTAATTTGTTCCTAAACCAAACAAAAATTCCTTCCAAAAATTGTATTAATATAAGTAAATTAATAATGATATATGTAAGCTACCCTAGATACCTACCAAACTGATACCTATAAACTGTCAAAATACTTTGTCAATATTTTAAAGCTGAATGAATAACTTAAAACCTGAATATATCACTGAGCATTTGAGAATTGTAAGAACTTTATCAGTAATTTGCTTAAGGATCAGTGTTATGTAGATTAACAAAACACTCTCACAAGTGAGACTGAACGAGGCATCGACTGGGAAAGCCAAGTACTTGAACGAGCTAACCAAAGTTTCAGAAGGTGACTAGCAAAAATCAACTTATGTTTTGAGTGGCCACAGAAGTGCATAGAGTATAGGTTGGTTGTGTTTATGTACTCACATGTCAATCCAGTAGAGTTTGTGGTCGTGGTGTGTGAGTGCGAAGGGGCTGTCCAGGGAGTGGTTGAGAAGCAACTCACGTCCCGTGCCATCGTAGTTGACTCTCTCTATAACGTCACTGCTGGAGTCACACCAGTAAACCTTGCCTTCCTGTAAACACAATTGAGTGACAAACGCAGAAGTTATAGTAACATTCAAAACTACTTCACTTTGGCTTGATAGACAAAATAAATAACTCTCTAGTAACCTAAAACCAGGGATGGACGGTGTTGAACTTTAAGTAGTGAACGAGACGAGATGAGATTTTGATTACCTGATTTTCAGGACGGGATTTTTTATATCCTCCAACAAGTGCAACACTAATTTGTTTAAAAAAATCTTAGGTACAAATTCTTGCAAATGGCAATAAACAATACCAATTTTCAGTCTTATTTCTTTATTACACTGTCCATGTAAAAAACTGTGACTGTAATCCATGCATCACTATCGCAATCATCTACAGCGATCACTGGAACATAAAAATCGTCACCCTCCATAGCGACAAAAATCTCAACATCTCTCGCGATCACTGAGACATCATCATCCATTCCTGATATCTCCTTCCACTATGGATCGAATCCCACCCAAAAATCAGAGATAAGTTTTCCAAAACGCTTCTTGAAATTTTGAGACCCATCTATCCCTACTTAAAACCAATTAGATATACAGTAATGAAACATTGAAATATCATGTTCAAATTTTTAGTGAGGGATTCTCAAACTCACATCCAAGTCAAGAGCAATGTCGTTGATTGATCCAGAGCTCAGTGTGAGGACAGTCATGACATTGGACCCATCGAGGCCGGCGCGGCTGATGCGAGGCGTCTTTCCGATGTCACTCCAGAAGAGTAGCCCTCGCGCCGGGTCCAGCGCCAGGGAGTGGGGAGTGTCTAGGCCACCGGGCACCACCACAAACCTTGTAACAACAAAAACAAAATGTAAAAAATCTAGTAATTGATTAAACCGTTAAATACATTCAAGCAATAGGTCATGTCGGTAGAATAGTTATAGCTTTTTCTGAAAATCTTTCAAATTGACATAGGTCTTTTTGTGCTTTCCACAAAGGCTTTGGGCTTGAGCGTGGAACGTATCCAGGAAAGCTAGGGGTGAGCTGGTACACTTCAAGGATGAACTGTACTGATACCATTTAGGGACAAGTACCAGGTCACGGATTGCTACTGTGTATTTGTGGTCCGTCACGCTACCAACTAAACAGTGAGTTACTTCACAGAGTAGTAAATACTAAATATTGTCCAATAATTCCACAGAGCAACAAGAGGTTTTATATCTATTGAGTGAATCAGATCTTTAACTTTCACCAACAAGCAACTAGTGATGTGTCAAAACCGAATCTCAAATCTCAAAACCATCAAAACTTAAGAAAAGTTTCGGTTTCGAGATTCGATCACCAAGTTTTGAGATTCAAAAGTTTTGAAATTGAAGATTTTGACAGTTTTATTTTTGAAACTGCTGACATTTTTTGTGCTATTGTAACTGTTTTTAACACTGTTTCCGAACAAGCTGGTAGCAACAGAGCAAACATCACCATTAACAGTAATGAAACAAGTAAATTTTATTCTGAAATTCAAAAGGCGTCTTAAATACTATAACTGGTAGCCTACAATTCAGTTTCACATCAATATTTACTAAACACAAAGAAATATTGACCACTAGATGTTCTAATTAATCTAATATTCGTGTTTATGATGGTGTTAGAAGTTTAATTTATTTTTTTGTTGGTTGTTTATGAAGAATTATGTTGTATTGGGTTTTAAGATTATCTATCAGTCACATTCACATATTTATGTTATGTCACGGTCAGGAGTCTATCTCTTTCAGTTTTGATTGCATACTTAACGTTTTATGATATTGTGTATTTTTTGTAACCTTGACCTTTGTAACCAGCTAAGTAAAAAAGTTTCACGTTTAGGTTTTGAGATTCGGGATTCGATTTTTTAAAGTTTCGGTTTCCGTTTTGAGATTTGAAATTTCTGGTTTTGACCATCACTAAAGCAAACCATCCATGTTTAAGTCATTAAATAATATTTCATACCAAATCGCATGTAGGAAAACTATTGAAAAATGAACTCATGTAATTAATTAGCAAGGTGTACCAAAACAAAGACCCAACAAGTAGTGGTACAGTGATAAGGAAATGCAAGGAAACAAAGTCCCAGCTCTATTTTAAAACTTTTACGACTGCACCATAGTACTTAAGTTCAATGGTATTTCATCAAAAGCATTGCATTGCAGAGCAGTATTTGAGTAGGGACAAATGTAACCAAAACCGAATATGTTACCAAAAAGCTCTGGATTAGTATTTTTTTTTTTTTTTTTACCTACTGCTGCCGTCCGCACGACTAACTTCAATTACGTTCAGCTTGGGATCGGTCCAATAGAGATTGTCTGCAATCCAGTCAACAGCCAGACCTGAAAATAAAACAAAGAACGTAGTAAACGAATTCTTGTTTCTGAATTATTTGATAAATATAGAGTTTTCATGAAATTTTTACTGCAAACTAAATCAATTTGTAGTTTGATTGAATTCTTTCTAACAAGATTATGGACTTAAATTAGTATTTATAGTAATTAAAATGGTTCAAACTGTACAAATATCTTTAGTTTTAATTAGTGCTGCAAAATATGCCAAAAGTAGGGATTGTTTTAGTTAATACTGTTGGAATTCATGTATTACATTTTACGATGTTAGTAAGATTTACTTTTTAAATGTTGAAGAAACTTAACCAACACGCAAGTGCAGTAGTAGCATACAAGGCGTAGGATGAAACACAGAGTTAAATGGTAAGGATTTTTATGAGGATAGCACTGGCTTACCTCCACGTTGGGAAGGACCAAACACTTTGACACAAAAAGAAACACAACTTTACATCTACAGAAAAATAACACAATCCCTGTAGTCCTTGACAGCGTTTTCAAGCAATAAATGTTTTGAGTTAGGGTGAGGGAATAGTAGCATACAGTCTGGCTCAAAACTATTACACAATCTTTTAAGATCACTCCAATGTTTTATTTAAGTGTCGTACTAACCAGTAAGCCAGTCCACTGGAACACTATCCATAGTTTCAAAGTGCTCTACGACTGCCTCGCGTCCCGTTCCGTCTCGATGTATCCTGGTTACAGTCCCGTGATCGCTGTCCGCCCAGTAGATATAGTCACTTCCTGGAAGTAAAACAGCTGTTATGTACATGTTATATTTTGTACTATTCATTATCATACAGTTAACACAAATTTGACCTTAATATTTGGAGAGTTGAGGTGTTAGAAATTTAACCCTCTTAGTGCTATGGCTCACAGAGGCCATGTACTTATCGGCATCACTGTGAGCATCCCAAAGAGTGACTATTTGATTTTTCCTGTACTCCTAGCAGTTTTCAGTACACCATTGGGTAAAAGAGCTATAGCACTAAAAGGAATAAACTACTTATCTTTTTGTATAAGGTCTATGCAAAAAGTAAAAATTTGAAATTGCATGTTGTCGCATATTAAAGTTTCTAATATAAGTAGGGATGGACGAGATTGGATTTTTAGTTCGAGACGAGACGAGACGAGATTTTTTATTTCTCATAAAATTTCGAGACGAGATCGAGACGGGATTTCCCTTCTCATACACAACGGGAAATGCACGTTCGGAATTTTTATCTGAATTTGTAACATTGTTAGATGACTGTTTAAATACAAAAATAATGATAATAGGCAAGAATATTTACAATCTTTCATTAAAAAACATCAGCATAACATTTTTTTATTAATCACGCCTAAATTATTAAAAATGCCTACGATTAGGAAACATAGTGATAGGCCTATCAGTTAGGATAGAGTTCAACTTATCCTAAAATAAAATAAATCATAAAATAAAATATTAGTTTTTATAAAATAGTTACTTGTTTTGACTTTTTTTATAGTAATAAAACATTCCTGACACTGCTAACACTTAACAAAACTTCTCAAATGTTAATAATTAAAGTAATATTTACATTTGAAGAATTAATTAAATAAGAACGCCTTCGCAAAGGAAACGCAACTACAACACGCTCCTGTATTGCGGGTATTGCATTGACTTTCTGCAGGCGTTTTTAATTTTTTTTTTATTCTCGTCTCGATAAAAATCTCAGCCAAAATTTCCCGAAAATTTCCCGAAATTTCGAGACTTGACCATCCCTAAATATAAGTCTAATTTTCACAGGTAAGTTAACTGAATCTAGCCACTCGGCTTTTCTTTATAAAGTACAGTACGATACTGCAGTACATAATAGCCACTGACCTGCATGGAAGTCTATACTAGTAGCCATGGATACTCTTGAAATGGGTCCCAGAACTTGACTGTCTGTGTGGTTGGACTCAAGACTAAGACCTTTTACTTCCCAGTTGATAGAATACAACAGGAACTCCTCAGTGCCTACAACACGAACATGTCAATAATATGGTAGAAAACAGTGAATCGTTAGTGAGAAATTACTGTATAGCACTAAATCTTGGCCTTTGAGAGACCTTCAAAAACATACCTCCTCTTCCAGCTCAAAGGCTATGGGCGGCGACTTTTGATATGTTCACGTCCTAACAGTACCAAACAAAGTTACAGAATTAGAAATTGTGTTCCAAACATTTCCCTCCATATTGTTTTGTTTGGAAGTCATGTTTGATTCATTGACTGGACTATAATAAACCTTTGGGAAAAGAGTAGTAGTTACATATGTTAAATTGTGTTTGGTCATTGTTAAAAGTTTTGTGCATATTTAGTTTAACTAAAAAGGTGTTACAAATATCCAGGTCATTGAATGATTTTGAAAAGGTTTCCAGTGAAACTTCTAGATTTTTACAAGCAAGTGAGTGTTTAAGTGGGATGACAATGTGAAGAAAAATTTACGCTCCTGCCAAGTATGAATCACATTCTGTGGTTCAAGATTCCACCCATAAAAGTCCATTACTAATCTAATATAAATGGAGAAACGTGTGAGCACATTCAAAATTTGGGTAAAAGGTAAAGAAAATTTAAAGATGGTTGTTAAATATTTGTACAATCTTAATTTACGAACGACCCTCGTTGGAAGTAAAGAAAGTGTACATAAGAAATTTCTTTCAAATTAAGATCCTTGTTCACATGAATAGCAATTTAGCAACCAGCCAAAACATAATGGCATACATACCGACACACTTGGTAGAGTCTGCGGGGTCGGGAGTGTAGCCAGTGGCGCAGCGACAGACTCTCTTATTGGCCGAGATAGGCAAACACAGATGAGAACAGTTGCCTCGGTTGATGGAACAGGCGTTCTCCCCCTGCTGGGACTGTGGGTCGTAGATCTTGATGGACAATATACTACCTGGAGAAACAGAGGTCGTCAATGTTGAGACATCACATTTGAGAGTAAAAATGACAACTGACACTTAACAAATCTTTTGAATAAACATTCAACACCATGTAGACTGTTGTCAGTGGACACTGGACACGGTCATCCTGATAATGGCGGAGGGTGGCAATTGGACCTGTGTGTCACAGTTCGTTCACGGTATTCTCTTTTCCGAGAAGAACCTTGACCAGGATACGGTAAACAAGAATTTTTACCTCCTCTCCCTACAAGTCCTGAAAATTGTGGAAAATGTGCACAAAAATCCATTAAACTGCTTACCAGTGTTGTTCCTGACGACGTAGTGGTTGCTTCCGTCGTTCTTGTCCACTGCATGTATCGCTTCCTCAGCGTGGTCAGCGTAGTACAGAGTGTCATTATACACCACAGCTGCTGTCGGACTGACCCCTTCAGACAGATGGATGTCCTTCACTATCAGCAGTACAAAATCGTAGAACTGGATAGTGTTGGTCTCCGTGTTCACCCAGTACAACCGGTTGTCTTTGTAATCCACCACAAGACCTGGAAACACAAAATTCTAATTATTTTTCCGAAGGCCTTTATTCGATGCGACGCTCCGCAGCAACGCAATACCTTTCTCACAGTTCTCTGTGTGCTTGTAGCATTTGCTAAAATAAGTGTTTACCCAGTTTGAACCCTTGAGTAGATGAGTGTTGAAATGTTCCACTCAGACTATCCAACAAAAAATCTATTGTACAAAATACATGTTTACTATGTACTTACTAGAGACTCCAGCCAGTATCTTGTAGTCCCGTTGGCTAACCAGCATGTGAGAATCGCTCCCGTCCATCCTAGCTGCCATGATGGAGTTGACACCCCCTGGATACACCTGACTCCAATACATCTTCCCTCTCAGAGGGTCAATGGCTAGAGAGCGGATCTGTAACATACAGAAACTGACTGAGCCCAACTACGAGTGTTTAAAGAATAATTAGAAATATGGTACGTCTCGTGAAATGTGTTCAAAGGAAAATTATAATTATTTACTATGATTGACCACTATAGCTTATTTTCTGTCACTTATGAATGACTTGTCTTTGTAATTGAAACACAGACTGAGGCAGAACACCCTCGTCCACTGATAGTGATAGTTAGATAATTACAATTTTTTTTATCTAGGCCTAGTATATGTTAATGTAGCAGTCCTAATTAAAATCTGAACACACTCTAGAAACCACTACCACCCTGTTAAAAAAAAGTTAACACAACACACACAGGTCGGAACCCTCTTGTTTTAATTCTACTAACTATGAAATGAAATTATACTAAGTACATAGTTTTCGAATGTGGTTAGACAGAGTGTTTTTTTTTCTCTATGTAGGGTGTGTATTTTTATACCGTTTATTTTGAGTAAGCCAGCCGCAACACAAGTAAGTATCTTTTGAGTAAAAAGATTACAATCTTTTTATAATTGTTTTCAAATGAAGTTGAATAAAATATTTAAGATAACAGTGAATATATATTTATCACTCACCTCCCAGAAGGCTCCGTCGTTGACCTCCGCTGCGGAGGGTTGGTCAGCCTGGTACACCGTAGTGATATACTCCCCTTCCAACGTACACACTAGTATCTTGTTCACATTGTTGTTGCTGGAAGTGACGTACAAGTTCTGAGAGATCCAGTCCACTGCGAACCCCATCGGGTGGTCGATTCCTAAACACAATGTACACTCGTCAATGAATTTATATTTATATCACGGAGGGCTGCAAGTTCAGGGTGTATGTACATATCTTCGTAAAAATATTTGTTTATGTTCGTGTCTCGTGTATATATTTTGAGGACTTTTTGACGACTTCCTAAGAACGAAAACGTCGAAAACCATACGTCTAGGACTTGACAATGACATCTTAAAGTTTCAAAACCGATCGCCATCCAGATGACCAAGAATTAAATTGGCTACAAGGTATGTAGCCTCTAGAATAGTATAATTTTTAAGTAATCCAGGAGGCAAGACCTAAAAAACGACACAGTTATAACTACTCCTATTGCAGTACAAAGCCTATAGTTACCAGTATCAATGATGCTGTAGGTAGTGCCTCCTGTGAGAGCTGCTCTTCGGACCTCGTTGACTTGTCCGTCTGCCCAGTATATAGCCTTGTGGGCCGCCACATAGTCTAGCTGTGTAGGCTGTAGTACCTGCATATAACAAGTAAAAATCATTTTATAATAGACATCAATGTTAGCTTCAATAACATAAGCTGGCTGGTAAATCGCTACAATGTTCAATTCAATTTGCTCAATTTGTTCAATTCAATTTGCAATTTGTTCGGTTGCCAACAAATATTTGAGTCTGAAACTGCTAGCTAACTAGAACATGATAAACTATTTTTTTTTAAGCCTACCTGCGGCAAACTGATGGTGGGAATTGTGTGGTAATACGGCTGAGCCAAATCCACACCTCGGATCTCGTTTGCTCTTGAAAATAGGAGGACTCGTTCATTTACTGAAAACAGAGGGTGATTTTAACCACGCAACAACACAAACTTTACATCCTTCAGAGAATTAAAATTTATATTCATAGCATAAACTTACTATAAAGATAGGAGCAAATTATTGAAAACAACAATTAATTCAATATATTTTTTTACCCAACTGAGTCAGCCGAAAATATTAGTTAAACTGAATTTAAGTTGTATTTAGACTGTTTTTAAGCTTTTATGAGTCAAAATAGTTTTTGTCGTCAAAGTTTGGAAAATGATTTTGTGCAAAAATAGGTACAAGTAAAAACAGGTCTGAAATGCTGTCAGTGACAGTGACATACTCTAATTTTTGTGTATATACTGTAAGTTTTGAGTCTCTTGTGCCAGTTTGGACTCTTTCCCATTCAGGTAAGCCTGCTATCTTTACAAAAAATCCTAAAAACCTAGGCCCTTACTCAATGTTACATCCTTAACATTTTCTACTGAGTAATTTGACTTATTTCATCTAGTTGTAAGTTACTCACCGACACAAGTAACACCGTCATCAGACAGTCTCATGACGTGAGGACAATCGCACTTCCTTGTAGAGTTGATGTTTAGTAAGCACAAGTGAGAGCAGTTCCCGTTGTTGACTCCACAGGGATTGTAGACATCTGAAATTGTACAATAATGAATATTATCATACACAAAAAATAAAAATAACTTTACTTGAAAGGTGTCACAGGCTTGCTTTGTCTGTTTGGTGTGGATTTTAGTATTATAATTTAGAATAATTGAAGGAAGTGTTGAGAAATTAAAAAAAAAGTCTTTTGGGCTGCCATAGAGAAGTAAGAAACAGAGGATACACTCTATGGTACACTTAAGTGGTGTCTTTGGTATCTAGGGTAAAGTCCTACACCGCACCCTCATGTACCATAATGCTCATGGTGGAGGAAGACCCTCTGCCCTGTGCAATAGGAATTTCCGCACAGTGCTTGCTGTTCGGGCTCTTCTTTGCTCGTCACAAGTACATTTCAGAGCTGAAAGCGCACGGTTGTCCCATAAGTGTGTTTCATCTGTGTCCAACTATTCTGTGGAGTTGCACAGAGCTGTAATTGAAAAAATATAATTTATCATGATTGTGACCTCAAACTCAATCACTCTTTACTTCTTCTGAGGGTAAAACCATCACAGATACCTCTTGGCTGCCGGCTAGGATGAAGTATCTGGATGTCGAAGGGCTGCGTGAGCGTCCGCTGCATCACGGTAATGTCGCTGCCGTTCCACTTGTTGGCTCGGATGACAGAGTTGGTGCGCCAGTCCGTCCAGTAGACGTGGTTCTCAAATAGCGCGATGGCGAACGGATGAGACAGTGACACATGACCCCTCATCACCTCGCGATGGTCTGCTCCATCATACAGCGCTGTGTGTATAGAGTCTGATCTGGGAATGGTGAACAACACAATAACTAACAGTAGACGTGGTTCTTAAACTATTGTATATTGTCTAACGAAGCACCAACTTTGGGACTGACTGGTAGAACAATTAGTTTATTCAATGAAAGAGTTAGTTTATTCAATACAAACTTTACCACTGCAAAGCAAGAAATGTATAATTTTGTGATACCATTGCATTTATTCAAGAAATCACAAACAATGGCAATTGTCTATTGTCTACCTTGCGTCTATCCAGTATATCCGCCGCAGCTGATAGTCCAGCGTGAGTCCGTTAGGCCAAGCTCCGTCAGTGACCTCGTCTACATGGATCACAATGCTGCGATGTTCTCCACTCATGCTGCAGCGCTCGATACGCGGCCCGTTGGCATCCCAGTCCGTCCAGAACAGCAGCCTGTAGGTAAAGTCACAATCACCCTCAGAAAGTTTGTGAAAGTTGTATAAGTCATATAGTTGTTTAGAACGCAACTGTTTGGATTGCAGGCTCACTTGGATGGGAAAGAGTCATCACAAAGCACTTTGCACAAAAATTGACGTTAACTAATTTTTAAATAGTATTTACTTGTATTTAGTTTGACAATCTTGTATAGTTGTGGTTATTTATGTATTAATAGGCAAGCATGTTTAAATTAAAATTTAAAACATTATATTAGGACTCTACAATTCCACAAAATTGAAATTTCACAATCACTTACAGCATTCTCGACCAAGAAGGGTTTCCAAGGTTGGATTTACAACATTGGTTTAATTTTCTACTTTATTTGGTCAAAAATGCTGAATCAGGGGCGTCTACTATCGTAACAAAAGTCCTTTTCCTTTAGTTTAGCTTTGACTGTTGGCAGAACCACACATCTATTATAATCTATAATCCCTATTTAAAAGTTTTCAATAGGTTTAAAATAAAATAAAAGTGGTTGAAGCCTCCGACGGAGTTTGCTTATGTAAATTTAAATTACAGATTTTTATTGAATGCTTATGTATACTTGGGTGCTTGGTCTTGAATGGTAAATACACCAAATTTGTAAATTGTAACCAAGCAAAATTGAAATAACTCAAATAAATGGTAATCAGTCCATATACTGGGATGTTTAGAAGTCAATGGTGTAATCACCACTACCAATCTGTGTCTAAGTATTCTCATACCCATATCTAGGATCCAGTGCTATAGCCCTGGGAGACTCCATCTCCCCAGCTATGAGTGTCCGGCGGAAGCTGCCGTTGAGCCTCGCCACTTCTATCTGGTCCAGGTTACTCTCCACCCAGTACAAGTTCTCTCCTATCCAGTCCACGGCCAGTCCCTCGGCTGTAGCTAGGCCTGTCTGTACCACCACTTCTATGTTGCCCAGAGCTGCAATCACATATTAGACTTATGTTTGAATTCTGTGTTACATCAAATATGTATTAGGCTTAAACTTCTCCAGAAAGAAGAATTATGTATTCCTTGATGTATAATTTGCGCATACCTTGAAATGTGGAGGAACTTCGAGAGATTATTTGGAATTTGATATCGGGATCAAATGTAAACTTAGTACATCAGAGTAGGCAATTTTTACTAAAAACTTGATTTTAGAAAATTATTTTCCAAAATTGGTTTGATATAAACAGGGGTTCAACAGCACTCCTAGAGAAAAATCCAAGCATTTTTCTCGGTTTTCCCATCTGTGATACCCGGTCACAAAGTACACCTTTTACTAGGGGTCTGCTGGTCTTTGGTATTATTGAGTCGGGGTGGACAAACAGGTTCGGGCCAACGACAATGATTATCAAATAGCTAGCTCGGGTCAAGTCAAGCCAAGCAGATCGTCTACTTCCGCAAACGCAGAAAGGTTTTGCGAAATTGACAGTTAACTTTGTCACAATCGTAGGGGACGTTTACAATCTGCTGCAATCATGTGGTCGCCATGATCGCAGATGTTTTTGATTTCGACTTTACCTTAGAAGCCGTACACAGCTTCACTTGCTACATACTTTGCTTTGACTGAACTACTACACACTTTATAAAATGGTATTTACACATAAGGAATAAATATATAGTGAAGGGGAAAGCAAGTATTTCGGTGTATCTGGTTTGCTAATGTCAACATGTAAAGATCTAAAGATGTAAAGATGTGTCATGTAAAGATTCAAATAATAGTATTAATAAATTAATAGTACTATAACTATAACAAGTAGAAACTAACAATGGTTTCAAAAAAATTCTCAATATAAATTGTTAAATCCAAAAGCTCAATATTGACACATTTAGCCATACTCACATCCCCCAATGAGAGTTCCCCGGTAGATCTTGTCGTCTATGACGTCCGTCCAGAAGATAATGTCAGCTTCAGGTGTGTGATAGAAGTCCAGCGCAATGGTGTTCTTGAGGCTGGATATCAGTGCTTTGACATTGAACGTCTGAAGATCAACTCCTCGTAACTCGTGTCTGTTGCTGAATATCACATATGGCACAACAGTCACTGGAAATATAAGTGAGGGTTAAAAATAATTTTTCGGTCCAACTAAATATGTGTTTGTGTTTTCTTTTTGTGTAAAAACATAAAGTAGAATAGGAAACACCAAAATTTTTAGAAAAGTAAAGTGAATGAATGAATGAACTTTTACTCTAGGCTACATATAAATAGTATAGTAGTCTATTATTTTTGCAATGAAATGGCTCATGTCAAAAGAAGGTGAAAAACATTTTAGTTAATCATAACGATATAGCTAGTTGAATATAGCGCTAGAAAAGTAAATCTGTGATGCAGACGGTTGGATCCTGAGAAAAGTCTAAATCTTTTTACTGGTTAGAAACTGGACCCAGCTGTCATTGATCATTATTCATTAGGCTTTTAAAATATGAATTCTGACAAAAGAATGAGCTGATCTAAGGCCTTGTACACATGAGGGCGGTGGCCGCAGCGGCTGCCGCCTAGGACCGTACACATGGCAGCGGCTGAAGCTGCGGTTACGCTGCGGTTGCGGTGTGAATTGACCGTCGCTCGACAGCCAGTACTGTATTTACCCAATTATTTTTCTTTTAAACGCGTTACGCTTGGCAAATCTTTTCAGCAAAAAACTCAACTAACTCTTGCTACGCAATCTTTTTTAGTTTATGTCCTAAACGTATCTTCTTTTTGTACTTCTGTAATGAACAGATCAGTGTCAAAGTTTTCTGGTTCCACAGCAGCACGCATGGCCATTTAAACTTACACTACGAGCACTACATCAACTCCAGCCACAGCTACACACTTCACCAATACAGAGAGCGATGTCCACAGGGCAAGCGCGCAGATGTCTGTGATCATATATAGTAGCAACTGCAGTCAACCGCGGCGGCTACCGCCCTCATGTGTACGCTCTCATGCCAACTCTAGTAACTTCAACCGCACGGGAGCCGCGGCGGTCGAAGGGAAATCTACGACCGCCGCGGTTAGTTGCGGTTGACAGGAAGTGGGCGGTTGCATGTGAACGGTCCCATTTGCTCCTTTGTACTTTCAACTGCCGCGGTTCCCGCGAAATAGCAACCGCGGCGGCTGCCGCCCTCATGTGTACAGGGCCTAAGTTAGTAATAAAGCTGTAGTTCATTCAACATCAATTGTTCACCCACTCCTCGCCTTAAAATACATATTCTACGCCGTCAGCCTCATGGCATTTTAATCTGATTGAATTTAGTGTCAGATATTAATTCAATTTTTCTAACATATCAATAACGAAGAAGCAATATTACAGAATAATACATAAACTCCAATTTCCTCAAGTAAACATCCAAAAACGACCTTTTCACTAACAAATCAGTAACCTAGCTCTTCCCTTAAACCTGTCACTTACGATTGCTCTTGCAGCTGAAGTCGTCTGCCTCCAGTATGTAGCCGCTGTTACAGGTACACTTGTAGTGGTGTCGCCCGACAGGTTGGCACCCCTGAGAGCACACTCCCCAGCCGTCGCACGGAGGCGACTCATTGCACGTCACCCCGTCGCTCTGCAAGTGTAGCGGTTCAGGACAGGAACAAGTGAAGCCTTCTGGAGCGTTGTGACACGTATGCGAACACTCAACAGAGAACCCGCACATGTTCTCATCTGGGGACAGACGACGGTTATGTAAACGATTTTGTAAAAAAAATTAACAATAAATAACACTTGTTCTTACAAAACTTATGGTGAAACATAAGGCATAACAATAGGGATTTAAGAAACTAGTTTAAAGACTCTATTTGTCACCGGTCTACCAATTAGTTATGTTAGTAACGAAATGAGGCACGTGGAGGAACAGAAGATGGGGATGCCTAGTAAAAACCCTGACCTGAAGATAACCGGAACAGGAGAGGATATGTATGTATGTATGTATGTATCTAACATAAGGTCGGGGAGCAGTCTGGTCTAGTGGTAGAGTTTGAGGCTTTGGTCCTGAGTTTTTGGGTTCAAATCCCACTAATCGCCAATGGCATTAAGAAATGTGATTCCACGACGAGGTCTAACCTGAAGTAATGTGTAAATTATGGGCTAGAGCCAAGCGTCCCAATGTTTATTCATAGAACATTTTTTTTCTTTGTAATAAGATTTGTTAAAATCATGTTGAACAGACTTAACAACAGTCATTCATTCTGGAAAGCACTAACCAAGAAGTGCTTGAGTAGTAAATACATTTTATTTTCAAGTGTGTTACAACAATGGTGAACATCGCAACATGATTTCTACCTAGGAAATACTCAAAGGCTACTTACCACATCTCATCCCCTCGTCGCTGAGGTCCTTACAATCGTACTTGCCGTCGCACAGCCGCTCAGGTGCGACACACACTGTGCCGTTGTCACACAGTCGCGACGGTCGCACACAGCTAGTGGTTAAAGGTGCTGGTGTGGTGGTCGCACCCTTGCATTGACTACCCTTACACGCCTTGTCATCTGTAATAGTTCATGGTTGCTATACAATCTATTTACCATTACAAAATCCACGATTGTAGCCCACCTCAGAATAATGATGTTAATTTTATTTTCACATATATTTACATTTCATGTTGATTTAACAAAATAAAGTAACTTTTCTATTGCCAGGCTGCAAGGAGCTCTCATAAGTCGGTGAAGGATTTCTCAAAATATTCTTTGAGTAAAGGCTATTTTTCATTAGCTAATTCTTGTGTATTGTTATCATGAAAAAAACATTTCCTAGCACATGAACAAGATCTTCCCAAGTAGAAGAGAGGTCAAAATGACCCCTTTTTTCACCCCTGACTTTGCTCAACTGCACTTGACTGAACTTTCTGATTATTTTAGCTTGTTGCATTGCATATATATTCATATATTTCCTAACCCTGTTGACTTAGTTACACCACAAACAGACAGCTGTGACTAAGAAGGCAGAAAACGCTTTATTTTACATTTTACATTTACAGTAGTTAAATGTTTACAAGTTACTTAAACATTTTCAAATTAAGACAGATATCCCGGAATACCTTCATTCACATATCTCAAGACCGAACAAATATCATTTCACAGCCACAACAGTTAACAACAAACAACAAAGATTAACTTACCGCAGTTCAATTCATCTGAACCGTCCAAACAATCGTTCCTCCCATCACAGACAAACTGTTTCCTGATGCACGTCCGTGCGACATCTTTACACTGGAACTCGTTCTTTTCACACATCGACTGTTCCTTTTTCCTATGTTTTGACTCTTTTGTCTCTTTGTTCTTCCCCTCTTTATCGGTGTTTCCACATTTCGCTTCGTCCGAGCCGTCGGAGCAATCATATAAACCGTTACATTTCTTCTCTAGTGACAGACATGTTGAATCGGCTGCACAGTAGATCTGTAAGACAAGCAATGTTAGTTTACCATGACCATTTAAAAACATTTATTTAGAGATCCTAGCAAAAATGGTATAAAGAGGTTTCTAAATTAGGGAAGTACAAATTAACAATATTCCACAGTAGTCAGTAACACATTGAAATCTATATTTTTTTCTGGAAAGAGGATTAAAAGTGACACCAAATTTTTTATACATTGTATATTAGTATACTTTTTTGGAGGGGAAAAGCGCTTTGCTTTGAAATTGATTAAGACAGAAGGGAGAAATGGGTACATAATTTATTTATCTAAGAACAGTTGACCAGGCAGTTAATAGCAAACAAAATTATTATAATACATGAAATTTGATACTTTGTCCTAAGAGGGCTATGAGAAGGGCTTACCCTTCTAAATACTTCTGAATAAACCACCATTGGGGCCATAACTGCCCGGAACCCTTTAATTCATGATATGTAATTTCAATTCTATCTTCCTCAGTATATTAAGTAAAAGTATTAATAATAAATACAAAAAATTCACTAATTTGTATGAATAACATTTTGTAAGCTAAGCTCACGTGGGTGCTGTTATCACAGATCTCTTGACAGAATTTCTCATCACTTCCGTCTCTACAATCGTTGTCCGAGTCACACACGTAATCTAGAGGAATACACAGGCGATTGTTGCACGTGAACTCCCACGGATCACATTCCGCAAACTCTGGAATAAATCACAATACTCGATAATGTTTTCATCAATAAACGGATATGTTAACAGCAAAGTATATTCAGTATTCTATTATCTGAAGTTTTTGGGGAAGTATTAAGAGTTATAATGATAAGGTTTTTACACACTTTGACTAGGTTTTACAAAATACTTACTACAGTTTTGTTTCTCGTCGGAACTGTCGCCGTCGCCGCAGTCGACCTCAAGGTCACACACCCAGGCCTTCGGAATACACCTGCGACTCTGCGCGCAGGTGAACTGGGACGGACTACAAGTGGTGTTGACGCAATGGCTCTGTAGCTCATCAGTGCCGTCCTTGCAGTCCTTGTCACCATCACACACCCAGTAGTTGCTGATACACAACGTGCCGTCACACAGGAACTGGTTCTCTCTACATGGATGTGTCTCTGTACAACAAACAACAGTAAACGCAAGGGATGATTCCACTATTTTATGTTTGTTTTTCCATGTTTTCCTCAACATCTGACACACACAGACACAGACACATATTAACATATTTTCAACAGACACACAAAGTAAGGATTTGGAAAAGTAGCAAACTATCTAAACTGACTGACCATTAATCCACCTAACTTGTCAACTTCCACAAAAACGTTAATTTTTTGCGGATCTCTTTCACAAAGTTCTGCTACAATCTGGTGAAAAATTCATGAATTGCACACTAGACCTCCTCGAAACAGTATTCAAATCCTCCATCTACAGCGTTATCTCTTGGCCAACAATACAACACTCTATATCCTGTATGCTATTGATCAGTTGGATCAGACTACCACAACAACAAAACCAATAAATGTAAAAACCCAAGCATATTAGCTCTAAAGTTAACTCTAAGGACACATGCATATTTCCTATCCCTTTAATATACAAATTCAAAATCCTGGCATGGATACTTTCCTTTTAAAAAACTATAGTAATTAACATGCCGCTGATAAAAATTGTTACCTAAAGGAGATTTAAGCTAGTTACATGTCTGTGTCTTCCACTACTTCAATGACATAGATTCCTTGTGCAATGGGCAAACTGATAAGACAAAAAGCTAATGAGTTAATTTCTAGGTCCAACTCACCACAAGCCCCGCCAGGTTCGACGGACTCATCAGAGCCGTCGTTACAGTCGTCGTCTCCGTCGCAGACAAACCGGTTGTCAATGCATCGCAGATTCTTGGTACACTGGAACTCCTGTGGGCCGCAGTCGGAGGGCTGCGTATAGTTGGCTTGCGGCACACACCTTGTGTTGGCAGCACTGAATCCGTCTTTGCACGAACACACGGGACCGTTCGGCGTGGCCAAACACAGCTGGTTACATTTCAGAGAGTCGAAACACAAGTTGGTGCCTGCCACAATCACAAGATAGTAGAACCAAACACAAGCCCTCAAGAGACAGTAAATTTAAGAATTGCATAGTTCGCTTCTCGTCAAGGTGCTTGGTAAAGGATTCTGTGTAGCAGCAAACCAAAAGGAGATTAAAAAATGCACTAGCAAAGAGGCTTTTAAATCAACTCATGCTATTAATGTACCCGATTGTAAAATGTTGTTGACGGAGGCTCACCCGGATAGATTTAGGGTAGAGCCCTTTCCAGTCTTTAAACAGGGTGTCCACAAAAAATTTGTCATTAATTTCCATGACTTTCCATGACTATCCATGACCATTTACCATTGATTTCCATGACTCACGAACTTTACACGCAAATTATAATATAACATACACACACAAATATAACTGCCTGGACATGTTATTTTGCAGAAAATACTGAAATATGTAATAACAGATAACAATGGAGTACAATAGGTACAACAATGAACTAAAACGAACCGAAGACTCATAAAATAATACAACTGTAATAAATTGAATTGTCGAACATTTGTGAAAAATCCTGAAAAATGCTACAACAGTCCGGGTTACAGCTGACTAGAGCATTGAATGGTCCCCTCAAATCCATCCATAATTGGAAATTTCCATGACTTTCCATGACTTCTTGCCTATTTCCCTGACTTTCAATGACCAAAATTTTTTTCCATGACTTTCCATGACTATCCCTGACTTTCCAGAATGTGGACACCCTGTTAAAATATCACAAATACTGAAATCTAAACCCAGAACATTTTGTGGATATTTCAAGAGTTCTACCCATCACTATTGCAAACAATTCAGAGTTGTCAGCAACACACCTCTTCTTATTGAAGTTGTACAGTGCATTGGATCTACAGTTTAAAATGTCTACTTTAATCAAACAGGACTGTATTACTGAAGATACAACACACAACTCACCAGTCTGCGTGCTGTTGTCAAACACCCTGATCTCAAACAGAGGAGGGTTTTCTGTAGTCAGAGTTGTCACCGTGTTGTTAGCCAAGTTCAGACTTTCTACGGTTCCTTTTTGGAATTCCGTCCAAAACAGGAGATTTTCGTAGTAAGCGAGGCCGTACGGATGATCCAGCTGGGAACCTTGAAATACAACCTGTAGGAAGATTAATTAATGATAAAAACAGGAATATTATGATGACCTTACTGTTTTATCAAATTTAGTGTTGTCTAACTTCAAATTAACAAAAGTAATGAATGGTGTGTTATTTATAATTCAAGGTGCACAAGCAACTTAAATTTCAGGCTGGGCTGAGGCTGAATTGAATAGTTGAGTAATCAAGCTAATGCAAAAAAACTCAAGTAAAGGTGGCAAGACAGGAATATTAACTCACACCTATCCTTAGATGAAAGTGTGACTATTTCAATAGGTTATTTAAACCAGTTTAACATTTGATTGTTGTTGGAAAATTAAATGATAAAAGTTTCAGGGGTCAACTGAATCAACGCAGACAATCACAAACCTGACGTTCAGTTCCGTCTAGACTGATCCTCTCAATCTTGTCGAGGTAAGCGTCGCACCAATACAGCTTGCGAGTGAAGTAGTCAATAGTTAGTCCGTTGGGCCACTGAAGTTCCGAGTCAACAAACACCTTTCGGTTCTCTCCGTTCATCCAAGCACTCTCGATCTTTCCCATCGGCTCTGTCGAGGTTGACCAGTCCGACCAATACATCAGGCTGAAGACGGAACAACCGGTAAATACCAATCATAATCATGTTCATTATGGTAATACATTATTCACTAAGCAAAAAACAAAAACCAACACTGTCTCCTGATCACAGATACAAAGCCCAAGCTTGTAGTTCCAAACTTGATTTCCAGGTTGCAACAGTTGTAAGGTATGTTTTACCGATATTTAATCACTTAGTCATCAGGAAAACTTTACTTATATTCCTCTTGATAACCAATATGTCAACCTTTGAAGCTCAAAGAACTAAAATCAAGTACAAAACTTACCCTTTTTTAGGATCTAACGCAATGGCGCGTGGGTGGAACTTGTGGTCGTGTATGAGAGTGCGTCTGTAGTTTGGTTGGTCCATCCGACACACGCTGATCGTACTAAGACCCTCGTCAGTCCAGTAGAGGTTGCGTCCCATCCAGTCTACGGCTAGTCCTTCACAATTGCTGACTCCTCGCTCAACCACCGTCTCTCTCTTGGACCCATCCATCTTCTGTCTGTCTATGACGAACCTGCAACATGGTTAGATTGATAACATTGAACACGCTGATCGTACTAAGACCCTCGTCCAGTTCCAGAACAGTTCTAAGACTTATGTGAGAAGGTAAATATTTGAACAGCCTTTGAACCAGCCTCTTAAAAACCATTATTTAGTTGAGACAATATATTTAACAGGTTTAACAAACAGTAAGACTATTATTATTTGTTTCTCTAAGAATCAACTTTTGTCATGAATGATAACTGTAAATACATTACAACTCCAATCAAACAAACCCTAATCATCTAATTAGCTTACTATCTGAATTATCTTAAGGATAAAACACAAAAATTAACAGAAAAATAAAGTTTATTGCAGTGTTTTGCAGTTTGAAGTAATCCATTACCCATTTAACGTGTAAATATATTGCAGTGACATCAATTAACACGTGAACTCATCTGTGTCTTCCTTTAAAATAACATTCTTGAAAATCTTCTGGCTAAGATTTTGATTTTTTAATACCTAGAAGAGGTTGTCTACTGTACTTCACTTTAGAATCACAACTACAGCTGTAATGGCAGAGGGTATAATGTAAGTGTATTTACTTCTGTCCGTCGGAGTAGTAGATGAACTGCGTCTTCACGTCGTAGTCCAGTGCTGTGGGCCGGGTCAGATCGGTGATGGGGATCATCTCCTCCTCGTGTTTGTTCAGTTTGGGCAGCATGGAGATACCTTTGATCATACCGGGCCTGCCCTTGCCATACAGCAGGAACGAGGACTGCTTGGCCACTGGACAAAAACGTAAAATAGGTGCCGCTTTGTTTTTTTGTACTAATTTTAAACATTTAAATTAATGTCAATAAATTTTCAGTTCATGAAATCGGACGGTTTCACTGACAGTAAATTATTATTACTCTTTAATTACAAACATACTTTTATACCTAATTAATATGAGAATGTTACATTTTTAATAATTGGTTGATGTACAACAGTAGGATATCATTTTACAGACACATATTCATCACTGTGTCTCAGCTATACACAGGTTTTTCTGAAAATAATTTTACTCAACTGGCTCCATTAACACTGAAATAATTTTCCTCTAAAATAGATCAAACTTTTTTCAACCATCCCTTAGCTTGAGACTATAACTATCTCTCGAATTGGGTTTTAAATCATTGGTTGCAATAAGATTATATAAACTGGAAGTTAGGCTTCCTCAGTCAAATCTTAGGGTTCAGAAGATGACTGATAGTTAAACTGTATTTTGTTCCAAAGATGAGATTGCTGCAACACACCAAAAACGTTGGCTAGTATTTTTGCAACCTCCAAAATTCCTAAATGGACTACTGTTCTGGATGTCTAATTTCAACTCCAGGATACACTTTCTGTATCGTCTCTCGACTGATTTTGCAATACCCACAGAAGTACTTCCAAGCATGAGTTGTCAACATACCAACACATTTTCTGCTGCGGACCAGTCTATAGCCCGGCTGACACAGACATTGCGCCTGGGCAATGTTCTTCTTCCACGCGGGAATACAGATGTGTTGACATCCTCCGTTGTCCTTCTTGCATGGATGATCAGCTGTGTAACATAGTCACAAACATTAAAAACTTTCATTGATCCAAAGTACCACTTTATGTAATATGATACAATTTTGAAGGTTTCTGCCTGTGGATCTATTTGTTCTGTATAAATGCAAAAAATACTTAAGTGAAACATTTACACCAAGAGTGATCATGAATCCAGACAAAACATAGGCATTTAAGTTCTTCAAATCCATTCGGTCTACCCCATAGACATCCAAAATGACTAGGTAGAACTTGAGGAAGTAAATAAATGGCAACTCATAGAGAAACCACAAAGCTTTATTTACATTTACTTATTTTATACCTATATAAGGCTGATAGTTTTATCCCACTATAAAACTGAATTAAATTAAAGAAAATTATTTTTTTAACAGTAGGCCTGGATTTAAAATTACTACAGTTGCACCTAACCTAACATAATTTCAACTACCGTTATCTGACACGACTTTGCCTAACCTAAAACCCCTCCTGTTGGTCCCTTCTTTATCTCGTTCTTGCAAAGCACTGGTATCGCTACTTGTTTTACCATTAAATAAGAGGTTTTACTTCAGTCAAAGAACTTCTAGCAAACCTTACTTTGACACTTACAGATTATAGCAGCATCGAAAAAAAGCAGTAAAGATCGAAAAAAATGACAAGTTAACCTGTGCATTGAGGTGATGGTTAGGTTTTCAAAAACTTGCGTTAAGAAGAAATTTTTATCATCTTCTCTTTTTTTAAAGTCTTACTAAATCGGTGAGTGGATGGATTTTTCCCCTTAGCATAAGACTGTTTAATGCTACTTGAGTCAATTCAAACAACTTCCACTGTAAATGTTCTTAATTTTTTTAGCAAGCAAGTAGTCACTGACCGTCAGGCTGTCTCTGACGATGGAACACATGTATAGCGAAGGGTCTGCTGATGTTGGTGACTGTCTGATGATTCTCTGTGTTGAACTTGTCCAGTCTGATGATGCTTTGGTTGCGCCACGACGTCACAAACAAGTTGTTCTCCAGTAACGTAACGTCGTACAAGTTCTGAACCTGCAACACAGTTGTTTGACAAATCTGTAGAGAATTGTTGTTAGGATAGCTGGCTTACCTGGATGAGAAAGAGTTAAATCTAGCACAAGGTTTTTTTAAGGGGTTGGCAGCCTCTTTTAACCTTGCATTTACCCGTGCACATAGACTACAGATCTGTGCGTGGAACGTATCCAGCAAAGCAAGGGATGCAGTACGAAGGTGAACTGTACTGATAAAAGTTTGTGGCAGTGACCAGGATCCGAACCCACGACACTACTGCCTTGGACCCGAAGTCTGTGACGCTACCAACTGAGCCACTGACTTACCATACAGCGCCAAAATGCAGTCAATGGCAGTTGTATTTTTTGTGAAACCATTTTTTTTTACGTCTTGTTTCAGCTGAATCTTTTCCAATAGCTTAAGCATGTCCATCCAACAAAACTCTATAAAACATAGGCTCTTATGTTCTGTTAAACCTTAACTTAAAAACTGGAAAGTAAATAAAACGTTTTTGGGCGATGCGACTTTAAAATATTGTCCATTATAAAAATATTTTTATATCACAAATTAGATTTAAAGAGAAATCTGTACATTAATGAAGGATTTCTTCAGAATCCATGTATATGACAAAGTAGATTTTTAAAAATCTAAAATTATGTTTAAAAAGTAGGATATCACATTTTTAGTATCATAGTCTTCTGGCAACCACCGTGTTAAATTTGACGATACACTTGACGTTGGGTTTGAAGTTTTCACCAAAAATCTATGATTCTACACGTGACTGTGAAAGCCTATCCGGGAAGTATTTATTTCAGTTTTCTTGTAAAAAATATGTAGGCAAATTGGTTTTTAAGTTCAGTACACAACAGATAGTTCCGGCACCTGAATTTCTAGTTCTGCTCGGATAAGACTGTAATTACTAATGCTCACCGGGAACCCCTTCCGGATGGTCCGTCGGTTGGACCCGTCATAATCCACTCTCTCTACAAAGTCCAGGTAGGTGTCCACCCAGTAGACATGTTGTGTTGGGTAGTCTATGGTCACTCCGTACGGATACACTATCTTGTGATCGACCAGAGTCTTGCGTTCACTTCCGTCTAGCAATGCCCTCTCCAGCATGGGTGACGTCACACCCCACTTGGTGAAGAACATGTAGCTGGAAACAGTTGGAAACGTATATATCGCAGAAAAGACTGTCAAAAAATTATATTGAAAAGTAAACAATGTTTTGTTAGTTGAATAAATTAATGAAAGATTTTTTTCCTAAAATGGCATATACAGAATGTCCTGTGAGTAAGTACCAAAACTTTTGTTTATTGGATAAAAATAAAACAAAAATCACAACGAATTTGCTTTCCAAAAACACCTGTCAAAATTTACAAATTTTGTTTTTTCAAAATGGCGATCATATAATTTTCCATAACTTAATTATTTTAAAACGGTAGACTTACAAAAATATTTCAGGAACACTATTCTTAGCACTTTAAATTTCCTGTCAAACAATACCAAGTTTAAACAAATCTATTAATAAATAGGCCTAGTTGAAAAATCAGGATATTAAGTTACAGGCCACGCAAAAGAGGCTCATCAGTCAGAGTTTGCTTCATTTTGTGCCTAAAAATTGTGATTTATGATGTAAACCCTTGTAACACACTAGTAGAAACAGTCTTCAGTCATCTCACTCCTGGTAGATCTTTGAAAAAAACCTAATTCATATATACTACAGAGCAAATTATTATATTTTTAAACACAGCAAACATTAGTCTAACAACAATTAACTTAAATTTGACAATAGTTAGGAAAATATTAAAAAAATATTTACTGTATCTGATACTCCAATTAGGCTTCAAAAATACGCCAGCAAGGACATGGCCATATCACTTCTTACTGCAGATAATCTCAACACTACAGTAGGCTACAATTAATCATCACATTGTGATAAAATCTAACACACTTACCCTCTAGTGGGGTCCAAAGCGATGCCTCGAGGTTTGCTTAGGTTGACGTCAATCAATATAAGGCAGTGTTTCATGGACGACGTGCAGACGAATATCATCTCTCTGCTGTCGTCCAGGAAATACCAGTTGCCAGAGATCCAATCCAGAGCTACGTGTGTGTTGGCTGGAAGGTAAAAACAAACACTTAATAAACAATACAAGCATTGTGATTGTGGTCGAAAAAAAAATATGACAAGGCTGTCTTAACTTCCCCTTCCTCTGGTTTTTATAAATTCATAAGTGTTGTGTCTGTAATTGATATGGATTAAAAATTACTTCAACCATAAAAGGACGAACACATAAAAAACAAAGAGTGCTTTTATTTGGGTTAAGTATTACATTCAAACATATCGGAATTGACCCATTATCTGGACTAAAAAATTATAAACCATCAGAAGTTAGTACAAGGATGATACTTTTTTAACAACATTATGTTCTCACAGTGCATACTGTTAAATGAGATAAATAAACGGCAAACCTTTGCCAAGTGTAGTATTAAGGGTCAGCAGGTCCAAGATAATTTTGGGTGAGGTCAGGCCAGCAGTTGGCCCGAGAGGTCAATTCGGGCTAAAAATTATAATTGGGCCAAACTCAGGTGTTTCGGGCCAAACTCAGTGAGCTGAGACAAGCTTTTATTTTTGTGATCCCAGAAAGCATCTGCGAAGATGCACAATCGAAAATTTACAATTTTGCCCTGTTTGCAGGTTATGTTCATGGTTTTGTCATGACCGCAGAAAAACCTTCACGATTTTGAGGTAGCCGTAGATTACAATATTGTATAAACCGGTTGAAGTTTCAAAATTGATGTTTTTAAAATCTATACTTTCCCAAATCAACCTGAATCAGTCCTGACCTGAAGTAACAAAGTCTGGCCCACCAACCCCTGCCTATTATCAACATATTACCTACAATAATAGGTGAAAATTTACTTAAGTAGGTGGTTCAGGTGGTATCAAACATAGTAATTTTTTATGCTGTACATGTTTTGTGCCGTTACAGCTCATCTTCAGCAGCATTTCTACAGTATTTAAATAAATCTCACCAACTGATGTTTCTTGAGTATACAAACACTTGTACACAATAATAAACATTACGCACATTGTTTTGCCGGTATTTACACATTTTCCGTGTGAAACTATCAAACAGGACGACTTCGTAGGTCTACTGAGGAACATTGGATTGTGGCATCACTGTATCAGCTGACTGGCGGTTCCTATTTTCAGTTTTGCTATCTCATAAAATAATCACACCTAGCATACCTACGTAATAGGGATAGACGAGATTGGATTTTTAGTTCGAGACGAGACGAGACGAGGTTTTTTATTTCTCATAAAATTTCGAGACGAGATCGAGACGAGATTTCTCTTCTCATACACAACGGGAAATGCACGTTCGAAATTTTTACCTGATTTTGTAACATTGTTAGATGACTGTTTAAATACTAAAATAATGATAATAGGCAAGAATATTTACAATCTTTCATTAAATAACATCAGCATAACATTTTTTTATTAATCACGCCTAACTTATTAAAAATGCCTACAATTAGGAAACATGGTGATATCAGTTAGGATAGAGTTCAACTTATCCTAAAATAAAATAAATCATAAAATAAAAGCAATATTAATTTTTATAAAATAGTTACTTGTTTTGACTTTTTTATAGTAATAAAACATTCCTCACACTGCTTACACTTAACAAAACTTCTCAAATGTTATTAAAGTAATATTATTAAAATAATGAAAGTAATATTTACATTAAAAGAATTAAAGTAATATTTACATTAAAAGAATTAAAGTAATATTTACATTAAAAGAATTAATTAAATAAGAACGCCTTCGAAAAGGAAACGCAACTACAACACGCTCCTGTATTGCGGGTATTGCATTGACTTTCTGCAAGCGTTTTTTATTTTTTTTATTTATTTTTTTTTTTTTATCTCGTCTCGATAAAAATCTCGGCCAAAAAGTAATCTCGTCTCGTGTAACGAGATTGAAAATTTCCCGAAAATTTCCCGAAATTTCGAGACTTGACCATCCCTACTACGTAAGTAGATTTTTCATCTATAATTGAATTTTAAAGGTGTCAAGGCTTTTTGAAATACTAACTACAACCTACACTCACCGTAGAGAGGGAACATGGTGGGTGGCGGCAGGTCCCAAGTGATGGAAAGGTCGTCAATGTCGGCACAACTGAGCAACGCGGACGTGCCGTTGTTGCGGATGTAGCAAAGTGTGCGGTTGCGATGGTTGAACTCCAACGCTAACGTCTGCAGCTGACTGATACTGCTGTGTCCCGGCCATGCTGAGCCGTTGAGGTATATTCTGCGGATGTCCATCGTACTGCTGAACACTAAGCTAGCCTCTTCGTCCGTAGGGTCTGATAAGAGATAAGGGTTGAATATTGTGAAATGTTACAATGATTGAACATAACAGTTAAAACAAACTGCAACAACTTTAACGGACAATAGAATGACTAGTTATATTTATAGTGATAAGTTTTCAATAAGATGTATGCTATGATACTGTGTTGATTATAATTAACATTTAATCCAATACACTAGTATCTGATGAGATGGTCCTAATCTTCATTTATTTTTTTTTGCTTCAAAATTTTACATTACATGGGAAGTGTATTATTCTGTCTATAGTCAACAGTTAAACTTAATAAATTATGGAGTTAACTTTGACTTTCTTTTAGAGATAAATTTGCCTCTAGAGTTAACTTAGTCACCTTTGAACCACTTGATGACTTTGCATACCTATGACTGACTAAGAGGGATAAGATTGTCACATGCTCCTTCTAAGACCTCCTCCATTCCATATTTCAGGCAATTAGGAACATCTAGTCTTTGAAATGTTTTGAGTGATGTATAACATTTTTTAATCAGCTCTTGATTAATAAAACAAAATATAGAAACCCTTTTTTATTAAGTTAGATTTCCTGAAAAGGATAGTCCTTTTTGTTCATATGTTTTAAATGAGAATGTCTAAAAACTATCAACAAATTAATGTCTGTGGCTTGAATGTGAATGCCTTTTGTTAATAATAAGTCTGGCAATGTACGTTCCAAATATTAATATAATTTTTACACAAAATATAATACTTACAATTAATAGCTTTGCAGTGAGTTCGGTTGGATCTAGTGTACCCTGCTACACAAGCGCAGCTGAAAGATCCTTCTGTGTTGGTGCAAAGCTGGTCGCATGAGCCGTCTATCTCACATTCATTCAGATCTGGGACAGTCAAACATACAGGTAAATGAACAAGATCGCATGATAAAACAATAGAATTCAAATTGAAACAACCTTAGATATTGGTCTAAAAATCACTTTAATGGAATTGAAACTTTAACATGAATTTACAGTAATGTAGGAGGAGATACACTGTGAAAGAAAAATTTGAAAATTAACTCACAAGTAGATTGCATTAGCTAATTACTTCATTAATCAGAGCGTAGAAACAACCTTCAAGCAACAGGAATTAGATTTTTTAAGACAATTAAAAAGAATAGTAAGAAGTGAAGGAATATTTAAAAAATTGCATACGGTAGTTAAAAGTAACAAAAAATATCACGTAGAATACATCTAAAACATTTTACTTATTCATGAGAGAAAGATGAGACCTACCAACACATTTTGTTTTGTTGGGTTGTTGTCCTGTGGGGCAGAAACACAGTGGACCACTAGGGGTGATTTTACATCCATGGGAACACTTCAGGGTGGAACACCCTTGTCTGTCTGGAACACACATAAACGTTGTATCAACACTCACATACTTGAACACAGCATATCAAAATCTCTCGTATATATTAAAATCCCAATCAGCCTAAATGAACAATCTAAGGTATTTTCAGATATTGTTTTTCCTTTCTTTTTTTTCATCAACAATATAGATTTTAAGGTGATATCAGTTCAAAGAGGTCTACAACAGTCGTCTTAAAGAATTACCATCATATAAAAATTTACGACGGATAAAATCTATTTCTTAAGATAATCGACAATTGTTTTCTGAGCGCAATCTTCAAAGCGATTTTCAACAATTCGCGCCACAACAGACAATTCTCAAAGCCTCGCTAATTTTTGTAACTGATTTGAATTTTTATTATAATTTGGATTAACCCTGGTTTTGGTTCAGCGGAGTGCACTTAAAATAAGGTTAACTGTATAATGTTGAATTAAACTTTTATCACAAACTAAGATCTTTTCCTTATCAAAGGATATATAGCAATATAGCTGATTGAAGGCTTGTTTCAATAAGGCTAGAGCCACACTATCCTGTTTAGCACGATGCGGTTGAGCGGGATGCGTTTTTGTCGCATTGACATTACCCTGTCACACCTTGCTCCTCTACCGCAATATACTTCGAGTGAAAATGGTGAGCATCACATGCTATGCACTGTTGAAAGGGACAACAGTAGGGACAAACGTGTGGCACAACCCATGCCATAGTGTGGCTGCTCTCATTTAACTGCATGTGTTTCCCCGTCGTCCGGTCGTCTCACTGCGCCGCAGCAGCATGCGGTGGATCCCGTTGACACACCGCAACCGCAGCAATGTGACCGTGCCAATTAAAACCCACCAGAGAAACAGGATAGTGTGGTGCCAGCCTTAAGACTTTGTTAACTTGAAAAATTAGAGAACAGAGACCAGTTGTAAAAACATACTGAAAAGCTCACACATCATAAAATTCATATTCCGTCCAAATACACTTTTTCAGACACTCTTTACCTACGCTTTTTGGAAGAAATCCAAAAGTAACCCAAAATATGAGTATTACGCTGTGTGACATTTTTACCACGTATCAATAACTCTTGGACTCTAGCTCTGCAATAATATACAAGCATTTTATGTTGCATAAAAGTAAAGTAATCAATCGAATAAAACCCAAGTGAAACCACTCTAAACAACATTGTGAACAGTTTAAGCACAATATGAATGGATTAAGGTGTACAGTAGAGTTGCATTGATAAAACAGTAAATGGATTCAGGCCGATCCAGATGAGTTAGATAACCAGAAACATTGAGTAAAAATTCAGTTGCAAAGCCTATTTCTGTAAAAATCTTTCTTTTATTGCATGATTACTTACAATAACTATAAAGAGCGTCATGAGAATAAAATATCGTACTTTCCAAACTAAATCGACAAACTAATCTTCAAAATACCAGTGAAAATTGTAAAAACTGTTTCATTTGGATTAGCCTAACATCTTACAGAATTAAGAATAGGATCGAATACGGTTAATATAATAATAAACAGTATAAGAAAGAATTTCTAAAAGTTTATAAATATATATAATTTATCTATTGTAATGGACAAAAATATGTTTTTCCCAACACAACAAAATGGATATGATGCTTTTTGGACCTTAATGTCGAGTGTTGCCTTAAGTTAAGTTTATTCATACACCCTATATTGTTGAAAAGGGTAACTAATAAGTTGAAGATATAAAATAGATGCAATGTAATTTTAAATGAGGATCGAAAAACCCATTTGAAAACCTGAAATCTAAAGCATGAATAGTGTGCTGTAAGCTTCAAGCGAATTGTGCAATTCCGAATGATCTCCCAGAAAAGCAATCGTTAACATGAAACAACCTGTTCAGCTTAGTCCTGGATAGAGATCCGTTCACTATACAGGGAGTTCAAAACTCCTGGAGAAAGCTGTAAAAAGTTAAAAACTAAGAAAAATGTATCAGGAATTCCAAAAACCTACAGCAATAAGCAATGTCAACGACATTAACTTGTACATCCTTGCAATTTGCTTGGTAAATTAATAGCTTACAAAAACTAAAAATTAGTAAGACAAGTGCGTTCCATCAACGTAGGGTCTAGGGACGTTATTTATTTTTTAATCAGTCTGATATGATATTTGAACTGAAGTATAATATGTGTAGATTATTTTTTTTTATGATGAACATCTAACAGTCTTTGTTAGTTTTATTTTGAACCAATAAAACAGATGTGTGGATAATGTTAGCCAACAGATGTACTGTATGTACGTTTTATAGCAGTTTCAGCCTTAGCTGGTTAGTAAGAACTTTCATTGGTACCTTTGCTCTCACATATGATGGCTTCTTAAGCAAGTTACAGAAAAATGTGTGCCATAAAAATTATTTATTACGATGTACTGGTGTTAATTTATCTTAAAATAAAAATCTATTTCAAACATACAAGTACATTACTCAAGGTTCTCATGAGTAGGCTTACTTTACACTCAAGATTCTCAGAAGTAGTAGGCCTACTTGACACTCAAGATTCTAAGATTCTAGAGAGTAATTTACACTCAAGATTCTCAAGAGTACTTTCTACTGTAGATACTCACTACACTGAGGTCCCTCGTCACTCCCGTCGTGGCAGTCCGGATGTCCGTCGCAAAACTTGTCTATCGCCAGACACTCGCCTTCCTTACACCTAGCAGTGTTGTAGAGACACAGGCTGCCTCGCTGACCTGACCGAACACACAATGTCAATAAGAGACTTACTTAAGCTGATATAATGTTATAAAAGCAAGCAAACAATTGTAAAACTTATGTTGCGTTTAATGTGACAGTTTGTAAGTGAACACCCTGCTTTTTGTCTACTACAGTTAATTTTACTTTGCTCTACAACTGTTTCAAATCACCTGACAATTGATTCATCTCAAAAACAACTAACATACCGGCAAGGCCACACTAAAAAAACAGGCTGTAATGCTTGTCAAGCATGACGTCACGATAGAAGACGGCAATGACATAGGTATTTATTTATTTATTTTCCATGGAAAGATTAAAACAAGCAGCTGATCACAAACGGCAAACATTACGTAATTGCCGTCTTCTATCGTGACGTCATGCTTGACGAGCATTATGGCCTGTTTTTTTTAGTGTGGCCTTAATACCGGTGAACATATATTATTGCAGTTGACATTGTATAGTTCGGCCGCTTAGAAAACGACCTGCGCGCTAATGCTAAACCAATGCTGGAGGAGGTCGCTTTCTAAGCGGCCGAACTATAGTATGTTATTGTGATTAGTTCTTCAAAATTGTATTAAAGTAGTGACAACAGTACTCACATCTATGAGGGTCCTCATCAGAGTTGTCCACTTGCTCCACGGAGGCGCCACAGTCAGGTTCTCCGTCACAGATCCAACCCATCGGGATGCACTTCTGGCTCCCGGCACACTGGAACTGACCTGGCCTGCACATCTGGGGCACTGCAACACAACATACACATTTGAAAAATTCCACTCGTTACTGATCTGAGTCCCTACCTTCACATTCTCGGACACTAGCCTCCAGCCGAAACCCCTTTACACATTACTTCAGGCGAGGTCAGATGAGGTCAAAAGCTATTGGCGATTGACAGGATTTGAACCTTCGACCTCAGGGACTGAAGTCCAACGTTCTACCAGTAGACCAGCCTGCTCCCACTGGTGTGATAACTAATTTACATTAGAGTAGTGTTAACCCAAACATATTCTACTACAGTATTACCAAACCCTATTTGGCTCAGAGAAAATTTGAAGGGCAGTTTTTTTAATACAATGCAACGTATTGACATTATAAGACGCAAGTGTATGATGAGTGAAGAAAATTAATGGTATGAAATCACATACTCGTTTACAGGTAAGGTTGCTTTTTCTAATTCAATTTAATGTGACTATAATCCAAGGTAAAATCAACATGACGGAATGTACTTGAGAGATTTTGATTAATTTTACCCCTAGGCTTTAGGCGTTAATGTTGCAGTTATGATCTTAAGGTAGGGCTGCGATCATGGATTATAATCATGATGGCATTGTAATAAATTCTTCAAATTACATATAATTTATGAGAATCAAACTTATACTGTTTTTCTTAAGTTAACGGTATCACACAGTCATAATAGTCCACAGAGTTTAAATTTAGGTTTGTGTTGTTTAAAATCAGAAAACTTTAGTTAAATTATTACAATTAACTTCCTATTGAATGCTTCAGACATTGTCGAAGTATAACTGGATGCATTTAAGCTCGAAGATTCCCTACTATAAATGTTAACATAAAGTGATAGCTTTAAGTATCTTATGTAAATGTTAGATATATATGTTCAACAGTCCAGATAGATGATTACGAAACGGTTTAGGTTTTAAATAACAAACCTTTTCTTTTAAAGTAATAAAAATGCTGTCTCATAAACCCCTCTACTGTTTATAAGTATTTTTGATGGCTGTCATATATTTAATTTTTCATCAAATAACTTTCATATTTATACACTGATTGTTATTATTTTTTATCATATATTAATAGGCAAGCATGTTTCTCTAAAACCTTTTTTCTCAGCTTGTGTTACAGTTGTTTTACAGGGAAAATCTACGCATACCGTTAGAAAGATATATTCCTGTAGATGTGCAGAATCTCTTTATAAATTAAGATAGGCTCAAAAATAACCACAAAAAATTAATTTAAAATTTAAAAATAATTAACATAGGCCATATGGGTTGTCATGCTGGGGACAAAAATAACAACGAAATATAAACAGAAAATGAAAACAAATGAAAGAAATTCCAAACACATGTCTTATTTACAGCGTGGGGTGAAAATAGAGAAGTATGTACATTACATAAAATATGTGGTCAAGTTTTCGACCACTTGACGACCTCTAGTTCTAAATTAAAATGAAACAAGTAATTTATTCAAGTATATTTAGAGGAATTTTTAGCCACTCACCATACTAATCTCCGGAAGTGAAGAATTTTGAAACAAATCATTTAGGCTCCATTGATTTTAAACTCAGTTCCTTCTTTTGTTACAGTAAAATTAACTTGAATAAGAGAAAAAAATTGACAAAAATATATTGAACTAACACCAAACCCATTTTTGGGGTAATTTTTTTGGGTTCATTTGAAAATTGTATATTTTTTTACTATTAATACTTCAAAATTTATATTTCAAAACTTAATCGGTCCAGTGCAAATTAATGAATTATTTCAAAACCCATAAACACATTACTTATCATGAGTATTGTTCAAGAGGTCCAATATTAGAAACACCAATCTTGTTGAGTTGAGGGTTTTAAATATAACTTGACTGCAGAGTAAATTGAGTAAATATTTACCGTAACCAGTCGACCAAACTAAACTTACAGCTCTAGAAAATAAGAGCGCCTTTGGTTGGAGTCAGTTTCTATTGAAAGTTGAAAGAAGCCATATTTTCTACATTATCTTTGAAGATAAAAATAGGAAAATACCCAACATGTGCCATTTAAGAATTCTACGTTATTAATGACAGTAGGGCCTATGGCATATTTAATCTAAATTTAAATATTTGAATAGAGTTGGGTTTTGATAAACTTTAATTTTTAATTGGAAACAGACTTTTAATTTTTTTAATGTTGTTCTTATATTTTTGATCCTGTATTTTTTTCAATGTTAACCATTCAAATATCAAACCATATTGAAATTGCTTTTTTTCTGTAAATAAAAATTGTACCTATATTGAGGCTCAGTACAATCTTATAGATTATACCAGCGGTTCCCGAACTTTTTGGTCTGGTTACCCACTACCACATTAGAATTTTTTATCTCGACTAACTTATAAAATAATATGATTAGGGTATAATTATTTATTATTATAAATTTATTAATATAATCAATGCGTATTGAGAAACACACAATAGATGGAAACCGCGAGGACGACCTTATTCAGTCCGAAACATTATTGTTTGGAAACGTTTAAATGACTTAGAACTGAAGTTTAGGCCTACTATTTATAAGAGACTTTATCTGGATTGAGTGTTGACAACTACTTGGGCATTTTCCACACACAGCCTATTTCTGTATTTAATTTTTAAAGAGGATGCCCTCTCACACAAATATGTATTAAACAACTCAACTTGCTCTTTTCAATACTGAATTGATACAATTTATTTTTTTTGGTGCTCTTCTCCATGTGTTTTAAGTATTAGCTACAGTATTATACAATAAAAAAACATTGTAACATATAACAACATGTAAGGCACCAAGCATGTTAAGGACCAGGGCAGACAACAAGACCACGATAAAATTATTACAACTCCTATGTAAATACTCTAAATCTGAAACCACATCACAATTAGAACTATTTATTCGTAAAACATTTCATTTGAATCTTCAAATCGTGCTCAAAAGACCAGGTGCAGTACGGTATTAATATATATTAGGTCAAAACAATCAATTTTCACTATTTATTTATACTTTTAGGCCAATTTTCAAACAATCAAACTAAAGTTATGTCATGTTTTGACTGACAGCAGCACTGCATCCTGGGCGTCAGTGACTTGACATGCGAAGAGCATTAAACATTCAGTAGTATTGACTGTATGATTAGCCTGTGTGACCCTTCTGGCATACAAATAATCTACTCAGTGCCAGTGTTGATAAGACTTAATGATCAATAAACCTTGTGTAGTAGGCTTATCTAAATATTTAAGCTAATATAAATTTAACGCATCCACGTTAATGTTAATAAATTATAAAAATAGTATAAAAAATAAGTAGGCCTAGCTAAATAGGGAGTGGTTTGGGTATGGTATGAACCTAGTTTAGGTTTTTGACACAAACCCACGTCCCCTTACCCACCCCTGCTTTAGGTTGGAGAATACACACCTGATATAACTTATATAAGTGCAATTTAAGTTACAAATGGTGAAAAGATTTCTTGCCACAGTCAATTTTATGAAACTGGCTGAAGTCAAATGTTATGTTTCTGAAACTCAAAGGCATTGAGTCTTTAAGACCCGATTGCACTCTGCAACTTAATAACGGGTTTAACTCTGTTTTCCACATAGTTTGTTATGCCTTGCTCTCGACTTACCTTCGCAAACTGCCTTATAGGTTTGTCATCTTAAAGGGTCAGATGAAGACAGGTTAAAAATTACATTTTCTTACTGTAGGGCTACAAGTAGAGTGTATTTTTGTTTACTTTTAACCTTGTTATTTCACCTACTAAAAACAATCTTTACAAAAAAAAGACTTATTGTAGTGTATTAGATTTACAACAAAAGGTTAAGGCAGACATTGTAAGACTTAAAATAAGAGAAAAACATTACCCAACGTCATAATAAATATAACCAGTTAAGAAACACATTGGGTTTTGGATATCACAGAATGAGAAGTCTACTTATAAAATCGAAACTCAATGTCCCAACGTGAGTGTTTCTAACGACAATAGCTATGTCCACACTCGTGCGCTTTTGTGTGCGCCAAGCGCATGCCTTGACGCAAGTAACGCATGCGTCCAGGCATGCCCGTATTGAGTCGGAAGGAGCTCCATTTCATAGCGAACAGCGTAGCGCAAGACGATCCACCAGCCTTGGATTTCTGTGCGTTTCAACTTGCAACATTTTTGACTTTTCTGCTTTACATTTTTGACAAGTCGTCTGTTTGGTGGTAGTTTGGAGCAACATGAATAACGACGAAACCTTAGAATTCATATAAGATTATCGCTCGAATTTATTATTAATTATCGTTATATATTATATAATAATTAAATATATTTATTAAATATATTAATTAAATATATAGGCCTAAATTAATAAAGATATATAATAATTATGTATTATATAATTATCACTTAGAATTTATAGAAGATTAAATATGCCACACTAATTCCTCCTAGCAGGATAGCGTCCTCTTCATCCATCATCAATCTTGGAAAAGGCATCTAAAAAGTGAGGCATGAGTGTGGACAGCTGAAAGGCATGCCTCCTAGCGCATGCAATAACGCATGCGTTGATGCATGTTGAATTGAAAGTTGAAAGGCACGTTGAAATTGAAAGCGCACGAGTGTGGACATAGCTAATGTGACCTTGGAATCACTGCATTAGACCATTCTACATAAACATACACCTTTTTACTAATGCTGACCTCATTTTCCAAACCCTACAGTACTTCCAATACCAAAATACAATGTTTTAATGTGCGCGTTCTACAGACGATAAAACAACTACACTCTTTGACAACAATGTCACTGCGGAATCACTGCTTCCCCTTTCTCCAAGGTTGCTCATGAGTTGAACACGTTTTCGCAGTATCCGAAGTTAATGTTATAAAATCTACAGAATGAAAACTACGGTCTCACTGCATTAGTTTCTTCTGCAAAAACGTATTCATTTTATCAATGTTCACCTTATTTTACCCATAGAGAAGTAGGATACAGTGGAAACACTGAATGGTACACTTAAGTGGTGTATAGGGCAAAGTCCAACCCACCCCTTCACCCTCATGTACTGTACTACAACGCTCATGATGGAGGAAGACCCTGTGTGACAGGAATTTCCGCACATTACCTGTCTCTCAGACTCTTCCTTGTTCGCCACAAATACAGCTCGTGACATCTAAGCTGGCACTTGGCTGATCGTTACTAATAGCTAGTTCAAAAACATTATGTCCCGTAAAGTACATAATACAAGGGGAGTCAACCCCGTGAGGCAGCGGAAAAGTTTTCAGTACGGTCTTTTCCCTACCTCCACCCTCCTCCTGCCTACACTGCCCGCGCTAGGCCAAGTGCCAGCTTAGATGTGACGAGCTGTATATTTCTGACTGTATATTTGAGCTGGGAGCGCACAGTTGTCCCAAAAGTGTGCTTCATTTCTACCTTACTTCTCTGTGTTGCAGGGGCGGCGGAAGCAAATTTTTGTTAGGGGGTCAGAAACCTATGGTGGAGGTCCACATCCAGGGGGTCTGGGGAAAATTTTGAAAAATAAAAGCCTTAAAACGTGTTTTTAGGCTACCTGAAGAACATTTTTCTTCAAGCAGTAACAAAGAAAATTTACAATTTAACAAAGACGCTACTCTGTTCATTGTAAAAACATTATAATAAATAATACACATACATCTCAAACAAACATAAAATGAAGTACTGGTGCCCAGATTTTACTAAAGCTGCCAGCAATGAGTTGCTGCAGACGACAGAGAAGAGTAAACAAGCTCTAGGCCCTAGGGATTTATGTGTTCGCGTAATTTCGGCAGGCTCTGCCCCTCCCCCTCAAAACTGAATTAATAATAAGTTAAATTAAAATTGGCTGCTTGATTATAGTTAATCACAAAAGTAAGACGGTAGGGTATAACCAAGTAAGTGTGTCCACTGGGGATAAATAATGGTTTACACAAAAAACATTACAAACATTGTATTGGCACAACATAAAATTACTAAGAAATACAAAACCTTTTTGATGAATTATTGCTAAAATATGTAAAATCCCACACGAGAATCTCAAGATATTAGCCTACTACAAGTTTACTAGATTTTTAAACTTCTGCTGATGAAACTTCAGTAGGCCCTAACTTGAACTCCAGTCTTTGAAATTCCCGAAAACTGCACAGCGACTTTCAACTCTATTGACAAACATTCTTGCAATGTGCTTATCATCAATAGATTTAGCAATGTCCCTATGGACGGATAAGATGGCAAGATGGTTCAATCTCTTCTGCGTCATCGTAGAACGCAGCCACGTTTTCAAGCGACGAAGACAAGAAAAGGTTCTTTCTGCAGTTGCTGCAGACGCTGGTAAGACAAGCAGTAACTTGACAACCTTTACTACTTCAGACAAAAATCGTTTGTTTTCTTGAGGCTCACTATTTAAAGTCACAACTAAATCACGTACACTTTTAACTTCCTTCTTTTTTGGTAAATCTTGTAGACTGTTTAATTGGCTTGTAAGCTTTTTCTTATCCACGTCAGTTTTAAAATGGTCACATATATTGTCCACTTCAATTTTTACTTTTTCTGTCTTCCCGTTTACTGCTTTCATCAAAACAGTTTCAATGTCTCTGTATATTTTGACTCCGGGATGTTGAAATCTATAATCAATGTCTGACTTTAAGTTGTCCAAAACGTCGAAGTACTGTTTCCTCAAATAAGTCTCTGGACCGGAGAACGTCCCTGGTGGGGAAGCATCACTTTTCTGTTCTAGTCGTTTTGGAGGCGCTCGAACACGTGGAAGAGTGACCGGGAGTAAATCCATATCTGCCCCTCGTTTCTTCACTTTCTCCCATAGTTCGTTAAACTTCTCATCGGTTCTCAACTTTGTTAAACGTTGTTTAACTCTGTCAACTTGGGCTAAGGCATAGGTTATACTAATGTCACTTATTTGCAGTTTTTTAGCAAGCTCGTCTGTTATTTCAAAAATCAAAACACCGAGTTCTAAATGAAACAGTGTGAGAGTTTTCTCAAAAAATGAATGTAAACCATTGGCAGTAGGATCAGGATCTTCAGTTTTGATGCTTTCCAAAGCACTTAGAACAGTCTCATATTGTGAGTTAACAGCTTGTAGAGACTTCAGTCTCACTGTCCATCTTGTAGGACATAGAGGTTTTAGCTTAGTATTTTTAGTCAAGGCAAGATTGTCATCTGATTTATGGTGAAGCATGATATCTGTCCTTTTAGCAGATTTATTGAAATACTTGCCGAGTTCATGTACATTTTGTAGAACATTTCCGAATTCTGGTACAGCCCCAGTAGCATCGATAACAGCTAAATTCAACGCATGATTGAAGCAGTGTATGTATGTTGCACGGGGTTCTATTTTACTTATTCGAACCTGAGTACCTTTCATGTGGCCCTTCATATTTCCAGCCCCATCATAACACTGTCCACGACAGTTGTCTATGTTCAGGTCTAACCTCAACAGTACATCTTGTATTATTTTGGTCAGAGTTTCCCCAGTTGTCGAAGATGTCTCATATAAACCAATAAAGTCTTCAGAAACCTCAAAGTCGCCATTGACATGTCTTATACATAAGGAGACTTGTTCTTTTGTCGACACATCTGTTGTCCCATCTACTATTAAGGAAAAATATTCATCTTCTTTTATGCTATTATTGAGTTTCCGCATCACCTCTAAGGCCAAGAGCTCCAGGATTTCATTCTGGTTGTCATGAGTAAGCCACGCTCTTTTTCTTTGAAGCCATTCTTTCAGTTCGGGAATGTCATTTGCTCTCAACTGCAAAAGTTCATAGAAGTTTCCTTCATTGTCTCCGTGACCTCTTAGTGCCATGGTACGGCTGGCTAAATACTTAATTGAAGACACAATGCTAATAAGGGCTTTTTGTGCAGCTATCATCTGATTATTTATTTGATTAGACAACTGTGCCGTAATTGGAGTTTGGTTGAAGGACATTATGGATGCAACTGACGCTTTATGGAATTCACTGCTTTCATGAGAAGAAAACTTCTCAGAAGCTTTTTTCCAATTTGAAAATCCACTGATAATGAATGTTTCGTCTACTTTCGTTTTGGATATAACCTTTAGGTTAAGCTTCTTTGCTTTCATACAAACAAAGCATTTTACTGATTCAGATTTAGAATTCCAGTGTAACCACGACCATTTTTTATACCACTCTGGTTTAAACGATCGATTTACTCCACTTATAACTTTCGTTGGGTATTTAATAGTCAAGGGTTGAAATGGTTCATTACCTTCATCTTCATCTCTTTCAAACGTAGATTGTGTTGAAGTTGAAGCTGGAGCAGAGTCACTGGCTCTAGGACTAACACTAACACTCGGGCTACTTTGCACCACAGTATCACACTGTTTTTCACCACAGCCATTTTCACTTAACGATGTGTCAACCTTAATTTTCTTATTAAAATAGTTCGTGATTTTCTGTCTCTTCATTGCTGCAGATAAATTGTAAAATTGAAGAACAAACCACTCATGACATCATAAAAACATCACTTACACCGATAGAACTGACAGCGACAAGGTCCCGTTTTAGGTTAGGTGTGTCGCGCAACCTCCCTGCGCATACGGCATGAAGAGTTGCCAACTATCCAGGAGTAAAATATCGTACTACTCCATAATTATCATATTTTAGGCGAAAATACCGTACGGTACATACTTAAGTTCCAACTTTGACTATGACGAATACTCAGTGCGAAATTCAAGTGTTACCTGTTAGTTAACTCTCCAAAATTCCAATACGATCATGAACATCAATTAAATTAATTATTACTTTTATAAGGTTTTGTGAGTATTAAGCCCCTTCATAATAATAATAGATTATTATTAATAACTTAATTGTTTATCTTTGTACTTATCTTCAGTAACTGTTATTAGGCCTACTTATACTTTTCTTTTTGGGCCGAAAAAATAAACGTATACAGTACGGAATGCTTTATATCTTTAAATTTTTTATATGAACCCCTGACCCTTGACCCCCCTGACCCTTCCTAAAATTTCAGGGGGGTCAACTGACCCCCCTGACCCCCTGGTTCTGCCGCCACTGCTGTGTTGAACCACATTTAGTTGCGGTATCTGACGATTATTTTACAGTATATAATGCCAGTACTCACCACAGTCCGATGACTCGTCAGTGCCGTCAGGACAGTCAGGCATGCCGTCACAGTGCCACCTCTCCGGCACACACTGGCCACTCCCACACTGGAACATCTCCGGCCCACAAGTCACCTCTGAAACAAAACGAGTGTTTGAGTTAATAACAGTGAGCTAAGGTCTTAGAAAGATTCAATGTCCAGTATTGGCTAGTCCCAAAACTATAACCTCAAAATCTGTCTGTGTGATCCAATAGTGCTGTCAGAGTGTTACGTGTCGATCAAATGAACCATTCTACTATTCATAACACACTACATGTACAGAACGGTGTTGATCATGTTATGATAACATTTTAAAACTAAATAACTAGGTATTGGTTTATTTTCCTAACCCTTCCTGGATGTGATTGTAGCATAGATTTTTATCGATTCTCTACACAGACTGGTTAGTCTAAAGGAACTAGCAGGTTTGCGCTACTATGGAGCCACTTTCCTACACTTGCAGAAGCGTAGGGACTTTGTAACTGGGACGTAGCACTCACTTCCGATGCTAAACACGATGCTAAAACACACTAGCTGATACCCACAGGCTTCACCCCGTTTGACTTCATAAGTATAAAACTATTGATTGGTTAGGTTAAGCTGAAATAAACAAAACAGAATACAGAAATACAAACAAGTAATCACACCTGGTTTTAATAAGGTTATAAATTGAAAGAATAACAAACAAAAGAACAGATGAGGTATTTTTAACATTAGATGTATGGAAAGTTCCCTTTGGAAAGGAATTACAACCTTAACCCTCCAAGTGTCCATAGTTTAGGCCTTAATGTCCACACCTATTTTTGGCGCATTTGCAAGGTTTTATTAAAACGGATCTGAGAAGCTTAAAACAATGTTAATTCTAATGTTCTATATACCATTTTGTTTGGAAAATCATGGGCTTCAATATTATATATAAAACATAAGGAACATTTAAAAAAAAAAAAAATTTTAGGTAAAAAAAATATAATTTCGAAAATTTTCAAAAAAAAAATAAGTTCGCGCTCAATGAAATTGTATAAATTATAGGCCTATAAATATTTGAAAATAGCCACTTTGTTCTAAATTTTATGAGGATTACAAATATATAATAATATAAGGAAGTAGATTTGCAAATAAATAAGTTATGGGCAAAAAACTGATTTCAGTACATAGCGTTTAGCTAAGAATGCATAGCCTAACCATAGCTAGGAATCTGGCTGATAATTTACATCAATATCACTACCTACTTCTTCAGGATCATCAACCAGCACTTCAAAACCACTTAAATCTTCTTATAATGCACCACGTATATCACTACTTTTGATTTTTAACACTAAAACAATGATAAACGTAATAAAACACATCAGTCATCGGTCCGGGGTAACCTAGCTGTTTACAAATACACGCACGTCAGCTGTCTGCTACAATATTTTCGGAACTAAAATCAATAGCGCTTAGAGACAGACCTCTGGAGAAAGCTTAGAATATTACGGAAAGAACGATACCTAACTCGATCCAGTTCAATCCGATTCAGTAAGTCATAGAGCCTTCGCCGTAAACGATGTCTGCGTGTCGAAAAATCGACAAGTAACACTACACAAAGTGTGCTGCTTGTCGAATTTTCGTCAAGTAACACTGGGAGGGTTAAAGTGCAATTTATGAAATAATGGATAGTTTTACGCAAGGGTTCTCATCATGACGAACTACATGGTTTATTGGGGGTGTGACTTTTAGTTCTCACAAAAGTTCATGGGTGCTTTGGGATTTATGGATAACTTTTTGTATGAGAATGATTTTCTCAAAACATAAATATTGTATGAATTTACCAAATAGGAAAAGTTAGTAGACATTCCATTTATGTGAACCAGACGTACCATTGACGTAGCTGTTTGTGTGTTCAACTAAAAACTATTGTTTTTTAGATTTTTGTCCAAGAAATAACACAGCTGCTTTTATATTTATTTGTTTTTTTTTTATTATTGGTTTTAATGATTATCCAATTCCTTTACTTGGACTAATTGTTTTAAAAATCTCTGGATCTGTTTTAATTTGTTATTTGTTTTTTTTATTATTGGTTTTAATGATTATCCAATTCCTTTACTTGGACTAATTGTTTTAAAAATCTCTGAATCTGTTTTAATTTGTAACTAGCGTCCCTGTTGCTCGAATTCGAGCAATTGCTATGTATTACATGCATTATTTTAAAACGAACAACAGTCATAATTTATAGTGACTTTAAAAGATTCGACTCAATGGAAATACTTAAGATCTACATAACAGATCGATATAATCAACATTTCTTGTAATTATCTTATCATTTTCCAAAAGCTGATCTTGTTTTTTTTAGTGTTTTCTACAAATAGCCTAACTCATTAGTTAATAATCCATTTCAACCAATTCAGTAAATGTTTGTAGCAAGCTATTAAATTAGCAAACTTGTTGACTGTCTACAATTAACATACGTTCTTCTTCTCACTTTTAGTTTCTGACAACAGCTGGAGTTTCATAACAATTTTTGTTTCCCATGTTAATCTTACGGAAAAATACGAAACTTTAAAGGGCCCCAGGGCCTCACTCTATAATTATTTCCCTAAAAAGAAAGTTTCCTGCACAGCTTCACGTTACGCTCTTTCCAATGACACCAAAAACATGTCAATCGGTCCAGTAGTTTTGGAGGAGTAATTGTCACAAAATACCTGCTTGCGTATTAAATAAGTATAGATACTAATGGTTGGGAGTGAGCTGGTCTAGCAGTATAGCACGGGGCTTCGGTGACCGAGGTCCCAGGTTAAAATCCTGCCAGTCACCAATGGATTTTATCTATATAACGTTACAACCCTCTATGAACTAGTCTGAAGTAGCCTAATGTGTAAAACAGTTCCAGGCTAAAACTAGCGTCCTAAGATATAAAGGTGGGACATTAAAAAAATAATAATAAAGGTAACAAACTGAAACCTTAGCAAAACAAGTTCAAAATAAATAAATAAATAATAAGTACAATAATATTGACACCAGTAGACCACAACAATTTTTAATTTGCTACATTTTCCACCAAGGGTTCAAAGACAGATGGGTGTTTTGTAACTGACTGTAATTTACAAGCCAAAACCAAGTGGACTACAATTGGTCAATTGAATGTGATTCCACTTCCCGCTGGGACCCCTCCTAGGGTCAGCAATATAATGTGTTTTTATCTATATACTCCTTTCTTCACTTTTTTAAATATTAATTTTGCAAAACAAAGCACAAAAAAAATGTTTACTGGAGATAATAAAAATACATAAAATAAAAAAAATTTAAAATAATACAGATAATCAATACTAGGTGATACTAATGAAATAATTGCTCTTTCAGATAGGTTAATATAATCCTTAGAGTAATAGAGTAAGGCAAAAGGCCTTACAAAACTTTAACTAAGACCAAATTAGCGATCATTATCTTAGCTAAGACAAGACAAAGTTAATCAGCTTGTTTACTTGGAAGATCTCGGCCACAGAAAGTGGAAGGACGAGTTTTTGTGGTGTAAACCTGGGCTCATTGGGTGTAAATGATACCACGTTACTAATACCACGACTATACCAACACACAAACACACTGATACTGACTTGTGTTTGTTACACAGTACAATCATAGAATATAAAATGCTAACAGTGAAAAATTTAATGAGGGGTTATTCCAGATTTTTAAAAAATATTAACTTAAAATAGATTTTAGAAAAGATATAATGATTTTATAAACTATGGTGTGTATCTACTCTTCACAACATAAATCTCACTAATTAATGTTAACGAACAATAAAGCCTGTGCAGGGAATAAACATTTTTAGTAATTGAAGCAACTCGTGGTTGGGAAGTCCAGCCCGTCACCATTACAACTGCAGTTTTATTTCAAATTATCATGATTTAGTCTTTAGGTATTAAAAATGTAGTAGGGCACTTGTATTTTTGATCAAATTTTAAACTAAATTTTTATCCTTTGAGAGTAAAATGTTGTGACTTGGTGATAGATAATATTTTGTCTCATTTAAAAAATATGTTTTTGGATATATTTATTAATTCAAACTGTGCCAACACTTTATACCGAATAGTAAAATTATTTCGGCAATTAGAATCAGACTTAACAGCCAATTAACAAAAATAAAATACCAAAGCTTATCAAAAATTACTATTTCTATCTGTACCACAATGAAAGAAAAATATAAAAGCAATTAGAGGTGAAACCTAAATGACAAACAGTTATATATTTCCATCACAAACAATTTGTTATTTTTTTTAACTGTTTCTAAATGATTTCCTAACAACATTTGTGAGAGAGCTAAGAACCTGAGGTTCAAGAGAACAAATATTGGACGAAATGTCAAGATAACCTTATCAGGTCAGTCTTTCAATCACAGCAATGAACAGCCTTGAAGTTATCTGTCGTCTGCTCACCACACACTTTCCTGGATGGTCAATGTACTATCAACCAGTTGATAAAAATGTAACACAAAGTATAAATTAGGTCATACACCAATAATTTAGGAAATGATTTAATATGCCACTAGAGAAATAAAATTTAAAAATAATTATGATGCCATTTATTTAATGTTACAAGATCAGCTCAGGGGCAAATAATATGGATTTTAATGATTTAATGTCGCGTTTGAGTTTTTATTCCTTACAAGCTTATAAGTTAGCATGGGCTCAAATATGGTATGGCTCAATGTGGGTAAAATACAATGATTTTTCAGTTTTTTTTTTTATTTTATTTTTGTTAGTCCTTATTGTTAAAAGTAGTGATAATTCTTAGTTCGAAATATGGATTAACGTTCCCTACTGAGCGTCGCATATCTGCGACGCCGCAGTCATTGCCACAGACCGAGGTATACATTTGAATCTTACACATAGACTGGCTGTAACTTGGTTTGCAGTACACACAGTCTATTTTAATGTGACTAGCCGTCGCATATATGCGACTGCAGTCTATATGGGTAGAAACTGGCCATCGAATGTAGTCGCTAGTCCATGTGAATGAAAAATTTCGTACTATTGCAGTAGGGAACGTGTTGGGGATTTTACAACGAAGAGATTTACTTTATGTATGACAAATGAAATGGATGGTATAAACAGGTCATAAAGAATTGCTGTTTAGATTTTTAAACCTCTGTCAATGGAATGATATGAAATATATAATTCCAAACATACAATGTACTGGTAATTTGTGGTCGGTTTGGTTCTCAAATAAGTTCATAGTTTGAGTGGTGTGTTGTTTGGAATTGTATTCTAGTCTACTAATATAAATTCAGCACAAGATATTTGAAATTGTTTTTTAACAACCCCTTAATATTTACCGGAGAACTTGTAGTTAAGCGGAAAGTTGTGTAAAGCTAGAGAACACCTAATTTATTTTACAGATCGTAGGCCTAATACAAATTTTCCAACTTCATCTTAAAAATGTGTTGATCTTGATTCAGTAAAATTATTTTTACGACATGTTGACATCAACCACAGGCTAATCATCAAAAGCATAAAATATTTAAGGTCTAAACTATTCAATTTCCTAAAAACTTCTCCAAATGTAGGCTTCCAGGTCAACCTTGAGAATGGTAGTTAAAATCTTGTTTTGATGAATACAGGACCCAACATTGTTTGTGTATTTATCAATAACAATGCTACCCTATCTTATCATTCATTCAACATTTAAACTTCTCTATATTTATGCCTTGGGCTACAAAACTTCAATTGTACTGGCATCCTAGTACTAGTAGTCCCTATATTTCGATCAACTTGAAATTGTGTTATTATGTAGATCTTTCAAAATCCTCAAGGATGTAGGTAAACCTCTGTTTTGAGAAGGACCTGGCTTTAAGAAAAAGAACTATGTCAAGACAAAGAGTCCTGTTGATGTAAAACCGGGTAATTTACCTGACAAACTTTGGAGTACGTTCAGCCGGTTTTTAGACAATTTCCCATATAGGGAATAAGCTATTACCGTAGTACTCATGGCAAGACCTGGACCCGGGACCGATTTATTTTGTTTTGAGGTCCCTAGAGGCCAAAAACACCATCCGTTCAAATTCATTATATTATATATATATATATATATATATAGGCTACTGTAGGCCAATATATATATGTGTCCGTTAGCACGATAACTCGAGCAAAAATGATCCGATTTTGATGAAATTTGGTACAAACGTGTAAACCTACATTTATTTGAACGAGTTCGCGAACCAGGATGATCGGACTATGGGAACGGGGGGTTTTATGGGGTAAAAATAGGTTTTCCCATTTTTGACCCTAAAAACACATCATTTCACAAATTTCATTTCCAACCATTTTACAAACGATGTGTCAAAATTAAGTATTTTTTTTATAAACGCCCCCTTTCACCAATTCCTGTAATTAAAGTCCTCAGTCTTTGCCCCACAGGCCATCAAAATCCCAATGTATTTCTTACGAAGAACGGATTTTATTTACTTAAACAGACGAATAATTTGTAACTTATTGATTACAGCTGTTCATAGTAAACACATGATACACACGAGCCTTCGTTTTCAGAGTGAGTTCGTTTTCAGAGCGAGTTCGTTATCAGTTTCAATAACTGGAGTGGAGTGATTGATGGCATTATCTTTTTGAGTCGAATCTTCTAAGACATCGGAAATTATGACAGTTGTTCGTTTCGAAATAACGCCTGTAAGTTAATTCTTGGCAATTGCTCAAATTCAAGCAACAGGTGCACTAGTGGTGTGAGTGAGTCTTTGTGAAAATTCCCTATAACTTATGGCTTAGCCTAAAATATATAAAGTAGCCCACTGAATAAATACCTGTACAGTACCGGTACTGTAACTTAAGTTGGGCTACAATCAATAATTACATTGTTTAAAAATTATCTTTTATACTTATACCGGCATTGGATCACTTGTTCTCCGCAAGACTGTAGGAGCATTAAATCGGTAAGCATTTTAAATTATTGTAAAATGGTTATACCGTAAATAAATAAATAAATCGTACCAAACTGAAATAAGTTGGGTTGTACAGTACGTATGATTGATGATTTCAGCTGAGGAAGTATAAATTGATCTTGTGCGGGCAAAAATTTTGATATAGGCCTAAGTTAGCCTAACTTACTAAAATTGAATCTAAGCAGCACATTCTTTGCAGCATAAACTTAGATGCAGCAATGCATAGATGCTTTAGCGTGATCTAGAGCTAATTTATTGATCAGAGTTGATTTTTTAACAACTCAAGAGTCCAGAAAAAAATCCATGTTTAGATAAACATATCCAAGGACCTAGGTGTCACCATGAAAACTAGTTTTAAATGCAATAAAAGTTAGTAACTTGTGATGAATATGAAAACGTTAAAATAACAATTTAAACTGTAACTTTAGTAGCATAGTAAACCTACCTTCAATTATCGGCTTCCTTTCATTACACAAAACAAAACAAACATTCAGTAAAGCAAATGCAGTTCCGATGCCCACTAAAAAGTGTGGACTGGTCATTATTAAAATGTTAGTCACAAACTAAGAGTTTCGTAATATGAAAAAATACATCTCTGTCCCACATTAAAAAGTACGTACTAAAAATTACACCTCTTCGGCATTATTCATTTATGTTTTATCCGCACAACAGAAAGAAACAGACATCCGAGCGACGACAGACAGTACTCAGTTCAGTGCTCCTGCTCCTGCTCCAGCAGCAGCAACAACAAAAGTCAGCCTTGTTTTCTTTCTCTCTGACTGACTGCAACCTGCTGCAAACACCATCGTGAAGTTAGCGGCTCTTTTCATCGGCGCTTTTTCGGTTTGTAATAGATGTGGGTTGGTACGCCTGCTGACGCCACAAACGTGTTTTGCAGGGATGTCGGAAACACAATTCAATTACAATACGGTGCGAAATGATGTTTTTATATTTATATAATGTCAATTATACATTGATAAAACGTGTATACACGTTAAAACTAATTAATTGACGTATTTTAAAAGGCATATTTGAGACCGTACTGTAAATTATACGTAGCTATGGCTTCACATAACGCGATCAATTAAAACTCCGAACATAAAAAAGTGCATAATCTTTTTTCCCAAGCCCATCACATCAACTTTGAGCTATTCTAAAGGTAATATACAATGTGTAGAATACTCAGTATAAATATTATTGAGGCAGTCCAGTGAATTACGAAGCTATAAGGCAAAATGTATATGGTTGATAGTAACTCGCATCAGGAAAAAGTGCACAATCTTTTTCCTAAGCCCATCACATCAACTTTGAGGTATTCTAATGGTAATGTACAATGTGTAGAATACTCAGTATAAATATGATTGAGGCAGTCCAATGAATTACGAAGCTATAAGGCAAAATGTATATGGTTGATAGGAATTTGCGTCAGGAAAAAGAGTGCACAATCGTTTTCCTAAGCCCATCACATCAACTTTGAGTTATTCTAATGGTAATGTACAATGTGTAGAATACTCAGTATAAATATGATTGAGGCAGTCCAGGAAATTACGAAGTTATATGGCAAAATGTATATGAGTAATAGTAACTCGCATTAGGAAAAAGTGCACTATCTTTTTCCTAAGCCCATCACATCAACTTTGAGGTATTCTAATGGTAATATACAATGTGTAGAATACTTAGTATAAATATGATTGAGGCAGTCCAGTGAATTACGAAGCTATAAGGCAAAATCTATATGGTTGATAGGAATTTGCGTCAGCAAAAAGTGCACAATCTTTTTCCTAAGCCCATCACATCAACTTTGAGGTATTCTAATGGTAATATACAATGTGTAGAATAATCAGTATGAGTATGATTGAGGCAGTCTCCTAAATTACGAAATTATATGGCAAAATGTATATGGTTGATAGGAATTTGCGTCAGGAAAAAGTGCACAATATTTTTCCTAAGCCCATCACATCAACTTTGAGGTATTCTAATGGTAATATACTATGTGTAGAATAATCAATATAAATATAATTGAGGCAGTTTAGTATATTACGAAAATCTATATGGTTGATAGGAACTCGCATTAGGAAAAAGTGCACAATCTTTTTCCTATGTCCATCACATCGAATTTGATGTATTCTAATGGTAATATACAATGTGTAGAATACTCAGTATAAATATGACTGAGGCAGTCCAGTAAATTACGAAGCTATAAGGCAAAATCTGTATGGTTGATAGGAATTTGCATCAAGAAAAAGTGCACAATCTTTTTCCTAAGTCCATCACATCGACTTTGATGTATTCTAATGGTATAATACAATGTGTAGATTACTCAGTATAAATATAATTGGGGCAGTCCCCTAAATTACGAATATATATGGCAAAATCTAAATGGTTGATAGGAATTTGCGTCAGGAAAAAGTGCACAATGTTGACCCTAAGCCCATCACATCAAATTTGAGGTATTCTAATGGTAATATACAATGTGTAGAATACTCATTGTCTAAAAACGGTCATAAAAACGTCTAAAGAGAAATCGGGAAATTTAGTGTTTTGAGGGTCAAAAGTGAGAAAACCCAAATTTTAACCCATAAAACCCCCCGTAAAGCCCCATTCCCATGGTCCGATCGTGCTGGTTCGCGAACTCATTCAAGTTTATCCCGCTTTACACCTTTAAACCAAATTTCATCAAAATCGGACAAAAATTACTCAAGTTATCGCGTTCAAGGACGTATATATATATATATATCCACCTAAGCATGTTTAAATATAAGTCTATATATATATATATATATACATGTATAAAAATTTGAACGAATGGTGTTTTTGGCCTCTGGGGACATCAAAATGAAAAAGTAAATCGGTCCCGGGTCTAGGTCTTACCGTGCCACCTACGGTAATAGCTACTTCCCTATAGGGAACTTCGCTAATTGATTGTTGTTTCTAAAATCTATTGTGGAAAATGTAATTATTTCGTACAGTAGTTTTACTGAATAGAATTCAAATTTTCCAAGTCTATGGTTGATGCAAATGAGTGTATTATGTGTACAAATTGAATATAATTTAATTATCTTTCTGAAGGTATAATTAGTTTGTGATGGGCTTAGGCGCTTAGGGCAAAACACTTTTTCCTGACGCGAGATCCTATCGACCATAGAGACGTGGCCTTTTATAGCCTCGTAATTTAAGGGACTGCCTCAATAATACTCATACTGATTATTGTAGACACTTTTATATTACAATTATAATTGTTCAAAGTTGATGAGATGGACTTAGGAAAAAGATTGTGCACTTTTTCCTGATGCGAGTCTCTATCAACCATATACATTTTGCCATATAACCTCGTAGTCTAGGGAACTGCCTCAATCATACTCATACTGATTATTCTACACATTGTATATTACCATTATAATAGCTCAAATTTGATGTGATGGGTTTAGGGTCAACATTGTGCACTTTTCCTGACACGAATTCCTATCAATCATATAGATTTGGCCTTATAGCTTCGTAATTTACAGGACTGCCTCAATCATAATCATACTGATTATTCTACACATTGTATATTACCATTAGAATAGCTCAAATTTGATGTGATGGGTTTAGGGTCAACATTGTGCACTTTTCCTGACACGAATTCCTATCAATCATATAGATTTGGCCTTATAGCTTCGTAATTTACAGGACTGCCTCAATCATACTCATACTGATTATTCTACACATTGTATATTACCATTATAATAGCTCAAATTTGATGTGATGGGTTTAGGGTCAACATTGTGCACTTTTCCTGACACGAATTCCTATCAATCATATAGATTTGGCCTTATAGCTTCGTAATTTACAGGACTGCCTCAATCATAATCATACTGATTATTGTACACGCTCTATATTACCATTATAATTGCTCAAAGTTGATGTGCTGGACTTAGGAAAAAGATTGTGCACTTTTCCTTATGCAAGTTCCTATCAACCATATACATTTTGCCATATAACTTCGTATTTTATTGGACTGCCTAAATCATAATCATACTGATTATTGTACTCTCTTTATATTACCATTATAATATCTCAAATTTGATGTGATGGGCTTAGGGTCAACATTGTGCACTTTTTCCTGACGCGAATTCCAATCAACCATATACATTTTGCCATATACCTTCGTAATTTAGGGGACTGCCTTAATCATACTTATACTGATTATTCTACACATTGTATATTACCATTAGAATACATCAAAGTTGATGTGATGGACTTTGGAAAAATATTGTGCACTTTTTCCTTATGAGAGTTCCTATCAACCATATACATTTTGCCATATAATTTCGTAATTTAGGGAACTGCCTCAATCATATTTATACTGAGTATTCTACACATTGTACATTACCATTAGAATAACTCAAAGTTGATGTGATGGGCTTAGGAAAACGATTGTGCACTTTTTCCTGACGCAAATTCCTATCAACCATATACGTTTTGCCTTATAGCTTCGTAATTCACTGGACTGCCTCAATAATATTTATACTGAGTATTCTACACATTGTATATTACCATTAGAATAGCTCAAAGTTGATGTGATGGGCTTGGGAAAAAAGATTATGCACTTTTTTATGTTCGGAGTTTTAATTGATCGCGTTATGTGAAGCCATAGCTACGTATAATTTACAGTACGGTCTCAAATATGCCTTTTAAAATACGTCAATTAATTAGTTTTAACGTGTATGTTTTATCAATGTATAATTGACATTATATAAATATAAAAACATCATTTCGCACCGTATTGTCATTGAATTGTGTTTCCGACATCCCTGCAAAACACGCGTGTGGCGTCCGCAGGCGTACCAACCCACATCTATTACAAACCGAAAAAGCACCGATGAAAAGAGCCGCTAACTTCACGACGGTCTGCAACCAGTAACTCTATTTGGTTGCCTGGACTGAAGTAAAGAATGGAACGGACGATGTGGTCAACCAATCAAGACAAAGAAATTTTATTATGAAAAAGAATGCACTAGATGAGTGGCGTGAAGCTGGCTCGCCCATTCCAGCACACTTTTTTAAATGCGTACAATAAAGTGTGATAAAAGCACTAAAAGTGTGCTTTTTATAACGTGGGTTTTTAAAGTGTGCTGTTCTAATAGTAATGAGATAATCAATTGTATTTCGGTGGGCCAGAATCACGGCCGGCCCACCCATTTCAGCTACAGATCTTTAAACCTTGCCAACAAAACTGTGCTCACAGGAACCATTAATAAAAAAAGTGTGCCGCCATCGTTAGTAAACAAATAACCACTATTTAGTAATTAAGGGTGATAAAATAAAATAAAAGCCCACCATTTCAGCTAAAGATCTATAAAACGTGCTAAAAAAAACTGAGCTGAAAGTGTACTCACAAGAACTATATTAGTAAAAAAGGGTGCCGGTGCCACTCCCGTTAGTAAACAAATAATCCCTAATTGGTAAGGGTAATCAAATGATCCAGCCCGCTCTTTTCAGCTAGAGATCTATAAACCATGCAAAAAACTGTGCTGAAAGTGTGCTCACGGGAATCATTAATAAAAAAA